TCAATAAGACGTTGTCTCCTCATCTCTCCATCATTGCCTCTCTGCAGCTATGACTTCTCACTCAATCTCGCCTCCACGCTTTATTTCATTGCATCTATTAAACATATTTTTCTCATGCCAGTTTATTTCTCTCTCTTTCTCTTGTTGCATTCCACTCTATCCTTTTTTCCCAATCCACCCATTCCCGAGGGTGTTGACTGGATGTGTGATGAGATGATGTCACAGCACGCTCCTCTGTCAGCATAGATAATAAATCTGCTCCTTTTGGGAACTTTTCATGCAAATGTAGCCCAGACCTCTATGACTTTTCTTTAACATCCCTTAGTTACCTTTTAGATGTCTGTGCTAGTTGATATTATTTGGCCCCAATTATAGGAACACACACAGTTGCGTGCTTTTTTAAATCTGCAGAGATAGTTATCTGGCAATCCTAAGCAAAGCAAACAGATGGCGGCTAGTTTATTGTGTCCCAGCTATGAGGATGCAATCAGCAGTACAAACAACCATTTGGTTCTGACACGTGTAAAAACAAAAACACATTGATTACATTTTTGCATTTTACTTTACCTGCTCTGAATCTTCAGCAAGACGTTGTCTCTTGCTCATATTAATTGCTACCAGACCTCTCTTTGAATCTTCCTCTTGTTTTGCGTATCCAGTCCCTTCCCCTGAAGTTACTTACATGACCTACCTTCATCAAAGCTGGACAACAGCTCCAGCAAGGTACCACAAACTTCCCCAGGCAGGCCGGCGTGGAGATGTCATCTCTCGACCTCTTCCCCGGGGCCTCATCCCAGCTGGCCTATTCCTGGAAAACCTCCCTAGGGAGCGGCGGGGGGGGGGCATCCTTACCAGACTCCCCAGACCCCCTCCACTGGCTCCTTTCACGTAGAGGAGTAGCAGCTCACTCTACTCCGAGCTCCTCACGGGTGAATGAGCTGCTCACCCTATCACTAAGGGAGACGCCCGCCATCCCCCTGAGGAAGGTTTTTGGCTGCTTTTAACCGCAACCTAGTTCTTTCGGTCATGACCCGACCTGCATGACTATAGGAGAGCGTAGGAACGAAGACTGACCAGTAGATCGAGAGCTTTGCCTTCGTGTTCAGCTCAGTGCGGTAAAGCAAAGCCCGTTGAATGAAATATTTGCTTTTCATATATTCAATCTTTCTTAACTGATGAACAGAAAGTACAGTAATGACAATATAGATATAAGAGGAGTTAACGTGTCTCTGCATTGTCCTCTGGGATGTAGTAACCTGCTTTGTCCAATAGCACCAAAGATGGCTTAAAACTCCCAAATCGAGGGCCATAAGGTCAAAGGTCAGGGTTTTGAGTTTTGAAATGTTAGATCAACGTGGTATAGATAGCTATATCAAAAAAGAGGTTATATCAGAGCTACTTTCTGTCAGGAACTAGTCCAGCCGGGGATCAGGACGTAGATTCAAGCAACACGTAATTTATCTCCAACAGAAGGACGCAGGGATGCAGGGATGAGCCGACAAGGGACACACATTGTTTAAATACACTGGGAAGGGGCAGGTGATTGGACACAGGAGGAAACAATCGGCACACGGCAGACAATCACTCACTGGAGAAAACACCGGGGCAGGAAGTGAAGTTAACCCAGGGACACTAGAGGCACGTATCAAAGCCCATTTCCGTCACAAAAAACAGTCATAATTCTCCTAATTTTGGCTTTACACTTTATTTCCAAAATACACTTTGAATAAATTGTTACGAGTATTCATGGCTGGAGCTTCTTGGGCACTTTGTGTGGCTTTTGTAAATCAGCCATGTTTGACAGGATACCCAGTGGAGTGTGTTGTGGTGTTTTTTTTCAGGATCACAGGGGTTTGGAGACGTGTAGCTATGAGGGGAGAGTGTGTTCCAGGAGTGTGTTTCAAAGGCTTTTTAAACGTGTGGTCCCTTTGCCCCGTGGCATTTAGCTATTTTTATAATATGCCCCTCTCTGTGGGATTCCTTGGATTTTTACTGCCCCCTTTTAAAGGCTCTTGTTACCATGGTTACTGCGACCCTCTGCAAAATCCATGATGGTAGTGAATACAACCTAAAGTGGGAGAACACATTACAGTAGTCATGGTTACAACAACCTCTAAAGAATGAATTATGTAACTGACAAGATAGTCACCAGCAGCAACTCACAGCTGCATATTTTATTTTTATACATATATATATACATATATATATTTTTATACATACATATATATATATATATATATATATATATATATATATATATATATATATATATTATAGTTCTCCAGTGCAGTATGAGGAATGATCAGTTTTGTTGTTGTTTTAAAATTCACCGCAGTCTATTTATTCACATGTTTTTTGTGACAATTCCTTAGTGTCACAACCAAATATTTCTGCAAAGAGATCAAACTAAATTTTAAATGTTATTATATCTGGTTGAGCCATTATGTAACAACATTCCCATGCATTCTGTGTCTATGTTTGACAGTGAGTAAATATGTATATTTACACCCATGGATGGACTCACCTCAGTACCTCACCTAATTGCTCAATGTCCCGTAGGAGGTTGCTGGGTCAACAGTCTTGATTTGAGGACACTGTGGAGCAGCAGGTCTTTATTTGCATTTGATGTTCATCTTTGGTGACTAGGATGACAGACAACACTATTTGCCCAACACAAATCCTTCAGGGGAGCTGGGTTTTGAAGCAACAAGTGTGTTATTATAACACCGATTATCTCTATTAAAAATGTGTGTGTCTAAGAATAAAGGAAGTAGCTCCTATGTGGGAAAACGAGAACCAATAACATAACAGCATATTGTGGCCTGAAACCCTTGTCTTTGTTTAATACAGATCATGCAAACAATGGAAATAATTGCGTTTATACACCTGCAATAAGATCCACAATGCAGAGAGAAAGTCAGTAAGAAAGTAAAATAAAATGTTAAATAAATCATCGAACATATTGCGGCCATTTCTCCAAATCACTGCACCTGCTTCCTCTTATGAACTCATTACCCCTCTCAACAGAAAACACATATAAATGTCATCACTGTTACACAAGACAAATAGGACTTATTATCACAATACATAATGTGGTTTTATGTGGCTGCTTTATATTAGGGTTTTATCTTCGTTCCATGGATGGATGGATGGATGGACAAATCTAACGTGCAGTTGAGGCAGAAGCTGTGTATTTAACTGAGCTGTTTTTAGTGGAAAAACCTGTTCATCAAGATGAAGTGACGGTACTACTACTATTACTACTACTACTTTGACTTCCTATTACTGTAATAAAACCATCAGCACCTTTCATTGTCTACTGATGTCACAGATATTCTCTTGGACATTTTTTTTTATCAGTTATACTGTATCTGTGCCATATGAAACGGAAAAGAAATGGAGAAAGGAAAATCAAAGTTTGGTTAAAAAACACTCCTAGATTGGTAGCAGGGTTTAGACATCTGTACATTGGTTTTCATTTTCATTTTAATATATTGAAAATTCAAGCTGGGTTGGGGGAAGGACGGCAATCTGATTGTATTATTAGATATTCATTCAAATCATACATTTCCTTTCAGAAAAGTACAACATGCTGAGAACCTCTCGGCACATTTAGAAAATAAATCTCATTTTCCTTTGTTCCGGTTATGTATTACATAATGGTCAAAAATACGCTTTGTTCCAGCCTTTTAACCAGTTCATCACAGCCTACATTCCCAAAAGCATTGTAAGATATTTGTCTCATTGTCTCATTATCAAGCAATGGGTTTAAGGTCCTCTTTGCAATAATGTAGGAAAATTTAACAAAAGCATTTGTGCAGTAAAATTGAATCGTAGCACCACATGCACAAAATGACAAACATTTCACATAAGATCATAACAACAAACCTATTTTATTTCTCAGTTGTGGTTCATGCCTGCTGCCTGAAACAAGACAAATTCTCAAAAAGTTTGTGCATGAACTTTACACAATTTTCATGAGAAATGGACAAAATAGTTAAAACAGTACGGTCTTTGATTGCAGAGCTCCTGGGTAGATAAGGAGGATGGAACAGAGAGACCAGGTGTCAAGTAATCATTTTAAAGTAACACATTGTTCCCTGATGTGCTAGCGTTGATAAAAGATAAAATTGGTCATTTTCAGTTCCCTCTGCATAGATAAGTTTGGCCTGTTAGAGAAATAATGTCTCAGTTTTCTTAATCAGCTGATAGATGATATAAAACTGCTTCTTCCATTTTTCCTGCTCATGTAACTTGTCATATTGCTTCCTTTCCTCTGCTTTAGCTCTTCTGACTCTTTACCCCAAAAGTTCTGTTTCTTTTCCTTCCTTCGATTTGTCTCTCAGCTCATGTGCGAGTTATCGTGTGTCTCACAACAATTTGTCTGTCACCCCCCTTTGTTCCTCGCTCACTATCTCTGTCTCTCTGACTCTTTCCGTTTGTTCTTTTTGGGTCGTCTCTTTCACAGCACTAAGTGCTTGTTAGCCTTATTCCTCCATGCGCCTAGACTGCTATCAAATCTGTGTCTTTTTCTCTCTAAACCAACTTTGTTACATAATATGATCCAAGAGTCATGTTCATCCTTCACCAATTTTCAAATTTCCTTTTTGTCCTGCATTTATTCATCAAGGATTTTGTTTTTGTTGACAGCCTGTATAGGAAGTGTCAGGTGGTGATGGAGAAAATACATTGATGTATGTTTAATCTTCATTATACTGATTTATCAAGACTTTGTTTCTTGAACATTTTTGCAAACCACAGCAGTGAGAACAATTACAGCCTTCTTGTTCCATTTTCATACTGTATTTCTGATTCTACGTTTTGCTCCGCAGATTTTATATATTTTGGAACCTTGTTGCTTTTACTCGTCCCTTAGAGCGTTAGAGTGGACGGGCACTAGTGATTGGGCCGTTTAACCCGGGCCTGCGATTGGGGTTGGAACCTTTTTTGTTCACGGAAGAAAAGTGTTTATGCAAATGTGTCTGTTTCCATTTGAACAGGACTGCGGGTAACAAACCAGGTAGCAGTCCCAGGGGCCAAACCCCCGACGAGGGCGGACGGCGCCACGATGGCAACTCCTCTGTTTCTGACTTGGCCAACTCCGTCACCAGCGACATGCACATGGTAACACACAATGTCAATGCAGAAGTCCTATGGGAGGCTTTTTAATGAATCGACAGCAACTTATTCTCGATGTGCTTTGTGTATTGCCGAGATCATCTATACTCAGCTAAGATGAGAGGGACTGCTGTCAGCAGATCCTTTTAAATCATAATAAATGAGGCAGCAGAGGGACTTGAGTGGGGCTTCATGATCATCTTTTTTGATCTAAGATGAAAGGTACGTAGACAAGGAATGGACGATGAGTCGGGGGGGGTTGACAAAGTCATGTACAACACTCAACGTGCGGTACCAGTCAAAGGTTTGGAAACACACTTCCTCATTTGAGAAAATGTGTCCAAACCTTTGACTGGTACTGTAGGACTTAATACTAATTAATCACCCTTATAAATTATACCCTTAAAGTAACAAATGCAGGTTATATTAGCGTATGTGACATTTGGCCAGACATACTCCCTCCTGTACATTTTCTAATGTCCATCAGCTTTGTTTTAGACCTGCAGAAGCCCCCATTTATGTTCATGTTCTTTGAGCAATCTCTGAATCAATTTGTGATAAGTTGAATTTAAGTGTTACATGTCCAGTCTATTTTTAGTAGTTTCAATTGTGTCAGGGATAATGTACTTTTACTCTTTAAGGGATTTGTAAACATATAATTATTGCCGATTGTCCATTGGGATGATAAAACTCGGACCATCATGGGCAACTCAAGTTTGCAATGAGGGCCAATGCTACAAACATGATAGTTGGCCTTCAAAGTTTTTCTGCATGCAGCGTTTACATTTATTTTTCTGCCACCTACTGCAAATAAGACACTTTGTCAGTTCTGGAGAAGAAAGCGAGCCTACACACTTCAGTTCAATTGAGCAAATTCCTACGAGAAGTGTTTCCTCCAGAGAAGTCTTTCATCACGTAGAAAAGTACTGTCTCCCTCCCACTCACCTCACCCACCTGTAGAGCATCGCTGCTACTTATTGCCTCGTCTCACCGAAACATATAGTGCTCATCTCCCTCCGGCGAAACACTGAGAGGGAACGTCTGCCTTTTTCAGCGGGGTTCGGTAATTAGCCGTTAAAGAACACGCGGTGCTGTGGGTGCTGTGAGAATGTGACAGAAATGGGCTTAGTAGCGTGTAATTACGCCGGCCGCGTGGTGTGTTTGAGGACTTTTCCCTGGCTTCATGATAATACTCATTCTGGGACACACCAGTGGCGTCTATACATCCCACAACTCGCCTTTTATGCTGAAAACACCCCGTCCTTCACTTTTGAGCTACTTTCGCTGCGATAAAAAAAAAGCAGTGGCAGCATATACAGTTTGTATTCCACAAGCTGTAATTGAAGGCAGCCGGATGCAGAGAGATGCCACTGAACGTCAGAGTGTATTTACATCCAACCCCCACCAGCGTCTCAGGTGATGGGGGTCGGGGGAGGATGGGTGGGGATCCTGTCAGTGCCACATGGTTCTTATCAAGATGCACTCTCATTTTTTGATGCGCTCTCGGGGCCGGCGGCAGGGTGGTGTGACCGTGTCCCTGCGTCTGTGTCAACATGCATCCACACGTTTGCAGAGGCTTTTGATGTGCTTTATTTGTACAAAAGTTGAGTCTGGAGTTTTTCATTCGGGATTAACAAAGCTCACGAAAAGAACAAAACCGCCAATGGGTCGATCTGCCCCTAAATTCTTTACAGTAGCTGTGGCACTCAGCTCCAGGCACATCTATTCTTACAGAAAACAAAAATCTTCAAATGCCTGTCAGGAATTTATGTTTTCATCTTTTATAAAGGAAGTTCATAAAACAGTATGACACTGGACCTTTTATCAAACGGCCTCAGACAATAGCAGATGCTTTTCTTGGGAACTATTTTTGGCTGCTGATCGATACAAATTGTGTATTTTCAGCAGTAGGACAGTTTATGTGGGATTCACTCAAAAGAAACTACACTGCCCATGTTCCTTGTTATGAAGGATCTTGGTCGTTTTTGGAGTACAATGGATTTTACAAGATAGACGCTGTTTGTAAGCATAGTGACCGTGAGATATTTGGGTTTTCCATCCATCCATTGTCAAACCGCTTATCCTGCACACAGGGTCGCGGGGGGGCTGGAGTCCATCCCAGCCAACTTCGATAGACAGGGTACATCCTGGATTGGTCGCCAGCCAATCGCAGGGCTACACAGAGACATACAATCATTCACACTCCCACGTTCCCAATTAACCTAATACCCAGAGCATGTCTTTGGACTGTGGGAGGAAGCCGGAGAACCCAGAGAGAACCCACGCAGACACGGGGAGAACATGCAGACTCCACACAGAAAGGCCACTGGGTGGAATCGAACCCAGGACCTTCTTGCTGTGAGGCAACAGTGCTAACCACCACGCCACCGTGCCGCCCTTATTTGGGTTTTCAGACAATTAAATTAGAAAGGAGAGTTGAAGCATTGGGAAGAAGGGAGGACTCTCTGTGGAAAAAAGAGCCCAATATAGAAAATGGGGGAAAGCTATTTAGGCCAGCTGTTGGGTGGAGGAGTGCTCAATGAAAAGTGATCATATTCAGCGTGGAGAATAAGGGGCTGAGCAGCACCATTAGAGATATGTGGGAGAATACAAAATTGGATATTACATTTCTGGAACTGCTCCTTGAGTAAAGCCTCCAGCTCTTCCATCATCAGATAGCACGTTTTTAAACTGGATTCCTCCCCCTCCCTGCAGGCCAAGCCACCATCAGTCAGAGAGTCTGTCTACCAACAGATAATCTGCCTCTCATCTCCACAGAGCCATGGACAATTTCTGCCTTTATTGCAGAGTAGAAGGCAGCCATGTGACAAAAACCTTATGCTAGTTAGCCATTTGGGAGCCGGTTTTTTAATGTAGATGTGCAGAATTATTGCCCCCGGAGTGTTTAGTCTGTTTGCGAGCATACTCTGAATCTGGCTGAGTTTGACCCAGCCTGCAGTGAGAGAGCTGCAACTCACATGGTGTTCCATTATGTTTACACTTACAACCTCCGCTGTTGGTTAATTTGTTACCTTTGCTTAAAACTAACACAAATTAATGGATCAAACCTTCAATAAATGCTCCCTCTTAAGCTATAACAGTGTCTGTTGAGAATTTTAGAGGCGATGATTGTGTTGTTGTGGAGCCACGGCCACTCTTGGAGAAATTCCGTTTGTTCAGTTGCAATTAAAAAACAGTAAATGTGGAGACCTTCCTTGAGTCAAATTGCCAAATGATTCCCTCATTACCATACCTGCACCTCATTATTACATGCATCATCAAAACTTAGTGGTTTACGCTATAGCGAGCACTAAATGAATGTTTCAGACACTTAAGAATAATCATAATATTTGCACCATCTTGCAGACAGATGTATTGTTGCTTCACTGGAGATGCTGTTGATTGCACGGTGTTATAATCAGAGGTGTTTTTTAATGTGTTGTTCACATCAATTAGCTGTATCATGAATGATTTATCATAATTATTAAACAATACTTAACATCATAAGAGCAAACTACTGTCAGGAGGAATTATTTGGTCCTACCTTGTAATGAATCTCTAACTGTAAGAAAGGATTCTTTGCTCCTCTGAGGATGTAGGCGCTCTACAGTTATTATGTTATGTTTATCTATAAATGAGCAGCACTGATCTGCTAATATATTATATCTTATGTATAGAGTAGTGCACCAGTAATAGAGTGCTCCATGTAGCTAAAATGTATCAAACACCTGCAGTTTAATAAAAAAGTAAACATCACATTAATTGCCTCTTTCTTCTCTGTCTTATTTAGTTATCTCCAGGTTCGGAGGAAGACGACCATGAGGGTCCGGTGTGTGAGAAGCTGGGTCGTGTTCAGTTCAGCGTTGGGTACAGTTTTCAGGACTCTACCCTCACTGTCAAAATTCTCAAGGGACAGGATTTGCCCGCTAAAGACTTTTCCGGCACATCTGATCCGTTTGTCAAACTCTACCTGCTGCCGGACAAGAAGCACAAGCTGGAGACCAAAGTCAAGAGGAAAAATCTGAACCCCCACTGGAATGAGACCTTCCTGTTTGAAGGTTTGACAGAGGAAGCTTTCCCAATACATTCATAATACATGCAATTAACAATCCACAGGACACGCAGGCGCTCTCTGGCTGCACACTGTGACTTATTACGTCTGTGTTGTTTCTCAGGGTTCCCCTACGAGAAGGTGGTCCAGAGGACTCTGTACCTGCAGGTTCTTGACTACGACCGTTTCAGCAGGAACGACCCCATAGGAGAGGTGTCTGTCCCCCTCAACAAACTGGACCTGGCCAACATGCAGACCTTCTGGAAGGAGCTCAAACCGTGTAGCGATGGCAGCGTGAGTAAGACGGCAGAGGGACTGGGGGAGGGAAGGAAGGAGGAAGAGGAACAGGGAGAAGAGGGAGGAGGGGAGAGGGAGGATGAGACAGAATATAACGAGTGATGTCATTCGTGGCTGCCGTGATACTCTCGGGGGAAATGTGGCTGCATGCTGTTGGGAGAAGGAAGAGAATATGGAGATGCTGAATGGTAGACAGAGACAACATGGGCAGCTAGTGGAGGAAACAGAAATACACCGTCGGCAACAGAAGGGACAACAATGGGAAATGGAGATGAAAAAAGTAAACTATGTTGCTGTTGGTGTGTAATTTCTCCAGGGGAGTCGGGGGGATCTGCTGGTGTCTCTGTGCTACAACCCCACAGCCAACACCATCACTGTCAGCATCATCAAAGCCCGCAACCTCAAAGCCATGGACATTGGAGGCACTTCTGGTATAGATGCTCCTTCATCTCCTGTGTCCTTTTATTTTTGCCCTTCTACATCATTGCGGCTTCAAAATTAAAATGAGAAAAATTGTCATATTTGATATCGAATTCATGACGGTACATAAACCAACATGGCATTTAACTATGTTGAAAGCATAATGAAATATTGAAAAAAAACTGCACATTCCCTCTCCTTAGACCCTTACGTAAAAGTGTGGTTGATGCACAAGGACAAGCGTGTGGAGAAGAAGAAGACGGTGGTGATGAAGCGCTGCCTGGACCCTGTTTTCAACGAGTCCTTCCCCTTTGACGTGCCTGCACACGTGCTGAGGGAGACCACCATCATTATCACCGTGATGGACAAGGACAGACTCAGTCGCAATGATGTCATTGGAAAGGTATCTCCTTCTTTCTCCTTCTCCTTATCTGTTCTCTTCTTCTGTGTTCTCCTGACTCTGTGACTGACCGCCAGCAGCTGATCGCCGGCGCAGTCTCTACTGGCCCCTGCTGGAACACGTACACCCGTCTTGGGTCATGGTGAATAAATGAGAGAGAAGACGTGAAAATGCTTCCTACTGAGTGTTGACCACTTGTTGTTGTTTTTTTAATCTCAGACCAATAACTAATATGCATGGTGCAAATGCAGGTCCATGCTCTTATATGTAAATACAGTCCAGCCTTTAAAATATATGTTTTGCATTTTCGCTAGACATTGAAGTGATTTTCCAAATTCCCCAAACTGTATGTGTAATGACCCTTTTGATTTAAATATAAGGAATGTTGTATTAATAGTTGTATACTTTGGTATATGTATAGACATGGTATATGTCTATATATATATATATATATATATATATATATATATATATATATATATATATAGAGAGAGAGAGAGAGAGAGAGAGAGAGAGAGAGACATATGTCAAAGTATAAAAATGAGTCTATCTCTAAGGAAAAAACGACCAGTCGCCCTGAAGAGAGAAATCAGTTTAAATGCAAAAAGGACTTCTCTTAGACAGCAAGATCTCGAATGAATGTTTAGGTTTCAGTGAAGTCAGTTTATGTGTGTTGTTGTATTTTTGGTGAATGGATAAGGCATTTTGTGTAGATGGTTGTGGCTAGTTACATAATTACTTGATTTCCAGAAGAATTCTGCATGAAACCATTGCTTCGGTTTTAAATATTGATTCATTACTCTTCATCATAGGAAACTAAATCCTTCATGTGTGCTCAACTGTATTGTTGCTGCTGTTCAATGACATTGAGGGATTATACGCTATGCTTGCTCAAAAATTAATTGTAATTATTAATTGACAGTGTACCAATTTCCGAAATACATTCATTTCAGGACATTTCAGAGAAAATGATTTGGAATTTACACACTCATTCATATCCGTATTCAACTTAACTGGAGATTAGAGCTCTGAAAGTCATTTCTGTTCAAAATAATGGAAAGAACCCTGAACTCAACTCAAATCCTTGTTTTTTCAGACACTGTAATAATAATCATCTATGAGATGTGTAATGCATGGATGAGCCTCTGTGCTCTGTGTCATTCATACACATCTCCAGTAATTGCTATTCTAACCACATATATTATCTGCCTACACACAGCAGTAATAATATGTTGCCCATTATAACCACACTCGTAAATAATGTGCAACTGGTTGGAGGACACTGACAATTTTAACAGTATTCCCTGCAACATGTAAAGATCCAAGGTTTCTTTCTACATGAGAATTACTTACTTCAGCTTTTGAGCCTCATTAATAGCAGTGTTATCCTTTCAGAGAGTACTTTACCAAGTGACATCGCGTCCTGTCTCTTTTTCTGCCCGGGATTTGAGTTAAATTCAAATAAGGTCTCAGCGATGCCTTTTTAGTCAATACTTCCCTGTCTTTTGGAGGCGGAAGCTCTCTACAAATAACAGCAATCTGCGTACTTGGGTAACATTGACTCTCTCTCATTCTCATAGATCTATCTTTCATGGAAGAGTGGCCCTGCAGAGGTAAAACACTGGAAAGACATGATGGGTCGTCCTCGTAACCCTGTGTCCCAGTGGCATGCTCTTAAGGCCTGAGGGACCCAGCAACCAACCTGCCTGCAGAGTGCCCCCCCCCCCTCCACCTTTAGCACATGTCGACCTACCCTGCAGTTTTGGGCTGCAGGCAATGAGTTTCATCTCTTTGTTCTCAGGCTTCTTTGATATCCCCCCTTAGCCCTTATTTCCCCCTTGTTAAGTTAGAATCGCCCCCCCTCATCCGCGTCTCACCTCTTTTTTAGAACTTAAAAGAGTATTTGATGACTTCCCTCGGCTCGTCCTCCTGACTTCTCGTGTCGACCGCTCCCAGTGTTTAACATCCGAGCAGCACCTCCTGCCACCCATGAATACAAACTACCAACCAAGAATGGATCAAAGTAATATTCCAGCCATCATACGTGGCGGCGAGACGGGTTTCATTTAAACACGCAGCCGGAGCCGCGTGACTCATTCGCCAGCTTCATCTGGCGTCGCAGTGAGGAGTCTTCCACTCTGCTCCTCGCCCCTTTGTTCAAGTCTTCTCACTGTCACGACTCCTCCGTACCCGTCGAATGCCTGAAAAACCAGGAAAACCTACACAGGCAACGGAAGAGCGACGACCCTAATGAACGGGAACAAGACTCTTGTTACTCTGCTCATGTTCTTATCTTTTTTTATTTTTCTCCTTCTCCCGTGGCGGGAACCCTTCGCTGTACGTGCGTCCTGTGGGTGATGTGCTGTAACCCCAATTTGAGTTCTTCAACAAAAAACAAATAAGCATATGAACATTTATTGCAGGTCCGATAGGGCAGGTGCGCCCCTCCCCCCTCACCCTCATCACCCCCCCCCCAAAAAAGAACTTTTTCTTTAAAAAATAAATCCTGATGGACAGAGAAAAAAAGAGTAAAGTAATTAATGTTGTGTTTTTTGTTTCACAAAAGAACTTAGAGTATCAACTTGTTCTTCCAGACACTGAAAATAAGCAAAAAGCCAGCTTCCATATGTGTTGAAGTGTGGGTTAATGCGCGTGTGTGTGTGTGTGTGTGTGTGTGTGTGTGTGTGTGTGTGTGTGTGTGTGTGTGTGTGTGTGCGTGTGTGTGTGCGTGTGCGTGTGTGTGAATGAAAGTGTTTTGGCCGTGAACAGCTGAACTAAGATTCAACTAAGATGTTTTTTAAAATAGCCCTTGATAGCAATGATAATAAGGTATTGTTAGAATTTCTGAAGATGAGGTAGCAACGGCCTGGGGAGGTCACCGAGGTTAAAGGGTCAGTCCACCCAAAACACAGACACACGTACAGCATTTCCTAACATATCCTTAGTAGTTTTAAGCCAGGCGAATAGGTTGAGATGTATATTTGGGGTTTGATGCCCTAAAATCACAGCTGCCACCTCAAAGACAAAGAAGATGAATGAGGTTTCATTATAGCATTTGAAATAGCTTTTGCAACAGCTGTGAACGCTTTTTTCCCTACAAACAATGCACTGGTTTATCAGATTATCCAAAAACCGCAGTATAAATGGTTTATGCTTTGAAAACAACTGACAACAACATCTATCCATCAATAATTTAAACATCAGGAAAAACGTCATTGTAACTTTAGGTGCCATGTTTTTTAACCACATCACTTGATACACTTAATGCTGTATGATTTGGGTGAACTGATCATTTCTGTATGCAGGCAATAAATTGCTTCTTTGGGGTAAGAGGCCGTGCTATGTATAAATAAAAAAACGAACTATCCGTACATTAAACATTAAATTGCCGCTAATCTTCTACAAAGCACTACAACGATATCGGACCTTATTTTTATTTGTTTTGCTTTTACCGATGACAAGTCAGTCTTCCTGTGAATGTGACCTCCCCAATTCCCATAGAGACATTGAGGAAACAAGCGAGAGAGGGAAAAAAAAATGTTTTTAAAATGCACTGTTGGTTTTTGTCTCCTGGATGTGTGTATTTGTGTGAGTGTTAATATTTGAACTTTAGTTTGTGTCATTTTATTTACGGTCAGTCCCTCTGTGTGTATATATATCTGCACTGAGTTACATTTTGCCAGGTTAATACAGAACAACATTGTTTACCGTTTTTATTCTGTATGACACAAACCAGTTGTATAGATAAATGTTATCACTTCTTTACAAATCACTGCACTTGATGACGATGCTGGAACAAACCTCTCTTAAAGGGACTTTGGTTTGGGAGGGAGACAAAACTGCAATTCATGAGCTGAAAAGGGGAAGAATATCAACTTTAGAAGAGATAAAAACCTGTTTTCTTGACCATAATTAATCATTAATAGTTTAGACAGAAGCAGCTACCAACATTTTGTCCCGTCTGTCCTTCTGATCCAAGAAACGAAAGGTGGCACCAGCTGACGTCCCCCTCGAACACCCCCCACCCTCCCTCCCGAACCCCCCGTCGTGCACACATGCTTTCTGGCACAAAGTGTTCTGTGTGTGCCTTATAAACCCTGCCACACCTTGCTCCTCACCATATGCGCTCCCCCTCTCCGAGTGTCAGGGAGGGGGAAAAAAAGGTGAGACGGGAGATAATCATCACCTCTTTGCATCACTTTTAGCTACGTCTCAGGTCAGAGAGGAGCATCAGAGTGTCCCAGAAATAACCAGGAACAGGAGTCATCTGTCTGTCCTGATGGCCACGTGTGAGTAACAAGGCATTATTATCCGTGCTACTGACAAAGCATTACATTCCAAAGGCGTAGTGAAAGTCACTTAAATAAATGCAACTTCAATACTATTGAATAACAGTCAGGGTTTGGTATATTTTAGTTTTGTAAAATCGAGCAACATTTTGGATGTCTACACTCTTCACTGGCCAAATGCGGTTTACGGGCATTCTCTGGGGGGACTGATTCAGACAAAGAGAGGTTAACCAGCAACATTTTAATTGGTATAAACTGTACAAATGATTGTGAAGTGTCCTGTATGAAAATAACGAAGAAAAAAAAAATCATCAGTATTTACTGGGGTTGTTGATATCTGTCTGTCCTTGGTATCACTCAGCCGCCTCTTTCACTCCCTTTTCTTTTGGTAGTTAAACATCTGTGGTGTGCACAATGTTGAATATCAACCATTTATTTTTTGAAATGTGTACAGTGTATATAAAAATATAGATGTGTACATAAAACAAAGATACTTCTGGTATTGTCTGGGGTTTTTCAGAAGCTTGTTTTTCTTATTTTCATATTGCAACAAAAAGGTTTGTTCGGTGTAGTTGGTTCAAGTCAAAGGCGTTGGTGGAAGAAGTAATAAGATTCTTTACATAAATAAAATACAAGTAAAGGCCTGTAGTCAAAATCTTCCTCAAGAAAAGCACAGATGTATAAGGTAAACCTGTAATTTATTTCAAGCAATACATTATATTTTGCGTTATTTTAATGTAAATCCCTTATTTGAGAAGTAACAAATATATACAGCAGTCAAGTACATGTAGTGCGGTAAAACGTATAATAGAACTGAATTGTAGCAGAATTAAGTAAAACTGTACTTGAGTAAATGTAATTACTTTCCACTGATTGATGCAGCTCGATTTGATCTCAATAATCTGGAAGATTTTAAGTGCAGTTTTCATCAAAGCAACTAGTTTCACAGAGATGTACTGTTAACTCACTGCCTCACTTTAGTCTGATTTCAGCTGTTGATAGCATCAACTCCTTTCGTTAAAGTTTAATTGCAAATACATAGTCTAAGTGATAAGAGCAGGATACACACATGTTCTCTATTTCATCCTCTTCAAGTTTGGGCCAAGATCTGAAGGGTAGTTAACATGTGTGTCTTTGGAATTTGTGCTTGTGTCTGGAGTTGAGGAGATTCCCTGCTGTGCCTGCGACACGACTCCGTTTCACCGCATCTTCAAGCCAGGATCAAATCTAACAGAACAAAAAGTGTGGGTATGTTTATTTTCCTATATTCCCAAAGCTGAACCTGGCAGATGTAGTAATTCTTAACCAGTGAGAGCTGTTTTCCCGTCAGTGCCCCTCCGCTCACGACTCTCCGGGAGACATAGGAAGACCGGATGAAGGGCGGAGAGGCTGGAGGTGGCAAGGAGAAAACAAGAGAACATGAGTGAAATTCCAGGGGAGCAGAGGGAGACTGCAGGGCTGAGGATAAAACAGAGAGCTGTCACGACACAGGAAGCAGCACTGAAGGATGACAGGAGCGCGCGGCTACAGATAGGCGCAGTGGGTGTGCGTGGGCAACAAATGAACATGCACTCAGTGCAATAAAGACATTATTTGTGCTGCCCTGCATGTGGGATCCACAAGTGGCATCCATTTTTTTCTTGAAAGCAGGGATTTAATGTCAAATGAATAGTAGTGTTGTATTTCAGGACGTTGACATGGGTGACCAATTTAGAGTCAAACCGGTTTATTTTATGCACTGAGATTAGTGGTGCCCAAATAATTTACATTTCAGTAAAACAAGACCAATGCAACAAAAGTCATGCATTTAAATACCTACTTACATAAAAGTAAATAAGTATTTGCAGCAAAGCGTACTTCAATTATAAAATGTTACATTTTGAAAAATGGCATATTGTATAAAGGATATATGAAATGGACACATCAATGTGTAAGCAGCTTCACCGTTGTGGCTGGTTGAGATACTTAAAATACAAAAAGGCACCGGTTCCAAAAACTGGGAGCAGGGCCTCTTCCAAAGGGTCTCAGGATACATCTATGAAGGTCATGAGATTAATAGTAAATGGAGAACAAACGATAGCTTACAAGTTTGTGTTCACCTTTTTGACTTCATCCTAATCTTTGCATTTTTTTTTCATCTTGCATTGTATTATATCATTGCATCACATACTTATAGTAAAGCAAAGTTTAAACTAAAACGTAGCTGCAGTTGTCCATTCTAGGTTAGGCCGGAATGATTTAATGCAAACCCTTGAGGGTATCAACAATTGCAATACTAATCTGTAGTTCAATATTCAATATGTATTCCAACACAAGGAGTAGTTGTAAATACAAGTTTAACAATCTTATTTGTGTCCCCCTGTCAGGGAAATCATTACAGTCTATCTATGTATCTTTCTGTTCACCTGTCTATCTCTCTTGAAAGGGCGCCACCAGGCCAATGGCCCCTCGTTGTGGCTGAAAACGGTACTGCGTCTAATTGACGTGCTAAATTGATGAGAATTCCATTCCAGACAACGAGACATTTAAAAAAATAACAGAAGATTCTATTGGCTAATTTCAACAGGATAAACCAAATTTGGTGACCTGAACCCTCTCGTACGTCACCACCTACTGTCCAGCATCGTAATCATTATCAGTAGTGTCGTAATTTAAAACGATCGGGTATATTCCATGTTTCAAAAACAAAATGTAAAATGTATTTCTAATATAATAAAAAATAATCTTTTTTTTTTGGCCACACCCCAAGGCCCTCCATGGACCAGCCGCCACTGAATTGGTGACACAGATGGCAGAGGAGCAAAGAGCACACAGAGGGGAACCCCTCTGACATCACCTGCGTCTATTTTAGGACAATGAACAGAGCATAAACATTGAAGGCTGTGAAGCTTACTCAACATATTTGTCCTTTAAAATTGAGGGGAAAGAGAATGCATAACGAGATCTGTCTCACGGATGTTGGTTGCCTTGTTTGTGTGACACCTTGTCGGTGGATTGTGTGCACATTATTATTCTCTGGGCGTACACAAGCAGGATTTGTCATCAGTTTTGCGATTCTGTGCACATCTCCTGGCCAGAGGGCATTTCCCTTCTGCTCTCTGTACAAGGTTCCGCCGAACCAACATGACACACAGCCGACGCACACTGATGCAGCAGTGGAGGAGAACTATAACGTTGTGGTTTACGTGGCTTTAAGCAAAGGTATATGTGATTTAATTGGAAACTCACCTTGACAGGAGATTTCCCCTGATGCTTTGCTTCTCAAAAGCTTTAATAAAAATTCATAGTCTACAGGCTAAAATCCTTTTCATCCTTAAATGCAGTAGCGTGGTCACAGCAGGGTGATTTTCTGTTGATGTTTTTTAGGCAGATGGCGCCTCAGTTTCTATTATTATTATTATTAATAAGTATCTGCATAGAGGCTCTAAGGATTCTTACACACATGGCAGCGATGGACCGATGTATTCACATTGCATCCTGCATGGATGACACGGTCTGGGAGACGTGTGTTTTGCAGCTGACCCGTTTGCCACAAAGATACCACGGTGCAGCCGTTTGACGTCACTGAGGTTGTCTGCTTCCACCATGCGTCCATGTACTGATACTGCAGGCAACCTTCGTTATGCAACAGATACATTTCATACAAAGAAACCTCTTGTATTTGAAATGAATAATGGAATAAGAAGACCGTAAAGCATCACCATTTATTAAATAATCAATAATGTCTGATAGGCACAGTAAACTCATTGAACACAACCATAACAATTCAACGAGGTACACTAATGTGCGGGTCCATGCGCTGATTTACTCTATATGCATCTCACACGTTCATCAGATTTAATGTACAGCCTCGAATCACAAATATACAATAATCTTCTTTTGCTAATATTGTGTTACATCCATTTCCGCTTCATCCAACTTCCCTCATCTTCCGGGAGTCTTCTTCCCCATTATACGACTGACTGGAGTTGGCAGGGAAAATAGAAGCTGGAGGCGTTCATGAAGAGAATATTTAGTGGTACTAAATATTTTCAATGCCAGTTAATTTTTAAAACCGAAAAAAGAAGTCTGGTGGCTCTGAACATTTTTTCTGGTGGGTTATGACACCGATATGTCATGAGTCTCTGAGAGCGATGGGCCTCAATGGCTTTCCTTTTCCAGGTACTCCAAGCCGGGAGCATCCAACCTCTGCTCGTGGTTGCGGTTCTTTGTGAACTCCTTCAGCATATCCATGATCTCTCCTTGGTAAACGTCCGGGGTGGGCTGAGCTTCTGTGAGCACAAAGAGAACAGGTTTGACGATGACAGATGGCTGAGGAGCAATGAGCGCACCGTGGGTAGCTCTTCCCACAGAACCTTGAGCAATTTTGGGAACAGCTGAGAAAATAAAACACAAAAGGGTGACTTCTGCTGCTTACACGGGATCTTTTACTCATGACGGGAAAAAAAAAACTCCTCTAGAGCGTTTTTATTTGTTTCATATTGTAGTAAGAAGAAAGAACAATTCCTTCCCACGTGCATCAACAGCGTCTCTGCAGAATATTTTGGACTCTTGGTTCCACGGTATCATCTGGTCATTTTAATGCCCCGTGAAGGGGCTCTATCCCACCTTCCACGGGGTTGTTTAAAATGTTTGGTTTATGAATTGAAGATGGAAACTTTTAAAGCTAATAATTAAAGACTATAAAATGATTCATCCAGAATTGGTTCCAGGGAAGCCAGCATAACTGCAACAGTATTTGTTTGGTTTTTCAGAGAGGTGTTGCCAATTGGACATGTTGACTCTAATCTCACACTGATTTTGTTGTTTGGCAGTTCGGCACAACAAAACAGACATATAATTGAATCAAATTAGGCAAAATTCCATGAATAGAGTGGCTAGTTCTACTGGGACACTGAATGAGATCACAGGATGAAGGCAGCGCCAAAAGGAGTCGTGGAAACACAGAAGAGATCTATTAGTCTATTCAGCAATGGTTTAACTATTTTGGCATCATCAGCCACAAATGATTTCCAGTTAAAAAACACAAGGCTTTTTCGATCACTTTTATAACCAGCAGTCTTTTTTTCGAGATGGATGTAAACAGAGAAGAGTAAGGCGGTAGAAACCGAGGAATTGGTCATTGGCCCCCAGACTTTACGCCCCTGGCCTGATTTGGGGAAATTGTTGATGTGATCCCATCGGAAGAAGGTCATTATAATTTGTATAAACATAAATGTTTCAAAGCCGAAATGTTTTGGTCTTTAAATATGAACGTGTCTAGCGCTGATAATCTAAAGTATATCCAAGTTCCATTCCCCTCCTGAAATTGGTTTAGTGCCAGCTCTCTCTCTCTCATGATTTGTGTGCCTCATACCTACTGTACTCAATGAGAGGCATTGTGAAACCTCTGAGGAGAACCTGTGAGCTATTCTCTCACCTGTGGCCCAGTAGTAGATGTCCCAGTCATTGCTTGGTTCATTAATCAGTCTGTCGTACTGCTGCAGCTGATTCTCATTCATTGTGTTCAGGTATCGCTTTGCAAAAAGGCTGAAAGAGAAATGGAGAAGATATTTAATTTTTTTCCAAAAATGTTTAAGTCATGGCAGGTAATTTATCTGAGAAGCTGGTGAATGGACCGCTAGCTGGGAAACTTATTTTAATTTCTGTTCCTTATTGTTGCGTTACTGCCTTGTTCTGGTTTGAGTCCGCAGGCATCAGTAATCTCCGGCCCTCCCCACCTCCTCATAACTCTAATAACCTGAATGTAGAGTTCCTCATCGTTATAAATACATGCGTTCCTTTCCCTCTCATGGCTCAAAATGACCCGTGGAATGTGTTTCTATAAGGAAAAGTGTGTTTTTATGATCAGTGGGCATAATTAGTATTGCTGTTCCGTATTTTTTACCTCTTCTTTTCACCCCCCTCACCCTTCTACATAGTGAACTTAAATCAGAAAGTGGTTAAAGTGTAAAATACATTTATAAGGGACACATGAAACTTGAAACACACCTGCACTGCACCAGTGCTCTAAAGCGTGTCACTAGTTCGGCTAGATGACAGACAAATAAGAGCTAAACCGTTTCCGTTTAACAACCTGAGCAGTATGCAGTTCTCCAACATGCCCCTCTTGCGACTCTCGTACAGCAGACGCCGCTTCTTGATGTCAGTGGGCTCGCCGGGCCGCTCATCCCACGGTGGCAGAGGGATCTCAATCATGTCTCCCCTGGTGTCGTCTTGTGCGTCTCCACGGTAACCGCGAGATGGTGGCAGCCCTGTGACTGCTGGTCTCCAGGCTGCCTGGCACACACCTGCCACCAGCTGACAGGCCAGAACAAAAAAACAGTGCACTGTAGTTGTATGGTTTAAATGTAGTACAGAATACTCCATTGTATTATCAGTTTAACATTTTTTTGAAGAATGCCGTAATGCTGTTGAGCTGACGTAGCTGCCTTAATGCAGCTCAAGAGGCTTTTATTGGATAAATAACTTGGACTTACAGTAGCACACCGAAGAAAGAAATGGCATAATATCCCTCGCTGTTGTACAACTGTTTACGCCGGGGTTGCACAACAAAGACACACTTCGCTAGTGCTACAGCCTCGAAAGGCTGAACTCAACTCCAATTAGGTTATTTAGTCACAACATCAACACAATGCTGCTGCATCGTAGAAATACGATTCGCTTCATATTCCTGATTGAAGGATAGATCCTTCAAATGTCCTCGAGTGAACTAACAACGCATCTGACGTTAAATAACAAAAGGATCGTTCGTTTGTTAACTCACCCTTCTCGCAACAACAGAGGAGAGCATTTTCGCCGTAATTCTTCTAACGCTTCACTCTTTTGTGAACTTCTTCTCCGCCGTGGAAACGCTGCAGATGTCTGAATGTCAGACGCAAAACAGTAAAATTACACAAGCAGGTTTCACGTTACAGAAGCACACGGACGTCTATCGAGGGCGGACCGGATACGTCCCGCACATGACGCCGCGGCGTTAGGGAAACCTCCCGGGTTAGATAAATGAAAACATAGTTGACCACAGCGTGTTACATTTAAGGTCTGCAACATAGTTTGTGTACATTCAGCACTTGTTTTGGAATTATTAATATAATGATCAACGAAAGAGAAGCAAAGTAGGAACCAAATTGTGTTGGTTGTTTGTAGCCGCGGAACCATTTCGGGCGCACTTAACGTTCAGTTACCGATTAGCGTTAGCAGCATAGCACTAGCATCATTAGCTTTAGCTTATGAGAGAGCGAGTCTACAGGAGCCTGAAACTATTTGTATTTTAACTCATACATGAAAGGCACTGCATGCATTTTGAAAGTGATCATTAAAACGTTTTCCTTGACTAATGTTCGCGTGTCGTATTCCCGGTTTAGCATCATATTTATTTCAGGTAGCGTTAACGTTACCGTTAATTTAGCATTTTGTGCGGACTCAAACCGAGCGTTAGGCAACGTTAGCATCAAGGCACAACGTCAACACCAAATCCGGGATATATGTCTCGCACCCGTTGTTGGCATGCACTGGTAATTCTCTCAGTGTGGCTGTGCAAACTAAACTGAAAACAAATCAAAAATAACAACAGATACCAAACTAGCTGCCGTTTCATCAATTGGAGCACCTTCGGCCCACGGGATGGCTGCTAGGTCTGCAGCCGGACCGAGTACCTCAAATACGGAGCTCCTAGATCTTTACGGTGACCTGAATCAAAACGACGAGGTGAGAATGATTTTTTCATTTTTGTATAGTATCAAATCAATCAATGTGCGCAGCCTGGAAATGTAACATTATATGTAACTGAGGATTGTGTTAAAATATATATTTTTGGCATTTGACATCCGCGTAAATTGATCACATATGTCAAACCTCGAAGTTTAACCCTCTTTTTGTGATGTTTTTTTTTTTACCTCCCACAGGATTTGGACCGAATTGCTGAAGCAAATGAACTTTATGACGCTGTTCTAACTGGCTCAGTGGATAGTGACAAGAAAGTCGCTACAAATGTGGCGCCTCCTATCAAGATGCCACCTAAAGAGGAGGCTAAATCAACAATAATGAAAAGCCAACAAGGAAAAGTCTCTCTGAGGAGACTGTCTATATATATTGGAAATTTCCCTTGGGTGAGAAACCCCCTTTATGTGTTATTATTATGTTTTCATTGTATTGTCCAATACCATTTATGTTGATTCGTCCACATGGATTTGCAGAACACTTGCGAAATGCAACAGGGAAATAAGTCAAGATCGCAAGTAACTTTTTACCCTCCTGTCATTTTCTCACCCTCTGTTTCCTAAACTTGCTACTATCTCCAGTGGACATCTGATAAGGACATCACATGCATGGCTCAAACATTGGGTGTGAAGGACATCAAAGAGATTAAGTTTGCTGAGAACAAAATAAATGGCCAGTCAAGAGGGTGAGTGCTTTCAGATGAAATTTTTACGTGCTAAATTCCAAATTGTTTTCAAACTGCAAGCGGGAAAGCATGTACTTTTGAGGAGTAAAGTATGTGAATATTCGTTGTCTCCTATGTTTCACAGCTTTGCAGAAGTGGTGGTAACCTCAGAAGAGTCCTTGAAAATACTGTTGGAGAAAATACCCGACTGTGAGCTGAATGGGGATAGGGTAGACTGTCGCTTCGCAACTAGGCAGAACCTTGGAGTGTTTGAGGACATTGCAAATAAACGTAAGTTATAAAAAAAACTTAAACACTATTGAATGTACGTTCTATTGCAAAAAATATCAGCGATGCGGTTATTTTTCACAAAAACATTGTTTTCTCTGTAGGTATACCGCTGCGTCTTAATGCCAAAGAGCCTAAGGAGGCAGATTTTTCCGATAAAATTCCCTCATTATTATCACAGGAGCCCAGTCCTCTCCCGTTACCTCTACTTTTTCCATCACATCCACTTGCAAACAGGTTTCCCTCATTACCCAACCCTTTCCATAGTCATCCACCTCCTCCTTTCCCACACATGCCACCAAATATCCCTCCACCCATGCCACCTCCTTTGTTCCATCCTCATCCAATGCATATTCCCAGCCAACCAGCTCCCAGTCTGCATGTAAATCCGGCATTCTTCCCCCCGCCACAAGACGGGCGCAGCAACCAAGGCTACAGCCAACAAAAGTGAGCACATACACTCTTTTATATATTCAAAGCTATTGCAAACCATATACTTTTGATATGGTTTGTTTCACAATGAGATAAGATGTTGTGGAAATGAATCATAATGGAGAAAAAAGACCAGGAAACAAAAAATGACAGAGCGTATGTAGATAATAAAGCTTTGTGGAACATATTCAGGATAATGCAACAAATTTAGATTCAGCACCTTTTGTCAGAGAGATTATGACAATGTGTTGATGGTTAATAACAATCTGTGATTTTCTTCAGACCGCCACCTCAAAATACAGATCGAGATTTTGAGGAGCTGATGAACCGAAATAAAGCCGTTGCTAGCAGTGCCATCAGCAAGGCCGTGTCTGGAGCAACAGCAGGTAAGTACAGCTGGTCAGATTCTGGGACGTGAACTTCTTTGGCTATCTGGAAAATATCTGGTCCCGATGAATGATGATCGTTTGGAAAAAGTACACCGAGTCTGTTCCTAACCTCTCTTACAATAGGAAAAAAAGTCAATGGTGTTCTGGATAATATTATATTGACTACCTATTTTTAAACCGAGTATCATCATTATTACACGTATTAGTACTGTAGGGGATTGTGGTGTGATCAGCTTTGAATGGCAACACAAGAAAGCAACTCTACAGCTTCACCTTTTAACAACCAAAATCTGCCACCTCCAACCAGTGCAAATAGCTCCAAAACAAAACAGATGTCTCTTATTGCAGAAAATGTAGGACTCCATTCCTCAGAATAACAAGCTGACTATTAGACTACTTATTAGCACCTTTGGTCAACATTTATTTTACTTCCTCCTGCAGATCCCCTTTTTGAGCTCTTAAAGTGATTTCTGATATTCACTGGGTTTCAAGAGTTATCATTTTACTTCAATCTTATTTTCCAATCCCGGTCCCTGAGAGTATTGAAACCTGCATCAACTGATGGGGTTTGATCAGGGTTCTCATTCGTTTTGTCACATTGATCTGGATCGGGATGTTTGTTTATCTATGTATTACTGTATGTGGAGGGTAAATGTCATACTTAAAATGTTTTTTCTTCTGTAAACTTACCCAAAGCATTTTGAAGTGCTGAACCACTTGACCGTCTCTAATATCTTATTCCTCCAATTGCTTATTCAGGAGACCTGCGGGTTGCGATGGAAACTCTATTAACTGCCATTGCCATCATTAAGCAGTCCAGAGTGTTTGGAGATGAACGCTGCCAAGCCCTGGTTACCTCACTCAAGGACTGTCTAGTCTCTATCCAGGGAAACTATGGCTACAGGTTTGTGTCATCATGTTTCAGGACAATCGGACATCTCGTTGTGCACATTGCAACCAAAGCGGAGGATCAGTTGGTCACAAATGCAATTTTCTCTGCAGGAGTAGCAGTCGTTCTGGGGAAGACGAAAGGGAGCGGGACAGGGGTCGCGACAGAGAGCGTGAGCGTGATAGAGAACGCGACAGGGAGCGGGACAGAGAAGATTCTTCTGCTTGGGACGCTGCAGGAATGTCTCGAAGACATAGACAACGCTCCCGTAGCGGGGAGAGGGATAAGGAGCGCTCCCGAGAACGGGAAAGGCACAGAGAGTACAGAGACCGATACCGCTGACTTGGTAAGCCTTTCTTCCATTTATTCACCTGTACTTTTTTGGCCAACAGACCGTAGAATATTTTTTGCGTGTTTAGTCGGATTATTGAAGTACATGAAGCCCTCAGCGGAGACGACTGCCCAAATATAACGGGGGTTTATTATCACAGAGCCGTACAGTGTTTGTATCCTTTAGCTTGCTTTCTTTCTGATGCATATAGTAATACATTTTGGAGTAACTCAAATATCTACAGATTTAGTTTTTCTGCAGAGGCCACCGGCTCGATCTTGTTCTTCTTACGTGGACTTTGGGTCTCACATACACCCATCGGGTCTTCCTCTCATAGCATGTCTCTTTTCAAAAAACTGTTCATCAAACCAGATCCCTGGACTGAACTAACCAACTCTGATACTCTCGGGTCTCTTGCAAAACGGATATTGATCTCAATGAGACTAATTCTAATTTAAGTTTTTTTACAAATATATACATTTTACAAACTAAACAATGCAAAAAGAAAACATTTTTTTAATTTTATGAAGATTTTTATTTAATGTTGAGTGAATAAAATACAATTTTGTCAAGATATATATGCATATGTTTCTGTGTTCATCTTTATGGATGTGAGTATTTTCTCGTTTGGCCACAGAAACACTTCAATCCAACTGCTGTTTTAGGCATGTGATGCATTTCTCCATATTCATTCATATGGGTTCATATGTTTGAGGCTGTATACAATACAGCCTCAAACATTAAAGAACTCCAAACTTTGCTTCCTACTGCTTTTTATTTACCTTTTCAATAGATCAGTAGTTTTTTTACAGTGCGAATGAAGCATTATGACAAAGTGTTAAGACTAAACTAGTGATGACGTATTATTAACTTGGCTAGAACTTACGGTCCATACTTTTTTTTCCCCCACCCCAGACTGATGGAGTGTTTGTGTGAAGCCGATTGAAGACACGATTGTTTTGTTTCTGCTGTTGCACAAAAATCTTGGAATCTAAGGTGAGACTGAAGATGTATGTCCAAAAGTATACTTTTTTTTCCAACCGTTGTCTGTACATACTGGGACTTTTACCTGTTTTAAGAAAAATGTGGTTGTAGATTTGCTGCTGGAACATCAGATTCCAATGCTTGCATGTGCAGGAACACCGTAACAACTTCCGAAATACAGTGTACTGTTATCATTTTTTGTATAAATCTGTAGATTAAAACACATTCCCGGAAAATACAATCTGTTTGACTTGATCTAACATTTAACTTGTTTTATCTGCTAACTGTGGATCAAAAATGTATTCTTTATTGACCGGTATGACCGCTTCAAGTTTAAATTATTTTTACTGTCTGCACACAGTAGTAATTGTCTGAGTCAACTTGACCACTAAACAATTTTTGCCAACCGTTTTCTAGGTCTTTTTCATACCATACTATAAGCAAGCAAATTACTAGCACTAATTTTACCGAGGAAAACACTACTTATAAATTTAAGATGGTTATTTTTAGGCCATACAGTTCGAAGATTGTGGTAACTGGATAAAACAGTAGTGACGATGTCATTCAACCCATTTATTTAGAAAAAAAAGCATTTCAAGGTGGTGCAAAGTTCCATATGTGTATTCTAATTGCCATTTGTTCTGACAAATATTTTTGGCATGGCCGTTCAGTCTGTCCATGCTACAAGCCTAAAAGTTTGTTATTTGTGAAGGTAGCCAGTAACAATCACTTCTCCAATGGAGCATAATTCAACAATTTCTCAATAAGATCCACATGAGAAAGGAGCATCCGCCGACAACAGTATCTCTTCAGGCCGAGGGCATCAAGGGCGTCGCTAAATAGGAGAGAGGGGGTCATGTTAGTCCTAATGCATGGCATACAGATCATTAAATGAACAAGTCAGGATAGTATTGTAACTGGCATCAGATAAATCGAATCATAAGTCTTAATATATATTGACAACACAATACCATGAAGGGAATGGCTATAGTGTTAATTTGTTTTTGTACTGCTAATAAAGTGTTTTGTCTGCGGTTGCTGACGTTCAAGTTGCATATGTACTTGTTTCGGTTTGGAATAAAGCCATATTCACGATTGGAGTAATATCTGATGCATCGATAAACCAGCAGGTATCCTTCTCACCCCTCCGTGTACTCTGCTTGAAGTAGGCCCAGGTAGGCCTCCCACTTGTTCCCCACAATCTTCCCACACGTGAAACACCGGACGGGGATTATCATCGTAAAGCACCTGGGGACAGAAACACACCACCGTGTAAGCGATCATCCCAGAGTCAAACATGGTTTGCTAGCACGATCATGTTAGCAACGCAGCGTCCATAAATCATACGGCAACGATCAGAGGAAACCGGGGTTTTCATGCAAGTAACATTACGGATAACCTTTAGATTGCATGTGGCTCACGCCAGTAACCACGTTAGGATATGATGCACGCGACTCCACCTCCTTGGAAGTAACGTTACAGCGGTTACATGCGGCTCATCGCGTTGTTAGCTCACTTAGCTGTCGGCTAGCCGACGGGTAGGCAGCATACATGCTTTTCAGCTATACAGCTTCACTCTGCTTGGCTTGAATGGACTTATTTTCGTTGACGCAAAAGCAGTCTGAAATTACAGTAGTTTATTTACTCTGTAGTGTTCATTCGGTATTTGTCAGTTGGATAAAATAATTAATTAAAGCTTAATAGTAGCGTCTGGTACAATACTGTAGCCACGCGATTAGCACAACAGTAAACTAAGGTTCTCCATCAATAATATGTGACTTAGCCACACATTCGCATGTTGGTTATTTAACAGTAAATACAACATGTATAAAGTTGTAACATAAAAATGTTATTTACTCACCGTTATCAGATCAAGCTTAAGTTTTAAGTTTGTCTGAGAGAAACTGATTGTAGCTTCCCTCGTTCCCTCGAGCCGAAACTAAAACGTTTCCGCCCCGACCCTTCAAAATAAAGGCTTCCGTTGCTCAAAGGCTTAATGAAAATGTAAAGTATCAAATAAAGTGTTATTTGATGCAAACCATACAACCTCATTGCTATCAATAGGAAGCACGAATATTTAAAACATCTCCCAGTGTACCATTAAATAAATCCACTGCAAAACAATCATTGTCTTAAAAAAGACAAAGTTAAGTACAGTAAAATGGCAACTGTATATTTCAAAAGCTGCGACTCAAAATGTGTACGATGAAAAACCTCTCAAATGATAATTGACTCCCTGATTCTGGTGAGTTTTGTTGCACTTTTTGTGCCAAGTCTTGGCCTAAATCTTTTAGCAACATCCTATCATACCCCACACGGCCTCTCCCTGATTAAAGGCCCAATGAAACACTTCTGTGGGTGTTGCTGGATGAGTTATATTAGCTAGTCTACGGATTGATAACTGAGAGTAACAACTCACACATGTTTTAGCAAGTGTCCTTCAAATTAGAGCAATTAAACATGTGTAGTGACTGCTGATGAACGATATTCTACAATTGTACCATAAACCTTGTTTTCAAAGAAAACTAAATGTAGTAGTTTACACCCGGATATTCAATCTTTGTTTTCATAGTTTTTATGAATATTAAAATGTTAATTTGACAGTGGATATTTTTCACGTTACAAACTGTTGTAAATTGCAACGTCTGTACTTTTATGTTCCCTTTGAAACTGTTTTAAAAATCCCACTTGAATTTTTTGCTTTTGTTAATGTAACTGAATTGGTTTGCTTCTAGAATTTTCTAAAGACCAAAGAACCCATTCATAACATTTGAAACACGAATCTCACAAAGCTGACACTTAATACACAAAATTTCAAATGAAGAAATATTTACTTGGGCTGGTTCACTGTCTTTAATAAAGGTTAGATTACGACCGCTCCTTTTTTACACTTTGGAGTTTGGGGGAAGAGGGGAGTGTACATAAGGGAAATATGTTAGAAATATATCAAAAATATATCATAACCATTGGTATCATCATAAAAGTCCCCATTGAAAACATAATCATTGCAGTCATCATTTGTATCATCGGCATCATTGCATTCACTAACTTCATACATCATTATCACCACGAATATCGTTATATCATCATATATGTACTTTAACTTGCTACAGCACAGGTGCTAAATCAGGAGTCCTATCTGAATTATTGCATTTATACGCTGTTAACATTATGAAAATAGGATTTCTCTTTTTATTGGAACACTGCCTTGTACAATGTAATGTGAACTTTGTTTTGGTGTGGGCATACCATCTTTTTTATGTGTGTGTAGGTGTGGACTGTGGTGAATATGAGGTATGTTATTACAGTATTTTTGGGCCTGTAATGTGTTGGTAAAATGCATAAGGGCCCTACAATAATGTTCAGAACTGTCTGTCTATCTACTTATGCAGCAGTGACATCTCCATGAGATTTACATAATGAGTGTGCACTAACGTGTACAGCTGAACCATTGAGAGCTTCCTTCAATAGAAGTGGAATTTTTTTAATGTTTACTACAACTCAACAGTTGTAGTAACAGAAACATCTACACACCACTGGCATTGTAATAACAACCTCGCATTACAATGAAGTTGTGCATGGGTATGTCTGAGGATTGCGTTTTGTTTTTCTCCAACGGCCTCATGAGTGGAACACAGTGAAGAGATAAACAACTCTTACGTTTTGGTAGCAGGCTTTAAACCTGCTAATGCAACACTAATGGCTAATCTATCGTAAGAGTGAACCGTGGATGTTGAGTGAGACATGAAAGGTTATTGATTTGTGACATCATTTAACAGTAAAGTAAAAATCTTATTCTACATTGAAAGGTAACTTTACTATATATTTCTCTGACACATATAGTACATGTTTTATGTCTTACAATCTGCTAAATGCCATTCCTATACCACTTTGTGTATTTTGTTTTCTTCTTCTATTTCTCTTTAACCAAAGCATATTTCTACCTGTTTTCAGACATACTCTTTCAATTGTCTAATTCAAAGGTGAAATAAACGTTAGGAGCGCTCTGATAGCCAGTATTAGCAAAGTGAACCAGGTGGATTTCTGGAGCAAGGATTTATATATGTTGCAAATATTTGTTGTTGTTGTTGTTAATATTTGTGAAAACAAAAGTAGCTACCTTTAGAGAGTTTGGGCTCTCTGCTCAGTACTAGTGTGATTTTTTTTAAGAAAATGGGTTTATACAGTTCGGAAGTAGTATTAAAACAAATGCATGCATATATCATGTGCAATTATGCTCTTTATCGAAACTTGAATGATTGGATTCACTATAAGTGAAAGCAGGCTAAAAAATAAATAAACACAAGATAAAGAGTGACCCCCCATCCCCCATCTGTACCATAATAGTCTCTAAACCCCCAGCCAACACCACTCTTAACTCATATCCCAATAAATACTTTAATTTGAGATAATAATTTGGTCTTAATTTCTCCTCGCCAGTAGCAGCACTCCCAGCAAGACGGCACCTGCAGCTATAACGGCACCACCAATGAGAAACGGTTTCAGCTGTTCCAAAGAGTCTGTGCCGGAGGCCGCAGCCTCGTCACCTGCTGCTGCTGCTTCAGCTTCTGCTGCCCCATCCTGGGGAGGAGGATGCTCCGGCTCGGGGGCTGCAGGGGCTGCAGGGGCTGCAGGGGCTGCCGGAGCTGCAGGAGCTGCAGGGGCTGCAGGTGCAGGCTCAGCTTTGCGTGGGGCTGCCAGCTCCTTCTTCTCTGCTTTAGTTGGCGCCTTGGGTGCCGAAGCCCCGGACTTGGCCTTGGCTTCCATCGACTCAAAGACAGAGGTGTGGTCTGGTCAGGAGGAGTCTTTATTTGGTCAGCTCTGTGCTGCTTCACTGAGGAAACACAGCAAACAAGACGGCCAGATTATCCCTCTGATTTAGGCTCAGCCGGCGTTTTATCTGCTGTGCTGAATGTAGAGACATAGGCATTCGAAGGAGGCCTTTAAAATCATGTGTTCACTGTACAGCGGTGAAAGCAGTCGTGTGGTGGCGGGGCCCTATATGTGACCTTGGAAACACATGACATTGATGGGAACACGCAGACGCTCAGAGGACAGGGAATAGTTTATTTTGGTCTAGGCAGCTGTGAGAAAATCTTCCAGTGAAAAAATAATGTCCCAGCATCCTGTGTGCTGATTTTTCTTGGGAAATGTGTCAGTTTTGAAATGGCTGAAGATGGAACTGCAGCTGCAGAGATTATTCAACGTCTAGGACTGAATATGTATTTCTATGATCCCAACGTGTGCCCGATCTACAGGCAATACTGTGTGGATTTAATCTTTGCACCCTGTCTCGCTCTCAGTTGTCTCTGTAAAACTGCACAAATCATGCGTGCTAAATGGAGGACAAGATGGAGGAAACAAATAAGGACCACCATGACTGCAAGGAAATCAGTGAAAAGCAAATGGAAAAACAACAAAGCCTGCTAAAAATGTATTGAGCACATCATAGCAACTTGCCATTTACAGAATGTAGGCCTTACACATCTTTAAAAAAATGCTCTAAATCCTGCACTGATGTGATGAGAGGAAATAAGGACGCAACATACCTCTTCAGCACGTCTGTAGATGTTTCAAGAACAACAGATGGATGAGTAAATGTCTTGGTGAAAAGGTCTTTAGTTTACGAAAGAGGAAGATGGATGGAGGACACTAAAAGCAGGAGGGAGGAGAAATAGAGAGGGAGAGACTGGGATATACCATCTAGTCCCTGAAAACAGGGGGTGTCTGTTGCACCACTCTAAAAGCCAGGATGTCATCAAATTACATAACTGCTTCTTTTTTTTTAAAGAATATTCATTAAGTTTGTATGCCTAGAAAAACGTTTACTTCAATTTTACACCAGTATGGTGCAGTGGGAGAGAGCATTTAGAAAATGTAACTTGAATTGTTTTGGATGTGTACTCAAGCAAATTTGATTTCAGATTAAACAGTTACTTAAACAGTTTAAAATGCTGGCTTTGAGTGTGGTTGAGGGGGGGGGGGGGGGGGGGTATTATTGGCTGTCTTGAGCATACAATCATTTTCCAGCGTGTTTAAATGTCAGAAACTTATTTCTGACTTTGACGTATCTGCTTTGTGTAGGAATCACAACTGAGGACAGCAGACCGTATATTGTTTATCTGTGGTACAGAACCTTCACATAATAGTCTTTTTTTAGAGCTTACAGTGCCAGCCTCTTTAATGTGCATATGCGGCGTGTAACCACTTTGGCTGCACTAATGTTGTGCAGAGGGCTTGAGTAAGAGCTCTCTTTGACCCAAAAAAACATATGCGTGGTGCAATTCCAACTATTAAACTCACACATGCAGTACAAGGACAGTTTATTGGAAGGTAAAAATGCCCTTCTCTGCATTTCTCCCCACAAGCAAACACTCCCGTGAAACCCATTATCTTTCCTTCTGTCAGTTCCCATAAGAGGGTTGGACCCCGAATGGGTGTAACCTTGCATCACGCACACGTATGCTGTGTAATGTGGGAACTATTGCAATAAAGCAACAACAGAAAATTCCTTTACGATTGACAACGCCGGTGACACGCGGCCCTGCATCTATTTTAAGAATGAAGTTATCCGCCAAATAACCGGGAGCGCTGAGGTCAGAGGGAAAAGTCCCGGGCGACTGGACCAGGAGGGGTTCTGATCAGGTGTTTCCCTACTAACTAGCAGTGGCGTAGTTTTCACTTATCCGCCTGCATCTCCCCGCCATATATGCGGTGTATATTCTGCGTGACGCGGAACCACGCCCAGTATACGTCTAAAAAAAGACGGTCGTCTGCCAAGATGGAAATCGGTTCCGCACGGAGACGTCGTTGAAATGGATTCGAGTTGAAGCGAATGCCGGAGCGAGTCGGTACGGAACCTACTTCTGTAAGAAAAAAAAGAAATGGGAAAATCAAAGATTCAACGAGTCCACTTCATTACAACCTGATATGGATTTGAATTATCCCTGATATTCAAAGCACAATTTAATTTGTTAATATGAGGGATACGAAGTGACAATAAGTTGTTGTTAACACCTTTAAGAACTCCCGCCACACGTCCAATTTCTCACGCAAAACCCCCCAAAACAACCGGACTTCGGTCCGAGCGGCGTTGGTTCGTCTCCCCGACGGTAGGTGGCCGCCGTGTCCACGCCCGACAGAACCCCACTCCCAAGGCTTCCTGACAAGTTGGCAGCTCCGCATTATCTAAGCAGTCAAATCGCCCTCTCAAGCCTCGAGTCTTTCTGGTAAAAAGCCAAGAACGAGGAGCGGCAACCTCCCGGAAAACAGCGCACTCTTTGATTCCGTGGCAGGATTCCTTGATTTTTTTTTTACAGAAACCACCAGTGGCGCCGTTTCTCCGCGCGAGCCGCCAAAGTGTCCTCCGGACTGACGTTTCGTGAAGAAAAAAAAAAACCGGAGTCAGGTGTGCGCAAACGGGAACGCCGTACGCTATTGGCGCAGGCTGACGCGGAAAAGGGAATAATAGCCGGTGACTGCGTGTTTTTTCCCTTTTTTTTCTCTCCCCCGGTGGGAGAAGCGTCCGAGGGGTTGGGCCGGATCCTGTGGAAAACGCTGCCTCCGTTCAGCTGCTTTCCGCACCGGGGGTTCGGGAGTCGTCCGGCGGACGGCACGCACAAGCTGCCGACCACAACGACAGATTTGAACGGCTCTTCTCGTTCATCACCCCCCCCCACCACCACCACCACCCCCACCACCTCCAGCGACGCCGCTACGCTTCTTTGGATAGAAGTCATCACGACGTGGGAAATGTACCCACGCTGAATTGAAACTGCCACGGCGCGTGACGGACGACGCGTTGCGATTACGCGGAGGGAGCCGGGCGAAGGCAGTCGGGTTCTCCCAGTGGGGGCTTTGCAGAGCGACATCGATGGCATGCATCAGCCGCCCCGCACCCGGGCGAGCCCCCTGACGTCCGCGGATCCATTCATCGCACCCGCCGCAATGACGTCCTTACGGTTATCATAATAATTGTATCGGAAAAAGGCATTTGCGAGTAACCCCCCCCCCCCCCCAAACAACCTCTGGGCCGGGGGAAAGTGAGGCTGGGGGCGTCCGCAGTCGGACGGAAATGGGCGCGCGAGCGGGACCGATGCAGCGGCTCCTGGCGAAGCACCGCGTAAACACAGGTGAGCGGCGGCGATGGGGCGACCGGCCCGAGTGACCCGTCCGACCGATGAGTACCCGCCTCCGGGCGCACGCTGCGCGGCGTGACCCGGCTCGTTAATCCCTGCTTTAGTGCCGGTCGGAGACACGTCTCTTAGGCCACATCTCTATTAGCTATGCAGGCCCGCGAGATGCCACCTAAGGCGTCCGGGATGATCATCCGAGATTAGCCGCCGCCGCCGCGGATCTCCTCGCTGTAATCACGTTGTTGCACACGGGAACAAACCGCGGGACTGCAGCTGAATACATAGTTCAGTGGTTCAGCTATAGTTTGTTCTTTTTGTTCTATAAAATGCCAAGATAATAGTAAATGCCCCATACAGGCTAAACGAGTCCAAAGGCACAGCATGTATTGGTTTAAAGTACTGCCAGTTCTCCAAAGTATGCAGTGGAAGTACATAGAATGACAGAACCCATTGCCATCTTAAACGGTAGCCAAATTATCAGTCTACTGTTTTTTTCTACTTGCATTTCTAAAAGGAGACTTGACCAACCGGACTAAGCAGACTGCGTGCTTTTGGTTGGTAAGCAGATTGTTTCCTTTTTAAGAAAATGAACTGGCACAGCATCATTAAGGGGAATGTCACGCCTGTTTATCACTCACGCTAAAAATATTTGGCTGATGATTAGGGCCCTCCTTTCCTCACAGTCTTCCAGTTGTGTCCAGTGCAACATTCCTGCGTTAAGTTTCAGCATACATTCGATTCATGGGTGCCAAATGGTAATAACGAGGACCGCGCTCAGCTCTAAATGCTTTGTAATGTCAATAAGGTGATAATCCAGTATAAGACAGTTTCATGTGTTCCATTAGCAAAACAAGAGATGCTAATTAAATCAGAGTCATGACACTCAAAGTGGAACATATTCTAGTTTAGACCAGTTGTAGTCTTCTGTTTAAGCTCAAGTACGCGTGGTGTTCTTCCTTTTACTTTCCGTCTATTGACTACGAGAAACAACAATTAAAAAATAAAATCTATACAAGCCCATGCACGTGAAGCTGCACCAACACCAGTGTTTACACCTTGTTCCCCGGCATCCCTGTAGACTTGCACTCTAACCAAGTGCATCCAGGGAGATATACAGTATGTTGTCTCCAAAACCAACGTGTGACCTCTCCTCGTGCCAGAAAACGTGCTCCTCTTCTGTAATACCCACTAATTCTTTTTGATGATTTGATTGGACGGGCCCCAGTGTTTGGGTATTAACAGGTATGCAAGGAATTACACGGCTCTGGGACGAGGTCGCAGCCAAGTAGAGCATTCTGCAGCATTAAACACGCGGTTATTGCTCATGTATGTAACTGTGAGCACAGCCTTACATGAATGTATGAAGTCCTGTTACGTGTGTGTGTGTGTGTGTGTGTGTGTGTGTGTATGGAGGATGGTTAGTTCAGATCAGGGATAGTGAGTTTGTCTCCAGGACAGGGTACAATCTATGTAATCATACGTGGCAACAGACATCCTTTAACAGCTATAAATAGGCGAGTCCTAAGTTTGGTAGCCAAAGTTGTATGTGTTGATGGGACTTTTAAATCTCAGCGGGCCATACTTTGCTGCGTCGATCGATGACTTGTAACGAGCACTTGAGAAACAGAGAAACAAAAGTCAATTTTGGAAAGACGCTGCACTCCCACATTAAATGGAACGTGCCATCCGTTAATTAATTTGTTTACACATATCAGCTGAACAGTTTGTGACTGAGTTGAGTGAAACCTTTACACTAAATTAAACTGCAAATATATATATCACAAAAAATAAATTATTATTATTAATTATTATTAAGATTGCCAGTTGCCTCCTTCTAATCATTTGTCAAAGATGGAGCTCATGAGAGTTAACTATCCCATTAACATTTTTAAGCGCGTCATTGGACCTCCGATCCAGATAAGCCGTATGGAAAAGGCCATCACTGTGTTATAAGTATTGAGGATCCGGCTGCCAAGACATTTATAGACAGTGTGAAAAATGTGAATGTGTGAGAAAACACCAACTTAAAGAACCACAATGCCATCAGCACTCTGCTGACAACCGTAGGGATGCAGGAGAAAAACTACTGCAGCTGTTTTCAGCGTCTGACCAGATACAATGAAAAACAGATCTGTTTGTGGTTTTTGTGTGCTGGTGTGGGAACATATGCGGTGTGCTGCCGACAGGTTGGCACACCGCATATGTCACCACACCAGCACACACAAAAAACGTAATCGGCACGCAAATGCACACATGCGATGTGCAGTGCACATACTATCACATCAACTGAGGTAGGAGAAAATGGAGTGGGAAGAGGTGAAAGGGATTGAGTGGGTGGCAGTGGGAGAAAAAGATGGAGAAAGAGGCAGAGGGAGAGTAGGAGTGAGTGGCACATGGCTTTCAGTCTAAAAAAAGATGAGCAACACCAAAGCAAAACCAGAATCTGGATTAGCTCGATAAGGGAAAGGAGGAGGGCGGACGGGGGGGGGAAGCTCGAGGAGAAAATGTAGGTTTCTTCTGCACCGCAAATGGTGCAGATGCACACACTAGGTTTCATGCTCATGGATGTCCTCTAAAATATGAATACTGAATGAGTGTGTGGGTAGAAGGAGAGCGCAGGAGGACGGGAAGGCGAAAGGCGAGATGGAGATCGGAGATGGACGAGATTCTTTAGGATGGACAGAACGCTGCTGTGGTTTGACGGAATGGGAAGAGACGGGAGCATTAGAGACGACAGTAAGCAGAGCCGGGCATGTGACGAGTGCTGGAGAGAATCTCGATCTGAGCGGAATGGAACGGTGACCCGGCAGAAAAAGAGAGAGGCCGCACCAGATGGACGTACAACGGAGAGCAGAGGAGACGGAGGGATTTTAAGGCTGCTGCATTCAAGCCATCACGCTAATTTTCTTAAGACATCGTGCCCAACACCTCACTGCACAGTGAACCAGCCTTTAAGCCAACACACTCAATATACACGGCAGGATCTGGTTTGATCACCAACCTCATAATTAGATGGTCTGAACTATGATGCTTCAGTAGCAAATGGAACATCTGTAGGGCCTGCTGTGTGTATTAATCTTTCATGAATTATGAGATTAGAAAGTTCTCATCAACGGGTGTGTGTGTGTCCATCCGTCTGTGTGTGTGCGTCGCTCGCCTACAGTGGTGGTAAAGGAAAGCTTTATCTGGGAGACAATGTGATAGAAAATAATGAGTTTTCTACCACCCGGCGGTGCCCTAAAGTTTGTCCCGATGCTGCTGTTGCTGCAGCAGACTAAGTGTCAGTGAGATGGTAAGATACAGAAACACCTGAGCGGCTCATCATACCAGAACTATGTGTGTGTGTGTGTGTGTGTGTGTGTGCTGCCCAAATAAAGACTTAACAGCTACATTTAGAATATTCCATATAGTGTTCAAATACTTGTGTAAGTGGCTTTGAATAGCATGTGTGGGCAGAACTATGTGAATGCGCTCCCTGTCTGATGCCGCGCTGCATGCCGTTGCCCCGTTTGTCTCATGTCCATGTCACACACAAAGACATAATGACGGACGAGGAGCGGCTGTCATTGTCGTTGCATCATTGTCGTTGCATCATTGTTGTTGCGTCACGTGGGTCAGGGCCTGGGCCCGGCGCACAGTAGCGCGCTGTGCGATGGACAAAAGCATTGCTCGTGCGCAGGGACGTATCACGGCCTTTTCACAAAGCGCGTGTCATTTGGAGTCACCGAGTCGGGTGGAGAGGGACGGCGATCATGGCGATCATGACAGAGGTGGCCTTAAAGGTCAGGCTTTAGACATTTAGGTGTTCTCTTGATCTCAGGTTAGGAACACGGTGGGGGGGGGGGTCTGGTGTGTCAGCTTCAGGTGCTGGAACAGAATTGTATTTATTGCTTGGGGGCTTTTAATAAGGGTTTTAATAAGATTGGCTCAACTTGCTGCCGACTCTGAATCAGGTTATCATTTACATTATATTAGCAACACATATGTTTGTTGAATAACTATTCTCAGTGATATGAAAATGGTGTTTAGTGGAATAAAACAAAAAAAGAAAAAAATCATATCTTAAATTACAGTAAAGGGAGAGGTGAGGAAGACATGCTAAGCTTGTGACATTGTGGTTATACAGGCTTCTGATAACATTCATAGTTATTAAAACGGTTTATATGAACCCTTTCCCCCACAATTAATGAAATGTGCAAATGTCCATTTAGTGCAAACATATATCCATACATTGTGTCCGAGCTCAAAGGCTGTTTATTTACACAAACCGGGAAAGTTTGCATAAAACAAAAGCAGAGATGATTTACCAATTTACAAAATCCCTATCAATTCTAAACACATTTGACTGTTTCCAAAACCACGGTACATTTGTTGTAGACTATGTCTTGTAAAGTGAAATTGACATCCACGTCACTATGTTACAACTTTGCTATAAACAAGCTGTGTGGGATCAAACTGATAAGTCCTATCAGTCCTGACTCTGTAGTTTCTTTTCTTTTTGGCCTGTTACTTCTCACGTCGGATTTCATCACAAAAACATGACATGTTCATGTGGGGGTCTGAGCTTGTGGTTGAGTTTTGCAAAGTAGAATTAGTCAACAATGCATGTAAAGTCTTATTTTTGCAGCTGGATAGGATTTGCGTATTCTTTTTATCTGGCAGCCACCATTTTCACAAGAATGCTGCATTTCACACTCTACTAGCCACCTTTCAAGTTGCTGCTTGTTTTTCTACTTTCTGAAGATATGCAGTTTTTCTGATTGCACATTTTTCATAGAAAAAGAAATCCACCTTCCTGTTTCAATCAGAAATTGCCGGTTGGTTAAGGAAGTTAAGTGTACTACAAAAGTACACTTTACTATAGAAGTATGAAATTCAAACTGCTGAATGTAAAGCTTAGTGATCACCGTTGCGGAAGCAGTCAAATTGCTTCCCCTAATGTCAGTCAATGACAGTAGTAAGCTTAAAAGCAGCACTAATAGGCAAACCCATGTGTAATGGATGGGAGAGCCATTATGGAGGCATCTGGTGAGGATGAGGGCTGGAGGTGTTGACTGATGACCAGCGTCCTCCTCCATGAAGCAAGGCCTGCACAGCCCCGACTGCCAACGGTCAGCTAATTAGTTGCACACAGAACTTATTAATGTCTGTCAGTTTACCTGGAGCCATTACCTATATTAAGATTATTAGGCTAGCGTTTCTTCTAAAAAGCGCTTCGTCAAAAAAGGAGAGAAAAGCGGAAAATGGATTCACTGATTGTTACCGGGGACAATTTCCTGAGGTGCTCTATGTACATTGATCTCCATAGAACCCCGGGAGGGATCATTCGGGATTATTAACTGCCCTCAGAGTCTGTTGCCTCGGGTGATTCCTTACAGAGGCTCAAAATGTGCGAATACCACCTCAGTACAGATAGAATACACGTATCGTTGTCCGGTCTGCTCAGGGTTGCTAATGATTTATAAGACTGTATCCAGGATTTGCTGCTTCTCTCTGTTCCATCAATATAAAGCGCTTGTCTTTGCACAGTGTTTCATACACTTGAGCAATCATGATGCTTTAAAAAAAAAAAAAAAAAGGCCATAAAACCTGTAACTTGAAAACCATAAATCTCCCAGCACATGATGTGCTCGTCTCCATCTCTGTGAGCTGAACGGGACATTTAATGGATGGATGCATGGGCAGATGGATGAAGCTGGCACTACTAACTTATAAAAACTTTACTGGGTAGATCAACACGTACTACTTCTAAACGTTCACACTGTAACTCTCTGTTGTGATCCTGTTTATAGTTGTTTTTTTTCCACGGTAGAGGTCACGGTTGGGAGTTTGATAAGAAGCCTGGAGGAGAGTGCTGATAACAGGCTCCCTGGAGGACGTGCGCACCTTCTGCATTCAAGAGATCTCCTTGATTTCATCGGCCTAATTGTTTTGCCCTAAATAAGTCACGGGGGAGGGCAGATGTTCCCCCTCTTCTTCTCCTCCCTCCCTCCCTCCCTCCCTCCTCCTACTGTCCTCTTTAATGTTACTCCAGCCCGGATAGAGTCTCACAAGTCCTCCACTGTCTGCCGTTACCTAAAAGCTGTAATCTGTGGGTGAAGAGTTGTGTCACCCCAAACGTATTGCTCGAGTCTCCCTCTGGAGCTTTGGAGTTTTACAAATAATCACAGCAAGCACTAAAGCTTGAGAGGGAGGTTTTCCGGGCTGATTTCACTGTGTCATCAGTCTTCTTTTGTTGATGGTCTGCCACTCGGTGAAACCACCTGCTGTCGTGCTTTCATTGGACAGAAGACCTGCACACTGTCGCTGCTCGTGGCTGGACTCTACACCTCTACACGCCAATCGGGATCACCTGCCAACACCAACTCTCGGGTTTAGTCGCTGTGAAAACAATTCTCTTGCCACTAAAACACGGAAAGGATTAGTCGTCACTGGGCATAAAGTGTCCCGTATTATTTTAGCCCATTCCACGGAATCACTTGGCCGGTTGTTTTCTTTTTACCGTGCAGTATTTAAATTGATAAGATAAGAGAAGCACCATAACACGTGTTATGCAGCAGCCCTGCAATGAATACGAGTTTCATGAAGCTCACCTCGTGGTGGAGATTCAACTTCATTACCGTGTAAGCTATAGTTTTATTGTGCTTTTCATTGAGTGATGGTGTTGATGAGGGTCTAATCATTGTGGCCACTATTGGGAGGTAAGCACTTCATTTAGACAAGTAGAAATCTTAGCTGTGCAATTACCAGCAGCCAAATAGTTTCCTATTTGCGTGAATACAGTGGGTGTGTGCTTGATTAATGTCAATCCAAAGGCCAAACCACTTCCACCAGTCATTTCTTTCTCTCTACGGAATAGAAGAGAAGTTAATAATTGCCATGTACTGTCCCCTGTTGGAAGTGATCCACTTTTAGCTGAAGCTTAACATCTTTTGACTTGACTCACATTAGCAAACCTCTGCACTCATCGTGATGCGTGAGTCCAGTCTCCAGCTTTAGCAATAGCCGGGTAATAGTAATAGTTATAGAGACTGTGTACACCAAGACGCATTGTGCATTTGAGACCTAACAAGCATGCTGAAGGCATTTCTTCCACCATAAAACTTTGCCAATTGATTTTGAAGAAATCTGAAACCTACATCGTTTGAATGCATTTTGAATCCATTCTGACAGCAAGGTCTTCAGTGCTTTGGGTGTGTTCACTGAAGGAGAAGAAGGGACGGTGGAAGGTATTTGTCCTCAGAGGAAATGCCAGTGTTTTCCTATAGTACTCCACATGCCCCTACTGAGAGCTGTGTAGGTGGTTGCACAAATGCCTCAATGAATCAGTTTTTTTCTCTAGGCCTGGTTCCTTCAATCAAAGGTAATTACGGTGTAACAGTTGATTATGCAGAAGAACAGTTTGTTCATATTTTAAGATCATATTAGCTGGATGGTGCCTTCTCCTCCGTCTTGATCAAACTATAAACCTATTTTCAAGCGTCTTTGCGGGGTGAGATAGTATAATGAATACACGTAATACATCGTTCAGTTTAGATCAGTGGATTGGTTGGTGGGAAGGTTTCGGCACTTGTCCAAAGAGGAAACTCCTCACAAATGTCCTATTTTAATTAGTAGTGCAGATGGTATTCTACATTTTGAATAATGGGTTAGTGATTCATTCAAGTGTAGGAAAATGTGGATTCCCCTGTTACGCACTTCCTTTCAGACACTGTCCACCGTCTGTGCGTCTAATCATCATTATTGGGGCTCTGAGTTCCCGAGAGATCATTTTGAAACACAAAGCTAAAGGACTACAGGTGTGATTGTTCTGCAAACAGACAGCTAGAGGGATTTTACGGCAAGCTTGCACCATTGCTGTCTAAAAAAGTGGAATGGAACGACAAGGATGTCGTCATGGCGATGAATTCCACTGCAGTTAGTTCCAGTTTACCAGTGTGAAACTTGAACATGATGTCCGGAAAAACTTAAAAACTGGAATCACACAGTTATGCCAAATTTTCTGAAGAAAACAAGTTGTTCCAGTCGTGCAGAGACTTGGATGCAACCTAAATTCAATTGTCAATAGACATAAAATGTGAAGAAATGTTCTGAAACAATACAGAGGAGTGCTGGATAGTGACCAACAAGATATCTTAAAAACTTACTCGTTCTGCTGTATCTTTTATAGTCGACAATTTTGGCATGATGGATGGCGAAGCTGTCAAACATGTACAAAAATAAGGGCTGTGTCAGCCTGTACCAGCACCATGAGGCCTACATCAGCCTGCCTGCGCCTCCTTCTCTCCTCACTGTTTCCTCCCTACCAACCGTTCTACAGTGCATTTCAGAGGCAACTTGGGTAAACTTACAATGCTTTTCCAATGGGAAGAATGGACAGAACGACACAAAAGAAGCGTTTTCACGTGGCCGTAATCAGCCTGGTACCATCAGATACCAAAGCTGCTTCTCTTTCTTTCATCAAATGGTGCATTTTCTCTGCATCCCTTCACCCACTTAGTCTCAGCTTCTCCAAGCCCCATTATCTTTCAATCTTCTCCTTCTGCGCAGGTCTATTTTTGTTACAATCCCTGCAGCCCTCACTTAGTTTGCGTAAAGCGAGTTTGATAAACAGAAAGTAAATCAATGGGCTAATCATGTCTTTGAGCGTTGAGCAATATTTTCCCTAGTGAGAAATCCTTGCCAGTATAAAACAGTTTGTTCATTGCTCCTCTGTTTCCCCTCTTTAGTTGTTTGAAGCATATCATGTGACATTAGGATGTACAGTATGTAGGACATCAGGTCAAACCTTTTCAAAAAGAGAATTGAAGCATAATGACTTTTTATACAAAGACGACAGTTTGGGAATGATGAAGTTGTCCCTCTGCATTCCTTCTCCCCACAGGGCAGTGATGCCTGGCATGGTGATGTTTCGGCGGCGCTGGTCAGTCGGCAGCGATGACCTGGTGCTGCCCGCCCTCTTCCTCTTTCTATTGCACTGCATCTGGTGAGTCGCTGTATTGATGTTTTGTTTTGCATGTGCATTTCACTGTAATTATATACGCCGTATATTCATTCCACGTTCCATGTCGAGGCTGGTGGTTCTGTCCGTGGTGCTGTTCGGCCTCCCGTATGGCTCCCAGGAGCCCTGCTCTGTGACGCTAGTGGACCATGGCCGAGGGTACCTGGGCATCCTGGTCAGCTGCCTTATCTGTGAGAGCGCCATCATGTGGTTGAGCATGAGGGGCAGCATCCTGTATACGCAGCCCAGGGAAGCAGTGCAGTATGTCATCTACATACGGCTAGGTAAGACACACTTTGACCTCTACCGCCTTTTGATTCCCGAGACAACTGGAAGATGTGGTTGTCAGGCAGAGATTCAAACGCTGTATTGATTGGACAGATATGGATCATTCTTCATCTCTCTCTCTTTCTCTCTCAAGCTATTCTGTTGGTAGAGCTAGTGTATGCTGTGGTGGGAATCTCCTGGCTTGTCCAGTATTATCAGCCATGCTCTGATGTCACTGCCAAAAACCTGGCTTTGGGTGAGAGAGAGAGAGAATATAAAGGAGGGACGGACATTTCAAGATAAGAGTGGATTGAATGTCAATGATAATGGTAATACTCTTTGTAGGAATCGTTGCATGCAACTGGCTGGTCATTTTCAGCGTCTGCGTTACCCTCACGTGCACCTTCGATCCTACGGGGCGGACTTTTGTCAAACTGAAAGCCACCCGTCGGCGTCAGCGCAACCTCACAACATACACACTCAGGTATTACATTTATTTCCGTCTCTCATTTTGTCTTAATGCGACATTAAGGAGTACGCATATCCATAAATTCGGTCTTGACAGTGTTTTTTTTTGCCTTTTCTCACAATTAGGCACCGGCTGGAGGAAGGTCAAGCCAGCAGCTGGAGCAGGAGACTCAAGTTCTTCATGTGCTGCACAAGAGCCCAGGACACACAATCCGTGAGTCACAACACACACTCGTGCACTTCCTCTCTCCGGTCAAAGTGAAACACAGAGGAATGAGAGCATAAATATGTCAGGCACAGTGTCCAGTGAGCCGGTCATTAAAATAATCCTTGACAGGATGAGTCACTGCTGCGACACGAAAAAGAGCTCACTGCTCAGCTACTTACCAGAAATGTTTTAGATTTATATTCATTTTATAGAAAACGTGAATGTAAAATCATTTCATTTCAGTCTAAATCACTTCATCATAGGCTGTCTACAAAACAAGTCCTTAAATCTGCAGTCATATACGTTCTAGTGACTATATTGACCAGCTACACGCTAGGCTGGATTGCACAACTGAAGTCATGCAAGTAAGACATCAGCATCAGTGTTTCCTCTGTGATCATATTGAGAGGTGCCCTCATGGGTGCACCAACACACACACATGTGACGTATGCGTAGGAAACAGTCGGTGTGTCATACTGTCTGCTCCTCTCCTGTCCAGGATGCGTATTCAGAAGTGGCCAGCCTTTTTGCAGAGTTCTTCAGAGACCTGGATATTGTGCCTAGCGATATTATTGCTGGCCTGGTACTTCTCCGCCAGAGGCAGAGGTCTAAGAGATCTTCTATCCTGGACCAGGTATCACTTTCTATAATAAAAAAAAGAAGTCTTATTTGTGTGCCTGCGTAGCCAAGAGCTGGAATGAAAACAGCTTCTCTATTGTGTTGTCTCTTCCAAAGGCCAACAATGACATCTTAGCCTTCCTGTCTGGAATGCCTGTCACTCGTAATACTCGTTACCTGGACCTTAAGAATTCGGTAAGTTTCTTAATGTGTGATTTATTTACTCAAGTGACGGTTGTGCTTTTATCACATAAGTTTTAAAGTTCAGCAATTTAGAAATCTACCACTAGATCATAAAAGTACAACATGTATTTTAAATTGTTTTTAAATTTTTTCATTTTATGTATCTTTTTTTCATTGTTGCTTAAAGTTACGTAAAGTATATACAATGTACAACAAAACTAAAACAGGGGGCTGTCCTAGTTGACAAAGTCACTATTAAAGTTTTTAAAGTAAATTTCACGCCATTTAATTAAAACCGTGGTAATAAATTACAGCCTCCAGTTAATTGAAGATTCTGTCCCTCAGAAGCTTCTCGTCATGTGCATTTTTTTTTTTGTACTTGTAGAAATCTAAATTTACTTCTGCGTATTTAAATATTTAATAGTTTTTTTAATGTGCAATTGCTCTTATTCCTCACCGGTTTGTTCTGACGTGTGTGTGTGTCCGTCTGCCTCTCCCTCCCCCAGACCGAGATGAACATGTACAAGGACGTGTGTTATTACATGCTCTTTGCGCTGGCTGCGTACGGTTGGCCCATGTACCTAATGAGGAAGCCCGCCTGTGGGCTGTGCCGCCTGGCCAGCTCCTGCCCGTGAGCTCTGACACAAACACCTGCACACATTTCTTCTGTTTGACTTCTGTGTCTCTTGAGCTTCTCCAGCGCGGCTCAAACACTTGCCACTGAGATAAAACCATTCCAGAATCACTCACCGACATTGTCTAATTAATCACGTTCTCTCTTACACATCACCTACACGGATACTTACATACGTCTTTTTTTTCTCATCTTTTCCTATCAATCCAGCTGTACTTCAGTTTCTAGCTCCCGGTTGTCTCAATCTGTGACAGTGGAGGAGGACAACTGCTGCGGCTGTAATGTCCTGGCCATACGGAGACACTTCCTGGATAGGGACCTCAAGCAGGTTCAGATTGTCTACACATCCTGCCACGATGCAGTGAGTAATCTGTCAACTGGCCAACAACGAGCAGTTGGAGCTGCTTGTCTTTCACTTCCTAAAGAAGACATGGGATTGGTTGTGTGGGGAAGTAAGAGGATAATCGAATAATACACAGTGTTAGGGAGCTGGGGCCACAAGGACCTGGACTCAAAAGCAGACCCAAGGCGAGGTAGTCAGGGTCAAAAAACAATGTCTTTACTTCAGGCAGGGGTTTGGTACACGGGTAGTTAGACAGAGAATCTAAACGGTGGGCAAAGATTCACGGGGAGACAGAAACAGGTGGAAACACGTGACGACACACTCGGGTAACTCGCTGGTAAGCTCATGAAAACAACAGAGACAAACTGGCACGAAACAAGCAGTCGACACAGACTTAATACGCAGGGGAACGAGACACAGGTGGAAACCATAAGGGCGGGGCTTGCAGTCACAGAGGGCGGCGGCGCACCAGGAGGGAGGCGTCTGAAACGAGAAGCAGGCTGAATGACAGAAAACAAACAGTGACCTAACACCCCAGTCTGGGTGTTACACATTGAAGCTTCCAGGCAATTTTCTGTTGTGTGCTAGCAGACAGAATTACCAGGGAGGGACATTTTGTGCAATAAAAGTCAATGGATAGCGTCAAATTGGTGATGAGTAAAAACAGCTGTTCAAACTGGTTTGGCATGATTGAACAGTTTAACCTGTTCTAGTGTACTTTTACAAGACTAAATGACATCTCTCCAGACATGCATAACTCTCATCCTATCTCCACTAATCCCGCTAAAAAACTGTGAATGGTTGTTGAAATTGTCTCGGAATTTCCTGGTGACGTCAGCGCTGAGTTTCCAGCTATAAATTAAAGGGTTGAATTTCATGAATTATATGACTTACCTGTCGGGTGCCAAGTGGAGACATAGTTGATGAGAAATACTGCTGTACTTGCTGGAATGGAAGTTGAACTAACAAGTATTTTTCTCCTCCTCACTTAGTCCCGTTGACGATTATTCTCGCTTTCTCACCACGTTTTTCTGTCCACTCGACATCTTCCCTGCAGGTCTACGAGACCCCGTTTTTTGTGGCAGTGGATCATGCAAAAAAGAAGGTGGTCATCAGTATCAGAGGAACCTTATCGCCAAAGGTGAATATTATCTTTCCTTGCCGGTTTTTAATAGTAATACGTCTTCAGACCCCTCTAAACATTTCCATTGAATACCTCGCAACACCAACGCCTCCCAGAGCAAGTGAAATCACAGCTTTTATGCAGTGTTCTCAAACTCCTACACCCTTCACGCACGGAGAAATGTGACTGTCCACTTGTGGAACAAAATGTCCTATGGTTTATTTTTCTTTTGCATAAGTATTTGATGATTCCTGTAGTGTTTTGTGACCTGACTAGAACAGTTCAGGGCTGCAGGGCTATGTAAGTTGCTCTCAGAGCAAACCTCCAATGTATCACACGCACACCTTTTACACATAAGATACCGCTTAAACCCTTCTGTTGACCTGGAATTGGAAAAAACCCATTAACTGTAGAATGATCAATCATCAATGATCAATTCTAAAATGAGCATTTACAATTATCTTTGGTCTAACTCTTCTCTTCAATCCTTTTCACTGCTTATGTTGAGATTTTTAATTTTCCTTTTGTGTTGCAGGACGCCTTGACTGATCTAACGGGGGATTCTGAACGTTTGCCTGTGGAGGAGCAGCACGGGACCTGGCTTGGCCACAAGGTCAGAGATATTCATTTTTTAAAATCCTCTCCTACAATACATGAATAGGCTGAGTATACTCCTCTGTATAGTCACCTAGGAGATTTTCCTCATTGGCCTTCTGTTCTTGCATTGCATACGTAACACAAGTGGCATTATTACAGACTGCAAAGGTCATTTCAGTTGTTAATACCAGAGAAATTTCTATGAATATTTTAAGAGATTAATGGGATGGACTTCCTGTTGAAATATCTGTCTCTTTCTTTCCAATCTCAGGGGATGGTTTACTCAGCAGAATACATTAAGAAGAAACTGGAGCAGGAAATGATCTTGTCACAAGCCTTTGGAAGAGACTTGGTACACAACTCAGTATTCTTTATAAATAACGGCAGTGACTAATGACGATTTTCCACACTTTTCATTCTGAACCGGAGTACCGTTAACCAACCTCACAAAATCAGTCTGCATATAGCTGTTGAGCTAAGTTTTGTGGAAGTGATTATGTGCACTGTGGTCGCTAAAGAGTGCTGTTGTGAGTGTGATGACTCTGGCTGTCTCCCACAGAACAAAGGCACAATGCGCTACGGGCTGGTGATTGTCGGCCATTCTCTTGGTGCAGGCACTGCTGCTATCCTCTCCTTCCTGCTGCGACCTCAGTACCCCACACTTCACTGCTACTCTTACTCTCCACCTGGTGGCCTTTTTAGGTGAGTTCACCCGTGTCAGTCGCTCAATGTGACTACATTACGCAGGAAGATGGTAAAAGCCCTGCATAGAGACCCTTTTTCGTCCAACCAAGTGAGGTCACCTTGGTTGGTATTTCTGAATTTAAATACTCCTTGAGACATCTCCAATGGCCTTTAATTGTGCTTTATTTAGTTCATTAGTGACACCATTAAATGATCTCACTTCCCTCTTTCACCGCCCTCTCTCCTAACCAAATTCTTACCCTAGTAACCTCTGCCCGTCCGACCACCTGCCCTCTTGACCCCATTCCATCACATCTTCTACAATCTATCGCACCTGACCTTCTTCCGTTCCTTACCTTTCTCATCAACAACGCTCTGTCATCTGGCTGTTTTCCCAATTCTCTGAAGGAGGCAAGAGTCAACCCTCTCCTGAAGAAACCCACCCTCAACCCTTCTGAAGAAAACAACTACAGACCGGTCTCTCTTCTTCCCTTCTTGTCCAAAACCCTTGAACGTGCTATCTTTAATCAACTCTCCTCTTATCTCCACTGTAACAACCTCCTTGACCCCCACCAGTCAGGTTTCAAGGCAGGCCACTCTACAGAGACTGCTCTCCTTGCTGTCTCTGAGCAACTCCACACTGCTAGAGCCGCCTCTCTCTCCTCTGTCCTCATCCTTCTGGACCTCTCTGCTGCATTTGACACGGTCAACCACCAGATCCTTATTTCCTCCCTTCAGGAACTTGGTGTCACAGGCTCTGCTCTCTCCCTTCTCTCGTCCTACCTCGATGGCCGCACCTACCGGGTAACCTGGCGAGGATCTGTGTCGGAACCTTGTCCTCTTACTACTGGAGTTCCTCAGGGTTCCGTGCTCGGTCCCCTCCTGTTTTCGCTTTACACCAACTCTCTTGGCGCTGTCATTCGCTCGCATGGCTTCTCTTACCACAGCTATGCCGATGACACCCAACTAATTCTCTCCTTCCCTCACTCGGACACCCAGGTGGCGGCTCGGATCTCTGCCTGTCTAACTGACATCTCTCAGTGGATGTCCGCCCACCATCTGAAAATCAACCCCGACAAGACTGAACTACTTCTCTTTCCCGGAAAAGACTCGCTTACCCAGGACCTGACAGTCAACTTTGGAAACTCTGTGCTAACGCCCACTTCGACTGCTAAGAACCTCGGCGTCACACTCGACAACCAACTCTCCCTGACTCCCAACATCACTGCGACAACGCGATCCTGTAGATACACGCTCTACAACATCAGGAGAATACGTCCCCTTCTCACTCAGAAGGCAGCGCAGGTACTGATTCAGGCTCTTGTCATCTCCCGCCTGGACTACTGCAACTCCCTCCTGGCAGGTCTCCCTGCCACCGCCATTCGACCTCTGCAGCTCATTCAGAATGCAGCAGCTCGACTGGTCTTCAACCTTCCGAAATTCTCCCACACTACTCCACTCCTCCGCTCTCTTCACTGGCTACCGGGTGGCCGCCCGCATCCAGTTCAAAACACTGGTGCTCACGTACCATGCTGTGAATGGATCGGGTCCAGCTTACATCCAGGACATGGACAAACCCTACATCCCAACCCGCACTCTCCGCTCTGCATCTGCAAAACTACTCGTCCCTCCCCCACTGAGAGCAAAACACTCGACTAGGTCTCGACTCTTCGCTGTCCTTGCGCCGAAATGGTGGAACGCGCTCTCTGAAGACATCAGGACCGCAGAGAGCCTTCACATCTTCCGCCGCAAACTAAAGACACACCTCTTCAGACTCTACCTCGACTAAAGACTAACAAATTGTAGCACTTAAACTGTACTTGTGACGTCACTCATCTATAGCAAATTGTAAATTCGCTTATTTGAGGAAATTGCACTTTCTTGTTTCTTGTTCTCCTGAGTTTGTACCCTATGGTTGAATGCACTTATTGTACGTCGCTTTGGATAAAAGCGTCAGCTAAATGACATGTAATGTAATGTAATGTAATGTAATCTTAACACATGGCTCTTCCACGCTCGCCCTGACCACGTTCGCTCTGTCCTCCTGATTATATCGACCTTGCGGCCTAATTAAAACATAACCTCCCACCACTTAGGGCACATATGTCAAACTCGGTCAAAAGTCGGTGTGGACCGCCGGGTGACTTTGCTATTGTGAGAAATACAGAACGGTCCTCGCGCATGCGCGGTCGCTTCTGCCTCTTTTATATCGATCGGTTGGTTCCTTTCATCAACAGAATGTGATTTTTATTTTTATTTTATTTTATTTAACCTTTATTTAACCAGGTAAAAGTTCCATGATTTGGTGTTAATGGCCCATGGTCATTAGGATCATCAGACAATCCAAGCTGTGAATTGGCCGCTCCTCTTTGGACTTTGAAGCCATCTCTTTTGAAGCCAATTTGTAATCCCCTCGAAGCATCATCTGCTGGATTCTGAGCTGAAGGAATATCTCCACTGTGCCGCCTCTCAAATAGCTGCTATTCTATTGGCAACAAATGTTTGAAACGTTTTGTCCTCATTTTTTTTATTGTTTTTTTACAGAATTGTGGCTCTTCCAAAAGAAGCTGTAGTTCTGAACTTAGCATCTTGTTCACTTCAACAGCAACCGTAGCAATTGTGAGCTCCAAACGAGGGATGGTCACTTGTTTTAGTGGAGCCGCCCTGGTTTTGCAAACAGATGAAGGTAACCGTTCCGTATGCGCTTTCACTGGCATCACAGAAGGGATGCAACTGAGCAGATATTACATGGCCAAAGTCTTTAGGTTTGAAGCATCTACTGACCTTGAAACGTGACCCACACGTTCAAGATCTTCCAACCATTTGTTCCATTTCTGTTGAACGTTTTGGGGTATTGGATCATCCCAACCACACTTCAAGGTACACATTCTTGCAGAATTATCGTAGCTGGAATTGTGAATGGTGCCCAAAAGGATCGTAGACGGAACTGATCATGGATAACATCCCATGATGTCAAAATGTTCAACTTTTACTTGATGAAACGCGCATCAGCCATGATTGCTACAGGTTTTTGCCTAAAGCGTGTCAAAACTGCTAACATGAGTGTGTCAGGTTTGGCCCCTGTAGAAGCTGACTGTTCAGCGAGATTTCTTTAAATTCTGCTCCATGGTGAGGTGATGCTGATGCTCTGGCACATTTTCAGCATATCCTTCATCGATGACATCAGTAAGGAAGTTTGCATATTCTATGTGAAAACTTTCATCCTTTAGAAGTCTCCTTTCAGTGAGCTGATTTATTTGACGTACCGGTAATTACATGGGGTGTCCTAAAAGGGAACCTAGTTTTGTCATTTTTAAGCTGCACTGAACCTTTCACTATTTCCATGAACTTCCTTTCTTCTCCTGACATCTCCTCTTTGTCATTAGAGAAATTCTCACTGAAATTTTGGTTGTACTGTGTTGTCAATAGTTCTTCCAACACCAATCTAATTAACAGTAACAGTAGGGTAGCCACTCCCGCCCTGCTTTGCGCAGTTCCCACTAAGAGGTCCATTAACCACCCAGCCCAGTTGAGTTCTTACTGCATATGGTCCCTCTCTCAACTATTGATTACTTCCCATGGCTCCATTAACTTTGAGGGGTTTCTGCCGATCAACAAATCAACTTCAGCGTTAATACTTGAAAGATGTAAATATTCCCTGTAAGTCCACTTTGACAACTTTTCTTCAGAAATGACACTTGGAAGCTCAAAGAACTTATTGCCAGCAAATTTTGAGATTTCCGAATTTTTTTGACAATACAGCTCGGTAGGGTAGTACTGTGACCCATTGTACATAGATTAATCTTTGTTTTTCTTCCTTTTAATGTCCAGTCTTTCCATTAGACTTTCAGAACAGAAAGTGTCAGTGCTTCCTGGATGCAGGAATGCGTAGATCTGTATGACTTGGTTTCCCTTCATACACTTAACATTGACAGGTAGGATTGAAAGGATGCCGTTACTGCCTCCAGCCCCTGTATGACCACAAGTAGAGACAGTTGTGCCACTCACCACCCGTTCCTTTGACTGATCTTCAGCCTTTGCTCCTTTCCCTTTTATCAAAGTGAAGAACTCTGGTTGCAAAAATAAGCGTTTACTGCAACTCTTGCTCATGTGTCCCATGTGCAAGCAACGAAAGCAAACTCCTTTCTATTTCAGAAAGTCCAACTTTTCCCGATGTGTTCTTTTCCTCAACTGTGGACAGTGCTTCAATGCGTGTCCATACGTACAGTGCACACAGGAAACATTTGATACTGTAGGTGTCATATTTTGCATTAGATTTTCAATGCTTTTCTTGGTTACACTCACAGCGGGTTCAGTAGGCATAAAGACAGCAGTTGCAAAGCTATTTCTTTTGGACTGCAACCTTGGATTTCATTTTGCCTTGTTGCCTCCTTTATTTACACCATCTTGAGTGTCCTGGATGTCGCCGAAGATGGGATCAGAAATAATTTTGACTTGGTACTCAATGAACTTGATAAAGTCTCTAAAGCCAGATCTGCAACCTTCTTTTTCTGAGATTTCACATGCAGCTGCTCTCCACTTTTCCCTGAGCTTGTACGGACGTTTCTGCATGATGGTTTTCATGTTTGCTGCCATTTTAAGTTCATCTAAATATTGCAATTCCTCTATAGCATTGCAACATTCTCGTGAACACAATGCATATGCCTGTAGCCCTTTAACATCTTCTGCCTTAACAGCAGCCCATCCAATGATTTTGTCCACATAGGCAGCTGTGGCCTTTAGTTCATTTCCAAAATGATTTCCAAGAAGTTTTTCGGCCAAGTGTGTCTGGAGCCATATGTTGGCAACTGCGCACCAGATCTCTAGGCTGCCCACCAGTAAACGGCTCAAGATAATACAAACAGTCTCCTCGGTTTGTTTTAGCTTTGACACAATGTTGAAAAGCTCTGATGATGAAAGATCTCAATTGTAAAGGATGGCCTTCAAAAATGGGAATCTCTCTGCGTGGGAGTTCTGTGTCTATACAAGTGCTGTCACTTAATTTTGTCTTTGTAACAGACTGTAGATATCTCCATTTACTTTCCTTGGAATGATGCTGGTTGCTGACCACCAGATTTGGAATCAATTTTCTTTGATCAAATTCTTGCCACTTGTCCTTTTTCTCATTAGCTGCTTTTTTAGTATCATAAGGAGCATAAGGATTACGTGCTGCTCCCTTTATGAAATATGATTCCATTCCATCTGAATATGTTCTGTAAACGCCGACATGCTTCGAGCCATTCAACACTGCTAACTTTGCTACAGAAGCTGCTATATTCAGTGTCAATTTGAATTTGTTCCTGTTTCCTCCTAAATTACTCCACCTGCTCCTCCAGAACATGTTTCTTCTGTAGCGCTGCAGAACGTCCCATGAGTGCAGCCCTTTCTGCCTCCGTTTGACGCCTTGCTGACCCCAGAGACATTACTTGTTCGATCTGAGAATTTGTTTGAACCACTGGAGCCAACATTTGAAATGCTGTCCTGAGGCTAATCTCATCACTATGAACATCAAGAAGTGCAGTATTGGGGCAACTTTCGTTGCAGACTAGCCATTTGTTTATATTTATGAATTTCCACCTCCTCTTAAGGTACCAACTTCATCAACGCTTCATGTTTTACTTTTGCTTCACAACAAAGAACCTTTTCAGATGTACCTTTTACCTCTGTGACAGAGGCAGTCCGTGTACTTATTGCCGCTCGATCCGCTCGGTTCAGTTTGTTTTGACGCGTCTAAATACTCCTTGAGACATCTCCAATTGTCTTTAATTGTCCTTTATTTTGTTCATTAGTAACACCATCAAACGATCTTAACACATGGCTCTTCCACGCTCGTCCTGTCACGGTCAAAAAACTATTTAGCTCCCCACAAACAGCAACACAAGCCCTGGATCTGTAGCGGTTGTCCAGTTGACGTCACTGCTAAAGTTCAGCATATCACACCTAGAATGAATATTTTTTGCTTTTACAGAGTTGGGAATTTTCAGTTCATCTCAGATGATCCCCGCTGTGTTTACATTGGAGCCCACTGCTGTAGACAGTTGTTGTATAACAATTCTCCAATCTATGAATCATTTATTTATTTCATGACCTCATTACATTTTTTTCATGGATTACAGATAAATAATGGGATAAATAATCCCATCATTTTAGGAAGTTGGTCTGTACCAAGGGTTAAGGTTGTAAACTAAATGTTTGTTAAATAAATGATGTAGTTCACCAACAATGTTGTTTATTGGAGTCAAAAGAAGCAAATCTGTCGGACTTTGGTCAGAAGTTACGGGGGACAATTTAGGAAAAAATCTATGCTTCCATTCAGGGGTCACCAAAGGATTGGAGAATGAATGAAGCAGAATGAATCATTTTCAGGCATCGATCGGTTCACATGCAATATCAACGGAGAACGGAGTTCCTGTTGTTCAGACTTGTTTATGGCGTGAAAGGAGGGTCGACCCCTTCTGTGGTTTTTGATTCTCTTTTGCTTCTGTCCATCATTTCCAGTATTGTATCAGCCAAAGTATAACCGGACTCACATGTTTGGTCCCTCGTTGGCCAGATAAGTACTTGATGTTGAACAGTGTACTGTGTTTGTTTTTCCATTATTTGGATAGCGTGAAACAAATGTTTGCTTGAAGTGCGCTCTAGAAATGTGCACAGAGAACTTTGTTTCCTCTCAGGTCACACCCTTCACTCTCTCTACGTGTCCTATACACATAATATACCAGTTTCTTTCTTCTCTTTACCCAGTGAGGATGCCATGGAGTACTCCAAAGACTTTGTCACATCGGTGGTATTGGGAAAAGACCTGGTACCAAGGTATCTCTTGTACAGTGTCACGTATGCTGGGGTTGACTTTACTTTGTTGCAGTATTACCACATTGACCGTGATCTGTTGCTGGTCTTTTGTAGGCTCGGCCTGTCACAACTGGAGGGCTTCCGACGCCACCTTCTGGAAGTCTTGCAGAAAAGTAACAAGCCAAAGGTGACTTGATCCCTTGACACTAGAAGATGTCGGCCAGATAGATTAGTGGACCTGCTGTACAATGTAAACATCAATAAGAACAAAATAGGAAACTGATACATTAGGTAGCCTCTGATGCCACGCAGTCATTTACCGGAATGCTTTATGGACTATAGAAAAAATATATATATTTCTCATAAAAATACTAAAACTAAAGTTAAATCGATAAATTAAAATAAACTGCAGTCTTCCACACAACCATTAAGATTCAGAAGTCCTGTTGCAGCACTAAAATGTATTTTTCTTTACAACAGTGGAGGATAATTGCGGGAGGCACCAAATGCATCCCCAAATCAGAGCTTCCAGTAGAGGCCGATGACCCGCAGTCACAGCCGGCAGCCCCCCCCAGCAGTCGCATGTGGCTCCACCCGAGTGACCTCAGCATTGCCCTTTCAGCCTCCACCCCCCTTTATCCTCCTGGCAGGATCATCCATGTGGTGCACAACCATCCTCCAGAGATGTGGTGAGAAACATTTCTGTAGACTACAGAAAATACATCTTTTTTTTTCCTTTCTACTATTACGCCTCCCTAAGAATCCAGCAGCGATATCAGTGGAAAATATGAATATTTTGTCAATACATTTAATAAAATGCTGTTGTCAAACGTCCTGCATCAGCTGTGCTGTTCTTCACGGCCAGAATACAGTTCAGTTATCTGATAAATAACAGGTGGATGTAACTAGAGGTGTCTGTGATGTGAGGTGGTAATAACAGCTGTGAAAGACCGTGAAAGATCTTTTTATCCCGATTCCCTTCAAGTCTAGTTAGATAACAATATTCAGTTAGGGTGAACTAACCTTCTACAACACAGGCAAAGGTCGCTGAGGGTTACATTGCAAACCATCAATGGAAGCCATTGGAAGTCCGCCAAGGTGCAAAGTTCATCAGACAGTGTGTAGCTTTGAAATCTTTAACCATCTTCCGCAAGCTGGTGCGAAACAACAGGGTATAAGTGGTTTAGCCAGTCAATGACAGCAAAATGTCAAATATGAATTAAAAAGGACACTGCAAAGCTACTGGTTAGTTTTTCTTTGTGGTCTTCGCTCACCTCACTGTTCTTCTTGCTTCAACTTTATATCATTTTACATTACGGCATCCAAGCGCGTTAGCTTTCTGCTCAGATTTGCTCAAGTCAGAAAACAATCTTCTACTCAGTGGTGTCATGGCCTGGATTCTGCTTCTCCCATTTAGCCGTTGGCAAATCAACATGTGCGTTGAATTTGTACCTCACTGTGATTGACAGACTCTTTCTGTCCCTGTAGCTGCGGCCAGGAGGAGCCAACCTACTCGGCTCTATGGGGGGACAACAAGGCCTTCAATGAGGTCATCATATCACCCGCCATGCTTAATGAGCACATGCCCCATATGGTGATGGAGGGCCTTAACAAGGTCTGTTTTATCTTATCAGCAGGGGTTGGAAAATATTTTAAAATCTTGTTCATAATTCTTAACACTGGTGTATGTGTGTGAATTCCAATTCATTTGAAACCTATTTAAAGATGATGTGTTTTAATCTCATGTTTATGATGTTGCAAAGATGGAAGAAAAACATTACATTTCCTGTTTTCTCAAGTGTTCACTTAGTCTCTTTGAGGTTGATTCCTTCTTCATGGTCACTTTCTGCATGTGCTCCTTCTTTAACACTTGACCCACCTCACCTTGTTTTTTTTTCCTTCCAGTCTCAAAGCATGGGGGCTACTCTCTCCTGGTGGATGATAATCATTTCTGTGTGTATGCGTGTGTCTGCTATGCCTGGTCTGGAGTTTGATACCTCTGGTGTCTCTGCAGGTCCTGGACCCGTTAGGTCTCGTGTCTGAGCAGGAGATCTCAGGACTGGAGGAACTGGAAGCCACTCAACCCGCCAACAATACAGCTATTGTCATAACCTCGCAAACAGACCTAAACTCTAGTCCTCATCCCTCTGATTCTTCCCTTCTCGCCATCACAGATGTGCCTCTCGCTGCCTCCCACACGGGGAGTGAGGCTGTGTCCGTCCCTCTGTCGGCAGTCGCTTCCCCTTCTTTTTCAGATGCGGAGTCTGCTCTTCCTCCTCCACCTCTGATGGACTGTACTTCTGCCTCAGAGCCGTGCTCGGCCCCTCCTCTGACTAACAGTCCCTCCAACTCTCTTTTGGGAACCCCCTCAGTTGCAGATGATGCGAGCGCTCCACCTCAAACCCGATCCGATCCACACGATTCTCACCTCCTCGTAGATCGGATTGCTGCGCCTTTTTTTGAGATTCCGTCTGATCAATCTAACTGTGCGCACATCGAAAATCATCCACTAAAGATAGTAACATCACGTAGCTCTTCACAAAAACAAAAAGGCTGTAGTTTACAAGCGCCCAACAGTCCTTCTGATACTCATGTATAGACCTATCGATTTCACAGTATTAGACTCGTTCTTCATTTTAAGACATTGTGCAACGTTTAAAAACTGTCAGTGTTACTTTAAATATTGTCACTGTGGTCGGACTTCAGATTTAGTAGTAGAATTATTTTGCCTGATGGTAAAATTAAGGGTTTGGTGTTCATTTTAAGAAAAGGGCCTCCTAAAATGACTGGTACTACTATTTATTTATTCAGCTGTTATAGTAGTTAAGCAAAACTGGAAAAATGTTCCCTCTTGCTGACGTCCTTTCGCTTTTTCCAGTTGCACATAAAAGCTAGTGACTGGCTGCCACAAGTCCGGGCAAGTAGTTCAGATTCCAGTCCGTAGCCAGGTGAGGCGAGGAATGTGCACAATGACAACAATGTGATGCAGTAAATGTCATCATAGATAGCCCCTGGAGTACATTGCTGGTCTACAATGCATAAAACCGTAAAAAAATATATCTTCTTACAACGCTGCATGAGTCCCAAACACGCCTGCACTCTCTCTCTCTCTCTCTCTCTCTCTCTCTCTCTCTCTCTCTCTCTCGTTAATGAGATTCAACATTCAGCTTTGTTTAAATCAACCCTTCATTCTATTCCATTCCTCTCACAGCTACCATACACATTTTTTTTGTATGCAAGTTTCCATGGTAACCTAATTTCTTCCACATTAACTGCTCTTTCTTCCTTCTCGACTGGCTTTTTCAGTAGACTCAGCTCTTCTTTCCTGCTCCCTTTTGCCTTTTGAAAGCACATATTTAGCCTTTCCTCAATAATCCCTTCAAGAAAGTGTCAATTACTCATCGGCAGCAGATGGTGTAACAAGGGGGACAATAGTGTCAATATGGAGTATTGTGCTCGTCTCCACTGCACTGCTGTGAAATTGATGCACAAATCTTAACAAATAATTTCAGCTTATTATTCTCTTGGTGTAATTAACAAGACATGTTTTTTATAATGCTAAGTGGAAATGTGTTTTATTAAATTATGTACATCGGATGATTGCATAGCTGAAGGGGTTTCAGTACATTATCGGATATAATGGAGTATAAACTTTAGGAATAGATTTCTGTCTCTGGGTGATCACTATGCAGTCTTGTGCTTTGTTTAGTGCCTATGATGTTTTGAAACTGGTCGGTGCCAAATATTTGCTGCAGTTTATCACTCACAGCCATCTTGTCCTCATGTACCGTCAGACACACTCACCCATGTAACATCATCACGTTCTGTGTGATCCGTAACCATCTGCATAACCCACACGTTATAGACATGTAGCTTAAAGCGCTATGCTTTTCAGTCTTGGCTTACATGCCTCCTAATTTATTGTTGTCATTTTGTTGCCATTGATGCATGAATTGTACGTCGTTGTTTCTTGTGTGTTTTCATGTCATCTCATTGGTCTACTTGTCCTTCTACCATAATGTGGCTCCACCAAGTATTTAAACTCATTAAAGTAAGCCAAATACATCTGCTCGTGTGTTGACGTGATGTGCTGTCTGTTCTCACATGTTTAACAATTATTAACACAACACTGAGATTTTGTTAGACAGGGTGTTTCTCGTATGCTTTTGAAGCATGTAAAGTTGTCCAATGGTTTAACTATCCATTCATCATATTGTATTTCTTGCTCTGGCATCATGACTTCATTGTGGGTGTTTATTGTCAGTTGGAGCTCACTTTAACATTACACTTGCATATCTGGACTTTATCTGCAGTTGAATATAGATTTCGTAGCCTGTGTGTTGATTTCCACACTATAAATGGCCAGAAAATTATACTAATCTAGTTTACCTACATTCTCTTTTATTAATTGTTATTCCACATGTTGTTGAAGAAGATTATAAAAAGTAAATGTTATTTCTCACAGTTATTTGAGGTTCCTCTGCAACGAAAAGCCAAGAAAAAATATCGGTTTGGTTTGCAAAACTAGGCAAGCAAATGTAGTTTTTATTCTGTCCACGTGGCTTCTCAATGCACATCCTCTCCTCTCCTGCCGTCGTCATGCCCATATCTGTCGAGTCACGGGTCTGTCCACCTTTGTGCTTGTGGCAGGTGCTGGAGAACTACAACAAAGGGAAAACTGCTTTGCTGTCAGCAGCCAAGATCATGGTGAGCCCCACTGAAGTGGACTTGAACCCGGAGAGCATGTTCGTGGACACGTCAACGACTCAGCAGCCGACGCCTACAGCCCACCACCTCAGGAACAGCAGCGTTCGGTTAGTACACCGGGGGGACGCTGTGGGCGTGTTGGAGCCTTAAAATATAAATAAAACCGTTTGTTGGATCCTCTCTATATTGAGTTTCACCTCTAACTATAATGGAGGTATAAACTGTCAGGGTAATCATGGAGATATGTCAGATTGAACATAGCCAATACTCAACAATACTACTGCTACTAACTGCCACTTTATTGTTTTCTCAAAATCGTCATTTCTGTCTGGTCCTTTTGGTTTAAAAAAACAAAAGACAAAAACCATTGTTACGGTAAGCAATGCATGCGAATACTAATTTTGCATAATGTGATCCCTTCTCTCATGCACGCATGCACACTGACCACAGAGCAGTTGCAACGTATGGTCGTGTCCGGTTCCCTCCTCGCCCCCCTCTGGTTTAGCTCCTAGTAGTGGTTCAATTGTGATGTTTCTTGCATTACTGATAAAGGATCACTAGGATACACTCCTGGCCTCCACGTGTCTCCTTTTTCTCCCCTCTTGATGTTTCTTTCTGGTGTGCACCTAGTCTGTAGACTCCAGATATGATTTACGTACCAACACCTCCCCGTTTTTCTCTTTTTTAACCCACTGCAAGTTATTTTGACCCATTTTTCATGTTTGTCTTGTAATTTGGAAACCCCTCCCCCTTCCTCACCCTGTCACTACTCTCCAACCCCGTCTTCTCTTCTCCTCTAGTTCGTGTGCCCAGTCTGAAATTTCCCTGGACGGTTTCGCCGAGTGCCCGCCTCCGCCGGTGCCCGTGGTGCTGCGCGGCGCGCGGGAGCGCCTGACCGTGGAGCTGAGGGACCGCAAAGCCCCGCTGGCGATCATGGAGAGCCTCTCGGACGCCGAATCCCTCTACAGTCTGGATTCCCGACGCTCTTCGGCTGCTCTGAGGGGTTCGCCGATGCTGAGTAGCCTCCCGTTCCCTCTGGACGCCCCGATCCCCGAGGAGAACCCGTCTCTGAGCTCTCGCACTGAGCTACTGGCCGCCGACTGCCTCTGCCAGGAAACACCGGAGCACCTCGGGGAGGTGGGGCCCTTCTTCGACCCGCTGGAATCCAGATCCACCCCGGATTACTCCATGCGGCTGTCTCCCACCACGTCTCACTACAGCGGACACCATTCCCCGGCGCTGCAGAACCAGAGCGGCTCGGCTCGGCCCTTCAAGCCGGAGCCCAACGCCAACCAACAAAGAATTCTCGATGGGGATCACCAACAAATGCCCGGCGTCTACAGCCCGGGGAGCACGCCCGTCTTTCCGCTCAGCCCGCAGATTGGTTCCAGACCAGCGGATGGAGATAATGAAGATTGGGAGCTGGAGATGGCGGAGAAACAGGTATGTGCAGAGGCCAGACCGGTAGCTTCCTCTCCACCCCAGCTGTCCAACGGCAACCCCAGCCAGGCCGTGCTGGAGTTCGCTCAGTACCTAGACTCTCTATTCAGACTGGACGGCAGCAGCTCGCCACCTTTGGAGCTGTCTGACGGGGAGTCCGAGTCGGGCCGGGGCTCCTTTGGACAGGGAGAGTGTCTCGGAGATGGACAGCCACTGGACGACAAACAACTCCTGGCCAGGGCAACAACGGAGCCCAACCTGGTCCCCAAGCCCCCACGCACTTTTGCCGGATCTGCTGACCCGTCTTCAGGCATCTCTTTGTCCCCCTCTTTCCCCCTCTCGTCGTCCGAGGAGCTCAACGACCTTTCCCCTGGCGAGGGCGCCCTGCCGGCCACGCACTCCCTACGAACCTCTAGCCCGTGCCACTGTCCTGAAGAGAACACGCTGTCATCTATGGTGTAGTGTGCTCCCGAGACTCCGATGTCCTTTGCTCAAGGGTGACGGGTGCAGTCATTTAAAAATGTAAAACATATCACAGTAGGTGCATGCGACGGAAGGCATTCACTCATTAGAGATCCAATGACGGGACCTGGCGGACCGACACGCAAGCTGATTCCATTCTTCAGGTGATGCCAGTGAACGCTGTTTATAGCATTTTCACACGATTGCAATGACTCGGAAAAAGAAGATACCTCTGTCTGCATGCCACTGGGCCGCACTGCTTTCGGGTGAATGCAAGTAACTGTAGCTTCACAACGCCATTCCAAAACAACGCCGTCTCGCCCACGCGAGGACGCGTCACATCAGAGCCCCGAACTGAACGAAGTCAAAGAGAATACATAACTGAGCAGGGGCTCAAAGCGGACAGCGTAGAGGAGGTTAGCATAGGCACATCATCTGGGTTGGTCCGGCACCCTCAGCAGCTCTGGACATTTCGTCCAGCTTTTATTTCATTTTTTTTTTTTTTTTAAATCAGGAATGTGAAGATGAACATATTCATCAAACAATAGAAGTGAGAAGACTTTGTGAAATGTTCCTCAGGTCTACAAAGAATTGACTTGTGAGAAAGAGAGTAAGTGTGTTACGTTGGTGAGAATTCATGTGTCTTAAAAATGTAGTGATTGTGACAAAGTTATTACGGAAGCCTATGGATGTTTTTTGAGTCTTTTGGTTACTCTTTATAGTGCATGAAGTTTTTTCTTTTTTTCCAGAGAAAATGTCAAGAAACCACGTAGGATTTGGATACTCCTGCCCACATCATATTGCTCAATTTACCACCAAAATATTTGCCAAAAAAAGAAATACATAGTATGCCAAATGTATTTATGAGCTGTAGTTTTGTACACGTATAGAGATACTGCTTTATTTACACGAGCTAAGTTCATTACCTCCTTCCCTTTCTGTTGGTTCCCATGTAGACTGTTACACAGCAACACCAAGGGGGAAAAATGCTGTCCTGACCTTTAAACACTGCCATGGCTTTCATTTGGAAAAACACAACCTCAGTAACTTGCCAACAGTCGTCCCAGTCTCATAACTACTGTACCGTTGTTTGTGCAGCGCTCTTAGCAGTGAGCCCAGGTCAGAGTAAGCATGCTTTATGCATTTCACAGTAGCACGGCTGGTATAGAAATGTCCTTTAGTTATAGTCAATATGATCTAAACATGTTTAGAGATAATAATAATATATGTAAACTCAAACATTATACATGCTTATAAAATGCCTGGGTCACCAGACAGGAGCAAACTGTACTCTTAAGAATGTCCCGGGATCTCGTGTCTTTAGTTCTCAAGGTGCTCTCAGTCATCTTGGACGTCCAGGTGTTTGCTTCCCTTTAATGTGGTTCATCTCAAACACCCTCGATGGACTCAATGAATGAATGAATGGGCTCAAACCTCACATATGCCAACTCTGATACCGTACGTGGCATACAATCTTCCATATCACTCTGGGTGTAACCGGTGGCTCACAATTTGCATTATTTATTACAGTTAATGTTGTTATCAATTTTATTGCTATATTTGATGGTATTATTATCCTTATTGCTCTTGCAACACATTGGTTTGATGTTAGTGGTTTTTAATCTCAATTTTTTTTAAGGACAGTGTGGGAAACTTTTTAGACTTTATCCAAATGTAAGGAGTTGTATATTTCAGCTTTTTTTTCTGTCCGAGTTGAAAGTTATTTGACAGTCTTCAATGGCATGGTGACGATACGCCCTTTTTACAAATGTTTGATGGTGGTGGGACGTGGAGCACAGAGGGGCAGCTTGCTCACAGCGACCTCTGGTGCTGCGCCGCCATCGCGCCTGGAGTCACCATAGTAATCAGCACAGTCTCTCTTTTCGGATTAAGATATGTTGTGATTACTCGCGGCAGACAGTTCCAGACAGTTTACAGTCTTACACTATTCAAGTCATGCTGCCGGTCCCAGTAGACTCTCACAAGGTACACTTGCGGTTGTGCTGGCGATTTCCTACTTTTGGTAACTTTGCTTGCAGCCGGTCATAAACTAAAACACTGCTAAAAGAAAGCACTATAATACTTTTTACCATGATGTGTACAGCACCATGTTCTACGTGTAATTATGTATGCAGATATCTATTTAAAAAAAAGATGAATTAGAATCACGCAGGAAACAACTATATAACAATAAGGAGGTGATGAATATATTAAAAGATGTCAGAATTGACTTTATCCGAAAGTTATTTATTCAAACTATTGGCAGATTTACAAATTGGTCTATATTGAAAGAAGAAGAATTCAACTGTGTCTTGTCCATATTTACCTGGTTTGCTTCCTCTCCTTTCCTGCCCCACAATGAGAATGTATTAACCCCCCCCCCCCCCCCACTGCCCTGCCTGTAATAGAATAAACTACAAACCATAAAAGTAACTAGAAATTCTGTCATACCTATTTCCTTGTGTATTGCTAATATACCGGTGTTTGCATTACGATGGCTGCTATTTTAGTGAGTCACGAATTGGGGTTGATTGTCTCCGATGTTCTGGGTCAGATTGTTTCCCTCCCATTGTTAAGATACAGTTTAGCCTCAGTATAATGGAGGATAATAGAAATATAATTGTTGGCTTTCTTCTAAAAACATCATGCGTGTCGTAAGGGCATTCAGGCAATCAACTTGTTTCAATGACTGACTGTTGTAAACAAGTACCAGGGACACATGAAGCTGTACATTGAAGTAGATTTAGCTAAATTAAAACCCACCTAAAATAAAGTGCTTTGTATGTAAAGAAAATATTTAAGACTGCTGAGTTTCTCTGACTTATATTTAAGTCGAGGTATTATGATTCTGCTGTAAAAACTGGTACATTACCTTTGATAAAACAAGTTACCACTAGTAAAAATGATTATACTTCTATGAATTATGATCGTATGACAAGTACATTTTTGTTGAAACGTGTCAGTACACCGCCACTCCCACCAGAGGGAAGCGTAGCATCTACCTGCCGAGTGACTAACATACTTGCCCGAAGCGAAGAAGAATGACTGAGGCTTCCGGTAGCGCTAGCGTTAGCTCGGCTAGGTTAGCATTCCCAGCGTATTTACAAGTGTAGCCTTGTTTTCTAACAGTTGCCATGAATTAATTAAGACTTTAAATTAAGACACCTGAAACCCCGCTCCGTTAGGCGCCTCGGTAAGTTTAAAACATGCACCCGATACATTTTGAATTGCCCCTCTGTTGTGATTGTTTCATGTTGGTCAATCATTTCAGCTGACGTTAATGAGTCAACTTAGCGTGAATGTTTAAACGGCTGGTTTATTTAACGTTAACTAGCGTCAGCTAGCTACTGGCTACGTTAGCTCGGTTAACCGTTAGCGTTAAGTCACTCATCGCTGTTATTTGAAAAATATCCAATTAAGTTAATGTTAGCCAATCAATTTGTTAAATGTTTGCCTTACTCGTAATGTTCATTTTTCATCGCTGCCATCGGCAGAGGGGATTGTTACCAATAAGCTAACGTTAACTATCGTCACTTGCGTCGTTTACAGCAAAGGCGTTGAAATCAACGGCTCTTGATTGAGGATTGGTCATGATGACATTACTGGTAGCTAACATACTGCGATTTGAAGGGGGGGGGGGGGCACGATTAACGTTAACTTTACCTTTTTTTTGTCCTAGGGTAACGTTAGACTGTACTGTCATTGATCCCGTCCGACCCGTCTGTTAGCCATGTACGCCTCAGGGAAGTACAGCTCCCGGGGCCCTGCTCTTATCCCGCGGATGAAAACCAAGCACCGCATATATTACATCACGCTCTTCTCCGTGGTGCTGCTCGGGCTCATCGCCACCGGCATGTTTCAGTTCTGGCCCCACTCCATCGAGTCGGCGGCTGACTGGACCCTTGATAAACGCAGTGTTCACGACGCACCTCTGGTCCGCCTGTCGGTCTCCAGCCTGATTCCGGAGAGGGGAGACCTCAGCTGTCGCATGCACACCTGCTTTGACGTATACAGATGTGGCTACAATCCTAAAAACAGAATAAAGGTAAGTGTGCTTCAAAACACGAGGTTACACATAGTCAGCGTGTCACTGCACTTGAGTATTGTTGAAGTGAAACCCCGTTGTTGAATTGGTTGCTTTTGTAGGTGTACATCTACCCTCTGCAGAAGTTTGTGGACGAATTGGGGGTCCCCATCAGCAGCACTGGGCTGTCTCGAGAGTACAATGACCTGCTCAGCGCCATCTCCGACAGTGACTTTTACACTGATGACGTTACCAGAGCTTGTCTTTTCATTCCGTCTATTGATGTGCTCAACCAGAACTCCCTGCGTATCAGGGAGACCGCCCAGGCTCTGGCAATGCTGCCCAGGTAAATGTTTACGCTGTTACTGAGCGTGTTGGTCGAATTTCACTGTGCAGTAAATTTCTCACTTTTTTTCCTCCTCCTCTCAAATTACCTGAATATCTGTGCTGCTGTCATTGGTTTTACGTTTCAAATGTAGCTTTTTAATCCCATCAGGATGTGTGTGTATATATTTCCGAAAAGAAAAGTTAAATTAAATGGTGAAAGCAAGTAATTTACAAAAAATAAGTTACCGTTAAATAATTGCCTGAAACACAGATTTAATTTTTTTATCAAATAATCTCTTCATTATTTTCTCCTGTATGTTTTGGTAGATGGGACAAAGGGATGAATCACCTACTTTTTAACATGTTACCCGGAGGCCCTCCAGACTACAATACTGCTTTGGATGTGCCCAGAGACAGGTACCTCTGTTTACTATAATCTAGATGGAAACTTATGGAATTATGTTTAACAAAAGTTGTATTTTATGATTACCGATGTCATATTTGGTTTAAAGGATAGGTTTGGTGGACACATTTCAATAACCTCCAAGTTTGGGTGTGTGTTGCAGTCATTTGTGAAGTTTTAAAAATGGATGGTTGAGGATGGATTTTTGAAAGATTCTTTAGGCAACAAACACTTGTCTTTGGCTCTAAGGAATTTCCTTTCTTCATTCAGCTGGAGTCAATTTTGTATTGAGCATCATCAGAAGCAGGTGTTTGACTGACAGTGTGTTTCCACTTAGAATAAACAAATCCAAAGTACAATCCAATCACCAGATGGACGACATGGTGTATATTAACTTGGGCCCTTAGCCGTATCTCATGTTACTTCATGTCTCACATTAGCGTTGTTGGTAGCAAACATTGTCATCAAAAGCAAATTATTGAATGACTGCGTGAGCTTGTGTTCCAAATGATGTTCATGCAGGTCATGTTTGTTGAAATCACTTAAGTGTTGAAGCATTGTTTCAGTCCTGGGCCATTCATTTCAGAGTGCTGCTGGCTGGAGGCGGGTTCTCTACATGGACATACAGACAAGGTTATGATGTCAGCATTCCAGTTTACAGCCCCCTCTCTGCAGATGTTGAGCTACCTGAGAGACAACCGGGGTGAGCATCTCTCACATGTTAACATTATTATCTTGTTTGTGTTGGCACATCATGACCGGCTGGCAGGCACTCTGCTTAAGTTGCCCCTCAAAATGTTCTTTTCGTAGGGACCTACAGATCTGTTATATTTAGAATATATGTCTAAATAAAATTACGTTGTTGTGGTTCTCAACAGTTTTTTGTGTACTCGAGGAGTCCTTTGAAGTTAACAATGTAAACTAGTATAACCAGCTGCATCTCTCCTGTCTCCGTTGTCTTAGTCCACGGCGCTACTTCATTCTATCTTCTCAAACGGCTATCCACCGGGAGTACCGCGCTGAACTGGAGCGCTTGAAGGAAGAAAACGGAGAAGCACTGCTCCTCCTGGACAAGTGTAGCAACCTCTCTCAGGGGGCCGCCTCTGCACGAAAACGCTGCTTCAAGGGGCAGATCTACGACTACCCACAGATCCTGCAGGTGGGGAGCACCACTGCATTCCATCAGTCGTACGGTGTCAAATCGCCATTAATGCACTACTAAAAAAAAGATAGCCACCAACAACTTGTGCAATAGTTAGAATGGTTTGTGTATAGATGTTTGAGCGGTCTATTAACCACGTGGCTGTTTCATAACGCTGAGTACTACGGTTCCAAGAAATGAAGAAATGTCCTTTGTTGTAAAACATCTCAAGGTGTGAAAGTGATTTCAAGTAGAGCCTTGTTTTAGTTTGTAGGCACAAACATCACATGTCCCATCAATAAGTTGCTCCCCATGTGTCCACAGGAGTCTTCATTCTGTGTGGTTTTGCGGGGGGCGCGTTTGGGACAGGCTGCCCTCAGCGACGTGCTGCAAGCTGGCTGTGTTCCCGTCATCCTTGCCGACTCCTACATTCTGCCATTCTCTGAAGTACTCGACTGGAAAAGGTAAGTCACCGACCCGTCGAATGGACTTGACAATCTGCCGTTTTTTGGATCACAAGTTTGAATGTTTCCGCTTCTGCACAGGGCGTCAGTGGTTATTCCAGAGGAGAAGCTGTCAGAGATGTACACCATCCTAAAGAGCATTCCTCACAGACAAGTTGAAGAGATGCAAAGACAGGTAATGTGGTGAAGAGAAAACGTCTCATGGCAAAACATGTTTAAAGGGGCCTTACCATTTGTTTTCATTTGAGGTTTGTGGTTCGAGGCGCTGCCGTGCAGGGCAGGAGTGCGATTATACTTGTTCCGTTTTTACCAACACGGCAAGTCACTTGAAGCCAAAACGAATTTCATGTAATGTGCAGTAAACTGAAATGTAGATCCAAGCCTTACATTTGGTAAGTTCGAAGTTCCTCCTTTTGCTCTGCCTACATTTCATATAGCTTTCACAGAACTCAACTATGTTGATTTTAGGCCGAGTGAAATGCAGCGAAGACGGCTCACGTTCTCGTTCCATTTGGTATCCACATTGAGCCACCATAAACAAAAGTTTGAGCGGCTTTGCAAAATTGTAGCAGTTCAGCTGCTCCTCATTCCCTTGTATCGATTCAAGCCCATTTACTAATTATACTGGCCAAACAGGCCTTTTGTGCCCAGGGCTCAGAGGGGGTCGGGTTACACCAAACACGCTCACTCGGCTAACTTGGCAGGGCTGATGTTGTCATTCAATACTCCTGCGGCTGCTCTCATGATCTGCAGATGGATTGATTTGAGTTCTCACCGAAAGTAATTTCACTATTATTTTTGTGAAAGTAACTGTGTACCACAAAATGGGATTTTTTACTGGTGTTGGTCAAAGGCCACATTCTAAAACCACACACCTTTTGTACCTACACTTAATGTCAATGGAAGATTATGTGAACATAATGGAGATCAAATAATCGAAAAAACATATAAAATCAAGTGCCTTTTGACTTGATTTAAAACTTAAAATAACTAAAGCGCACACTGCAAGGACAGAGCTGTATTTCCAAAATGTTATCTAATGTATTTGGGCCTTTGGTACAGTTAATCTCACTGTCTTTTGTAGAGCCTAATTTCTCAAAGTAGTTATTCTAGAAAAAGTGAAACCGATTTATGTTGTTAGGCTGATGCATTTCACTAGTTTTGCCAACAGAGGGCTCAATAACCTTTGCTTTCACAATGTGTCCGCCTTTGTTCCCCTGTCAGACAACTTGTGTCAATACTAAATATATAAACTAGGAAAACCTGTATTTAAGTATAATTTTAATGTTTTCTTTAAAATGATAGTTTCTCCCTTTTAAGAGATGCAATGAAAGACGATGAATTGTGCAGTTTTAGTTTATTCCCCGGGAACCGGGCCAGCTGAGATAAGCCAGGAATGACCTGCGTTCAGTAGTCTGCAAAAATGAGGTGATGTAACTGCGTCCATTTAGGGCATATTATAAAAGGCTCCATACTAAACAGCTGTGAGATGTTGACGGTGCTCATATGAGACGACTGAGTCCATGTTTATTTTCTGATTTCCATGAGCCTTTTTGGGTCATTCTCAATACAGAACTCGTATAATACAAACCTTTTAATGAGATTAACGCAGCCAAATTGGTTAATTGAATTTGCATATTAAAGATGGGTTGAACTTACTCCTAAAACCTTTCTACTACTCCTTGCTATTGAGTTAACCAGTTGATCCTGGCTGTCTTCCCAACTGTTTAGTATCTTCCCAGGATGTCAAACACGTCATAGCGGATCAATCTTAATTCTGTATTCTGTTCTTCAGCACTGTCTTCTTTTTATACAATCCCCTCAGACATAACGGAACTTACGACAGGTGTCCGTTGCTTTTTGATTAATCAAAAATCTCATAAAGGGTTCTTTTATTTAGTTTCATATTTGATATCCTTGAGCTATGACCTGAAAACCTCCACCGGTTCCCACTCGTGTTAACGCTGTTGGCTCTGTCAGCACTTTCGCCTTGTATTGGGCAACTTGCTATTTTTTACTGCCAGGTAACTTCATCTATAATAATGGTTAAGTTATTAGTTGACATGCAATATTAGTTATATTTTGTATAAACCATAATTTGTAACAAGTAACTAACTATGAAATAAATTTAAAAAACATTTGTGGTTTGTAAGTAGCAGAAGATTGAAGTGCTCAAGTAAAGTAACCGTACCTAATAATTTCACTTTATTACTATTAGTTTAAGTATTACACTTCAGTACTGAGTAATTCCATCATGTTATGGGTCGAACTAGGAATACGACTGTATAACTCCACTTGGAACCAGCTGCTGAAGCTTCAGTCATGGTCCTTGAGACCCAAAGTCTGCGAGTTTATATTTTTTTCCCTTCTAATAAGAACTGATTTACACCTGGGAGACAAAGTTATCATTGTTACCAGGTCTGTATGCATATAGAAAGATGTTTTGATCACAGTAAAAAGTAAAGTGCAAATAAATCTTCATCAAACCAGTATTCCCAGTGAGCCACTCGCATGATTGAAACCGATTTGGTTTCACTGCTGTTTTTGATTATGTCAAAAAGACTAATGATTTCTTGGTTCTGTCCACAACTCACCGGTTGTCAGGCACTTGACAACTTCCTCTGAGTTAGATAAAGTGATGCAGACTACTGTAACAGAAACTGTTTTTGATCGTCTCCTTGACCTTTTTTATTTGAATGATTTTAAACAATAAAGCGCTTCGGGAGTCCTTGCTGTAAAGCTATAACAGACGTGCAGAATAATAGATTTCGTCCTGACTCTTTGGACTGTTGGCATTATTTATCAATATGCTCAATAGGTTTATAATTACAGTTTGAATTACACATCGTTTCCTTTTTTATTATATGAATACATTTTAGTTAGTTTGTGACTGGAGTCGATCAGAGTTTTTTATTCATCAGTAGAACAAACAGGAAGAACGTGTGTAGACTCTGCATGCTGAAAATGGAAGATAGAGTTAAAGAGTTCTCTTCCTCTCCGGCAATGCTGTCCCTTCTTCCAAATTCCTGCAGGCTCTGGGAGAGAGTGGAAGGCTCTGCCACGGGCCTTTGGGGCAGCACAGTTTGCTGTGTGTCGTCGTCCCCCTCCACCCCCGTCGAAAAAATAAACTTTCATCACTGGTTGATTTATGGGCCGTTGGGATTCTCCAGTGGGATTAGACAGTCTTTTTGGATTCTACTTACCCTCTCCTTAAAAATAACTGCTGCTTTTGGGTTGTTGTACAACTACAGTTCTTATTGTAAGAGATGGGAGATGTAGGAAACGTTCACATGGTCATGTGCCACGAAGCATCGTCTTTGTTTACACTGCACATTTTACATGCGTTTTTTTCTCTTTTTTAACTTCAATAGGTGGAGAAATAAATCAAACTCCGTGCTTTACATACACACACACACTTCAATATTCACATCCTCTCCTCCAGCAATATGTGTCGTTGGGGAGCTGGTGGGGTGGAGTTAGGTCAGTGTAACACGGGGCCTCTTGGCGGGAGACAGTGTTGTTTGACGCCTCATTAACTCTTATAGGGCTCTCTTGCCTCTGAACTGCCCCTTGAAGTTTCTCGCTAGAATCGGAGCCTGCAGGACGCACGGGGGCTAGACGCATGTGTCACAGTCCCTGGCACTACTCTGCATTGATCAGTTCATGGAATCATCATGTTTCCTGGTATAATAAGGGAAAGAAACACAGGAATTGTTTTTCATCTTTGTAGTCTGAAATAACCATGAACCTTGATAGAGGGCGGATGGAGTTGAGTATTCTAGCGGCCAATGTGATAACATTTAGACTTGAGTTAAGGGTTCAGTTATCATTAACGTCTGCTTCTCAGATCAGAGATCTGCTGAAAGCTCAGCCTCACAGTCCAAAGAGTTTTAGAGGGCTTTGGGGGAAGAGCCGTTGAAGGTCAGGAGGCTGGTCGGGGCCACAAAAGGGTCTTTAAAGGCTCGGACCCGGGGGAAAATGTGGATTTTGCAAGCTATGACTTCATGCTGGTATCTTTTAACATGTAGGGACTGAACTCCAGGACGACTGAAAAACACACAATTTCATGAAATGGTACTTTATGCAAGATATAATGTAGGACTTTCTTAAAGAAGTGCTTTGACTTGACGAATACAAAAATAATACCTCTCAACCTTTTTGTGGTGGGCGTCTGTATCTGTAGACAACCGGCCCTCTGCCTGTATTTCCTTCTCGGCTTCAACTTCTAATAATAACACACACCGACCGGGTGCCGGATCATAAGCACGGCTCCTAGAGGTAGCTGTGAAAATGATGAACACTGTTGAAATAATGCAAATGTATCCAGTCCAAATGCCAAGTGGACAAAGTTATTTCTGAAATGAAAGCGAGTCGGCTGCTCGGGGGAGCACACCCGTGACCTCGGTCAGAGGGGTGTCAGTTTCTGGAGTCATTGACCCACAAAGGCCTCACTTTGAATGTAAGGTGTGTTTTCAAACCGCAACAGAGAAATCTTACTCATTCTGACCTTTGGGTCAATTATTGAAGTGTACCTTAATTATCATATAAATGAAGGATTAGTAACTTAACATTTCCATCATGGTGGCTACTAGTTTTAGACACAAATACGTTTTCACCTGTATTCTATGTGGTTTAATAATGAAAAGATTGTCATCGCGATGGTGCAAGTTGAACAGCAAGATACTTTCTAAACCATTTCCTTAAATGTTCAGTAGAATGTGGAGCCTCTTGGCATGTTTTGTGGTTGCTCTTTTATCCCGCTCACATTGATCTTTATGGGTATATTTTAAGTCTGTTTTATTCGTCCATAGGCGCACTGGTTCTGGGAGGCCTACTTCAGCTCCATGAAGGCTATTGGCTTGACAACGCTCCAGATAATCAATGACCGCATCTATCCCTATGCTGCCCGGACTTATGAGCAGTGGAACAATCCCCCCGTGGTGGTATGTATCTGTGAGGACATGATGTTCTTGTTCTTTTTGCAAGTGTTTGTTACTCTAAGCTATTGAGCAAAACCATTATATCCCAACCTTCCATTGTTCCATTCTTTCAGATGTTGCAGATATTTAGTTATAGCTCCTCCCACATACCGCTATATAATCTACTCCGTCTGTGTACTTTACTACACCGAGCCACTCGGCTGACTTGCGTCTTTCTAAAGCGTCACACGTTCTGCGCGTCACAGTTTGGTGTCCACGCAGTTTGTCAGCAGTTCTGTTCCAGGAGAATGCCACCGTTGTGGTGAAAAATAAATAGGTTTCTGTATGTCAGAGTCATGTGTTTGTAGAGCGTCTAGAAGAATTGTGTGAGTGTGTGTTGCATCCCTGCGGTTGTGTGAGTTTGTGGCTGCAGACAGCTTGACTGGGTGGCCGTCTCAGGAGTTGTTAATCAGTACGGTCTGATCTAGTCTCCTCCATCCTCAGTGGGTGGGGTAGAGGCGTGTCCATGTGAGCGTCTGTGTGGATGCGTAGTGGTGTCTTTGCCTCTGTCAAATGTCTGCATAGGTAGAGCCACTGAAAGGCTTAGTTTAGACTCTGAACTAAGCGTTATTTGGTCTAAACCTTCGCGTGTCACTCAGGTGTCGAGGTTTGTTCAGGGCCGTAGGAGGTTATTTGTGTCCGGGTACTTTGGCCATTAGGAGATGAAGTGTTTTCTCAATGGATTCAGTGAACGGTTGGTGAGACGAACTTGTGCAGTGAATAAATCAAGGGGAGACATTTCTCCCCCTCTCCTGTAGTTTTTAGGCGGGTAATTGAAAGCACATTTCCCTTTTGGAGGGGTGGAGGGTTCAGAATAAACAAAAGGCCGCTTTTTGTTTTGGAGTTCGTAGGAAATGTGAACACTTGTTATGTTTCAGCATTACAAGAATGTGGGCATCTCAGAGTTTATGTGGTGATTGACACCTTGGCATGTTAAAGTTTAATTTAATCACTATCCTGTGTCACGACATAGTAGGAGTCTGGTGGGCCGTCAGGGCGAGTTAAGCCTTCTCTGCTGCCGTTAATGCTCTTTTGCTCTTGTCATTGTTTAATCACATTGATTTAACTGTATGCATTGTCTGTTAATTACGCAGCATCTCGTCATGCGTATTCATGTATCTGCAGTTGGTGTACGTGTAGGTGTTCTTCATGTAACATTTTATTTCACTTTAAATGTGTGTTATGTGAATATGAGGTGTTTACATGCACAAATAGCCTGTGACTGTGGCGTCATATTGAGGTTATTAGGTCATTCGGTTGTAGTAAGACCACACAGAAGGTCCGCCATTTCTGAAAATTCAAGTTGAAAACTGTTAAGAGGTGGAAGTGTTGACTTTTAACTTTATTTTGATTTCTTTTTTCCAATGGAAACCAGTAACATTAAGTCATCCTTTTTCAGCTCCAAATATGCAGTTAGGCTTTAACCAATTGCATCTTTATGTTTCACCGTTTCCACCGTTCACCCGCTATGGATGCGAATATTTACACACCCTTAAAACTGATACTCGGCAGTTTTAATCTGTTATCTTCTTTTGAATGGATCAAAAGAGCCAAGATAATAAAACACATTACTGTCCTTATACTAGTGAAGATCATACTGCATCTTGGGTTTCTTTGTTTCCATAGTTCAGCAACCAATCTAAAGATTAGATTTAATCTGCCAGTATTGTGCCTCCTCTATGTACACAATAGTATTTATACGGGATATGGTATAGTTGAATGTAAACGTGTAGTTGTGTTTCAGTGGGAGTCTTGGACAGAAAGGAAAAACAGATGCGTTTTGAATCCTTACTTAATTTGATCTCGCTCATAACAAAGAAACACTGAAGCAGTTCAAATAAGCAAATATAATTCCTCTTTTTGGTGTCCGTTTGAAGTGTGTGAAAACACAGATCTGTTTGTGACATAATGAGCTGCGGCCTTCATTTCATCTCACTTGTTCAGCTTGACAAATGACTTAAGTGGTCTCTAACTTCTTTATTCTGTTTAAATGCATCTGTGCTGGGTAAGTGTTAGTTTAATTATTTCCCCCTCTGCTGGTTTGACAACGTGCGAATGACCACAAGGAAGTTTCCACTTGCTTGTAAAGTGATTCTTTATTGGCGATGGAGTGCCTGGTGTTGTCCTAAAGGCAGCGGCTGTGTGTCTGTTGACAGACTGGTGTTGATGCAATGGAAGGAGCCACAGAATCACGGTGTGGCCCCCTCGGCCCCGTAGGGAAACAGGATTTATATGCACTTCAAGAAGCCCACAGATTTACTGTGTTGGATATGCTCTCATTGCCCCTCTCAGACTGCTTGTCACTGTGTCCAGGGTGGAACATTTCGGAGCCTTTTGATAAAGTTTAACAAGAGTGAACGCCGCTGCTCCTATATTTGCGTTGTTTGAGTAACACAGATATTCAGTTTGTCTTTCAATTTCACTTGAGAAAACAAGTTTCTGACGGCACGGTGGCGTGGTGGTTAGCAAGAAGGTCCTGGGTTCGATTCTGCCCAGTGGCCTTTCTGTGTGGAGTCTGCATGTTCTCCCCGTGTCTGCGTGAGTTCTCTCCGGGTTCTCCGGCTTCCTTCCACAGTCCAAAGACATGCTCTGGGGATCAGGTTGATTGGGGACTCTAAATTGCCCGTAGATTTGTGAATGTGAGTGTCAGTGTGAATGGTTGTGTGTCTCTGTGTAGCCCTGCGATTGGCTGGCGCCCAATCCAGGTTGTACCCTGTCTCTCGCCCAAAGTTGGCTGGGATTGAGCCCCCGACCCTGTGTGCAGGATAAACGGTGTGAAGATGGATGGATGGATGGATGAAAGAAAACATTCTTTCTAAACAAAAACGTTGGCACATACACAACAGTAACTTTTTGAAGTTTAGTATTTAAAACACCTGCCTCCAAGAAACTCACCTGTGGCTTCCTCACTTGGAGTTCTGACTCGAGAGTCCTTTGCTCTCACTCTGTTGCACCCTGACAGACATTATTGGAGCGCCAAAACCATAATCTGGAAATTACAGCATGTGACCTCACCACCCAGTAAAGCAATATTCTCGTGTGTAAAATGATGGAAAACATGACAGATGGGGTTAACACAGAGGACACGGGGCTAGCTCCACAGTAGCTTCCCGCTGAAATGAAAAAATGCCTAAAGAGTGTTTGCTTTGTTTCCTGTCTTGTGCAGAAGTGGTCCAGTGTAAACAGCCCTCTGTTCTTGCCACTTATCCCACCAAGAGCACCTGGGTTCACTGCGGTGGTGCTGACCTACGATCGCGTTGAGAGTCTTTTCCGGGTCATCACAGAAATCTCCAAGGTGCCTAGTCTGGCTAAGCTGCTGGTGGTGTGGAACAACCAGAACAAAAGTCCTCCTGAGGGTGAGTGTAAAGTTCATTAAGCTTTCCTGAAAGATAGATGTGTTTACACTTCAGATTTCTGTCTTTCATTAATGTTCATCACTCGTAGTCCATCACACACGCGTCATAGTAAACTCTTATTATTTGTTATTTATTACCCCTTTCTGCTCAATTGATTTGCCTTACTATGACAATTAAATATAGAACAGTCATTCGTGCCTTACCCAATCGACTGCTTAACTCAGACGAAAACTGTGCCGGACCTGAGAATTAAGTCATTCCTGCTGCTGTATAGAGTTGGAAAATGAAATGAAGTAATGAGACAACTTTGAAGTGCTCCCTCATGGCTTTGAGTTGCCTTTTCATTAGAGGCATCAGCGGCGCCTGGCTGGAGCCGCGTGACCTATTAGAATTAACTGGAGGCCGTTGACGGGTCAGGCTCATGGGGCTCAGCCCAATATGAAGGTTTGCCATTCGCTCCGTGCCTTCATCTGATGCGTTTAACTTCGGCCTCCTGTGTTTGTTTTTTAACGAAAATATTGGAAAGGTTTTGGTTTTCTTACACAATATGTAATTACTGCCTTTTCGTTTTGAGTTGGTTGATCAAATCTCACATGGATTTTTCTTCTGTTGAAGAACGAATAGTATCTGCATTTTAACCCATGCCGTACTTTTTGGAATTCACATAAAAGCCTGTAGTGGCCTCATTTCTGCCGTCTTTCTCCAAATTGTGAATTTAAAAAAAAAAGGATGACGGCAGCACGGACAGAGTGAAATAATCAATCTGGGCGCTTTAACACAGCAGTTTTACCAATATAGCTTCTGACTGGAGACGTCAGACGCGGTTAGCCAGACTTGAAGCGCTTCTCATGGGCTGCCAGTTCCCAGTTCCCCCATTAATGAGGGGACACATTCTGTGTGATCCGTCTGTCCCACAGTCCGTGCCATGGACGCTGCCCAAGACGTTTGAAATGCTGAAAAAACACTTTGTTGATCTAGAAGAATTGCGCTGTGGTTAGACTTGCACACCCGTGAGGTTAGCTTAGCTGTATGAGTCATTGGGGAGGATCTCCCACAGCACTGTTCTCCAACGGCAGGACGGGCTTCAAATAATACATATTTAAATCAGTTCTCTCTTTCTTTAGACACTGATGGTGGCCGCATTTTTAAATGTTGTTTAAAAATGCTTTCTAGTGTGACATACTGAATATATTTATGTTTGCCTGCAACTAACACTCGTTTTCCAATAATTCAATTGGATATTATCTTTTCAATTAGTTGATCTTTTTCTTGGTTAATGAACATTTCAGTTCCCGGTGCCAAGAGCCCAAAGTGACATCTACAAAAAATGTATTTTGTCCAACCAACTATCCAAAATCCACAGCTATGAACCCAACTGCCATATATGACAAATATAACCAGACAGTCTTTGCATTGAGAAGCTTCAACCAGTAATGTTTGGCCAAATCACTTTTGGTAGCAATCTCAAAGATATTTATTTAAAACCCCATTATTGTGCTTGTTCAAAGCTGATTCTCCTTTAATTGCATTTCTGTCCCAAGAAAGGAACGAACGGTAGTTCACGTTCATTTGTTTTTCTTTCAATCTGTTATGGTGTTTAACTCGTCCCTCCAACTTATTTTCGGCATCCGGTCCTGCACTACCCGCCTCTGGGACGCCAGTATGCGTAGACCTGTATTATTAAAATGCTGTTACCAGCAGTAAACAGGGCCAGGACTGCAATGCTACTTTAACCGACTAATCAACTAAATAGTTTCAGCTCCATATATTATGTATATAAAACTATAAATGCGGTTGCTGTTATTGTGTTGTTTTCCTCCTTAGAGTCCCTTTGGCCGAAGATCGGTGTTCCTCTCAAAGTAGTCCGAACAAAAGAGAACAAGCTGAGTAACCGCTTCTTCCCCTACGACGAGATCGAGACAGAAGCTGTGCTCGCAATCGATGATGACATCATCATGCTGACATCTGACGAACTGCAGTTTGGCTACGAGGTGAGCAATAGGCTACTAACAACCTCCAAAAATGACCATTATTTCCCCGCTTTCCACTGACTGCACATATTGCAGGCACCCTTTTAAAGTTGATGCCGGAGTTTAAAGTCATTCAAGGGGATTACAGTCTCATTCTGCTCTAGAGGAGAATTTGACTGACTCGTGAACATGTTTGATGTGTGAGAAACGATGACCGGTCTGCAACTGATGTTTTCCGTGCCCTCATACCTGTCGGGCCCCACTTAGCCAGGCCCCCTCACCTGAATCCAGTTAGAAACCATTTGTTAAAATTGTGCTCAGTTTAAGGATAATTACATGGAATTGTAGGCTGGACAGGGAAGCTGTCTGTCTAACCAGAGAATCTGAGGATGTGGCTGCTGGTGGATATTCAGCAAATACATAAGCTACTTCTTCAGATCAAATTTTCTTTTGGTTCGGACAAAATGTTTGCATACTTAAGATGACACTGTTGATTGTTAAATGTTGATCTTGGTGTAAGACATCAGTTATCGGTCGTGTGAAAATGGGTGACAATCTGTTTTCTGTCCCACTCCAGGTGTGGAGGGAGTTCCCAGACAGGCTGGTGGGCTACCCAGGCCGGCTGCACCTCTGGGACCATGAAATGGGGAAGTGGAAATATGAATCTGAGTGGACCAACGAAGTCTCCATGGTTCTAACTGGAGCCGCCTTCTACCACAAGGTGACATGGGAAAAGCAGGACCTCTTGGCTGCTTGAGCCTCTTTTGCACACTTTTACCCTCCGAGCTTCTGGAATATGTTAGGAATTTGACTTCATAACGACACAGAGACACGCACACAACCAATTTAGAAAAGGAAGTTATCTATTAAATCTGGGTATTGAATAATTAAAAAAATAAAGTTTGCAGAAAGGATTTAAGAAATTCCATAGACCTCTGTGATGGATTGGTGTATTTCAAGGAGGAAGATAATAGTGATGGACGAGCAGAGTGTCATAGGTAGAGCGAGGTTATCTTACCCCTACTTAAGAGCTCTTACACCCACTTAAGTTCAAAGCAACTTCTAGTGCAGAGGTTCCTCCTACATACTATTGGGTCTGTATAATTGTACCTAATGAGTCTGCAGTATATCTATTAATAACACCCAGAAATCTTTGTTGTATCGAATGCGTTTCCATTTCAGTACTTCAGCTATGTGTACACGTACAAGATGCCTCTAGACATCAAGAACTGGGAGTACACTCACATGAACTGTGAAGACATTGCCATGAACTTCCTGGTGGCTAACATCACGGGCAAAGCTCCCATAAAGGTGCGTTCATATCTGTGACTGGCCGGCGTGCTTGAAGCCTGCAGGGGGGAGGCTGAAGCCTGACAAAGCAGAACAGCATCTCTGGGTTTGATCAGCTCGCACCCTTTGACTCCCCCGCCTGCCCCCTCCCCATCACGCTGACTGTGCCCAGGTGCAGGGGCCCGAGCTAAAGCCCGGCCTTAACCTTCCCTTATCTGCGTGTCACTCACTGGAACCCCCCCCTCTGAGTATGTTATCCTACGCTCACCGGGGGGCTCACGCACACCCTGCCATCAAATCACACAAACTGCAAACCTCCCCGCGCCTGCACCGCTCTCCCCCCTCCTATCTCCCATTTATCAGGTTCCTTCAGAAAACACCCACCCTCTCCAGCCCCCCCCCCCCCCCCCCCCCCCGCTTCTGTGCTCCTCTCTCGGACTCGCACTTTCTTCCACACAGGGTTCAGAGCGCTGGGCGCAGACATGTGTTGGAGGTGTAAATGTGACGGAGGTTAGACAGAGGAGAGCCGTATGCCGTATATCTCCCCAACTCCACTGATGAGATAACTTGTCTTTTCTTTTTCTTCCCTAAGCTGTTTTTTACCAGCGTCTGTCTGGGCGGCTCGGGTTTAACTGCCTGGTGGTGAGCTGACGTTACGGGTGTGACTTTGTTCTGCTTCTGTTTAGGTGACCCCCAGGAAGAAGTTCAAGTGCCCTGAGTGCACTGCCATCGATGGACTGTCCCTGGATCAGACGCACATGGTGGAGAGGTATGACACTTTGTTTTGGAAATGAAATGAGCAGAGGAGAATCGTTTGTTTGTTTGTTTGTTTGTATGTGTATACAAATTTCTCTGATTTTCTCTATAACAAACATTACGTTGGCTTTTTTTTGTGCAGAGGTAGTTATTAGAGCTATGTGTCTTTTTTGTGTTCTGTTGTTTTAAACAATAGACTTATTTAAAGCATGTTTTTTAAATTACACAAAATCTGAGCAAAAATGGTATTTTGAAATTATTGTTTAAATAAGAATAAAATAGCTGAATGAAAAAGGGTGAATACCTAAAATTGCAAACATGACTAATCAAAAGCTGCTAAAATTGTGTTTTTTAAGTAAATAACTTGTGTTTCGGCCCCCAGATCGGAGTGCATCAACAAGTTTGCATCGGTTTTCGGTACAATGCCTCTGAAGGTGGTGGAACACCGTGCGGACCCTGTGCTCTACAAAGACGATTTTCCGGAGAAGCTCAAGAGCTTCCCCAACATCGGCAGTCTGTGACCCGTCTGTGACGTTTGTACCCCGACACACACTCAACATTAGTCACCTTCTCTCATATGAACACACATTCAGACTAAAGTGATACATGCACTTCTCGCCTTTCAAATAAAGTGACGTTCTCTATAATTTGGAAGTCAGAAGGACCGGTTACAACAATATGGTGATGAATTAGATAAGGATCTGAATGTGAAAGCTACTATCAAACATTTAGCGATATTCATGCGCACGCCGATGTTCCATGAACTGCTATTGGAGGGTCAACATGAATTGTTGTTTGATGGACAGACTGACTGATGCTTTTTTGAGGCTTTTGGTTTCTCACTGTTACTTTTTTTTGGAGCTGGAAGCTTTGGGCTCAAACTGCTCTGGAATCAGTGTATATATTTGTATTTTGCAAAAGTGCTGTATAATAGTCATAATTTATGATGCTTCAATCAGAATTTTGTATTTCTTTTTAAAAGACGACATGGACCTGGTTATTTCAGCTGTCCTGTATAAAAGTAAAAGATGCTTAATTTACATGAGATATATATATATATATATATATCATACTTTGATAACTTATCGCTGTAGAATCTATTGGTTGATTGAATGTGATAACAAACGATATGCAAACCAAGATGATGTACAGTAAATGTTAATCGCTGTTACCACAACTCGACATGTTGAGGTTTCATTTCATGCTGCCCGAGCAAGCGTTTTGTTGTACATGCATGAAAGAAAAGCAATGGTGCTATTTGAACCTGCTACTCTAATTTCATGAGCTGAGTTCTGAGTATAAACATTGCATAAGCATGTGTGCGATTATTTGTCTGCCATGCATTTAATGAAATCTATTGTATAAAACTAGACAGTCCCCAAATCCACACTTTCCTCCATTTTTTTCTGTGGTACGTGTGGGTAAATATTTCTGTCTTTCTCACTGCTTGTCCCAAATGAACTCCATACCATTGAGTATGGAATGCAGTCTTTAAGATGTTAACCCTCCCATGTTCCCTCTTTATTTGACTTTTTTATTATTTTCACTTGTCACTGAAATTGTTTTACATTTTTTTGACTGCTTTTATGTAAGTGTACATATTACTTTTTTAATACAAAAGTAAAGACCACACTGTCATGTCTCACAAAATTAATGGTCCCTTTTTTCGGCGTGCGCAAGAAGAATTAAGACATTTTCTTTCCTTTTCATAACCCCCCCCCCTCGGAGCAGACCTTGCGTGACACGAACGATGCACCGTTCCACTCCAGTCCGTCACCTGTTGTTAATATACGCGGCTTAATCCACCCTGTTCAATGTCAGAAGTTCAAAAGGGCGCGGTTTGTATTTTTGTCAACTTCAATTAGTGTGATGCTGTTGCGGGCTGTACGATCTCATTTCAGCACTCGCGTCTCTTCAAAGGGATAAAAAATGTGTGGGTATTTTAGAATGTGACTAAAGGGTGACACAATATTTTGGCAAGGTGCTGCAGATTCATGTTTTTTTTTTTTTTTTGTAACTTCAGCAGACAACGTATTCACAAGTTGTGGCCAACCGCTGTCTCAGGCTGATGACTTGAAAGGCTTTTTTTTTCCATTTGGGTGACTTTAGCGATCTGCTAAAAGGAAAATAGTTGTCTTGATTTTTCACTGTTAACGGCCAGTGGTAACCACGGTTACCTTCCATCTTCTCTTTACCATTCCGTCAGAATTTATTTGCAAGGCAACGGCTCGGGTCCATGTTTACTTCCTGTCTGCTTGTGTTATTCACCGCAAAACAAGAAATAAACCGGGACCAGAGTTTGGAGTGTTCAAGTTTACAACTGTACTGTGCTTTTCAAGCGTGCCATACAATTAAATGAGTAACACAAATGATGAATAGAAGTGCAATAACTTATTGTACTTTAATTACACAATGTAGGAACACAAGCAAGAGTAAATTCATACACTCATTTCAACAAATGGCTTAAAGTCAAATTATCTTGAAAAAACCCCAACAAATTCAGAGAAATTACATGACAATACAAAAAAAATGTTCAAAAACAACTCTGGAAATGCAATTTTACTGCTGTGTCTCAAATAAAACACAACATCCAATTAGTTATGTTTCCAAGAGTCTTAAAACTTCAATCTATTTTGCATGCACAAAAATGCACATGCATATAAACAGCACGCATAGTTCATCATATATTTACTCCTATACTGATTGCTGGACTTCAGTAGTATTAGAAAATGAAAAAGTAAATGACGACACCCTCACTCAGGGATGGAGCGATCTGCAACTTACAGGGGGATGATAAACAAATGATTGAACGTAATCTTGCATTGACCTTCAATGATTTTCCCGATTGAGGAAATATGTTACAGAAAATGTTTACTCTTATAGAATAATGCACCTTTAGAGATGGGGAAAAGTGAGTATCGGTGAGTACGTATGGTGTAAACCACATCTCCTTAATGCCGGTACGTCTGTGAGCACTTTGCAGTCTACATTAAACCAAGTAGAAGACAGACGGTCCCGTCTGTCCTGACACACAATACTGCAGTCCTCAGCCTCAACATGGCTCAGTGTTAATTAAAAAGCCTTCCTAGGTTGACCGTGTGTCTCTGGGTCGGACCCTGCGGATCGGTGGGGTGGGGGGGCTGCAGCTTTGAGCCAGTGGACAACGTGGAAGGGAGAGGCACAGAGATATGTGTACAGAGGGGGGGGGGGGGGGGTCTTTGAAAGCAGAGCCATGACAGCTGAGGGGGAAGCATGTGTGAGGCATGTTTGTTTTGCATTTACCCCCTCAGAGCAGCTGTGTGCACTGTCCTTTTCCCAGAACACCGGAACACAGCAGACGCCCTCGCGGCTCGCCCTCCGTCCAACCCCACAGCGAGAGCACAGGGGGCCCCCGTGTCCACATTCGCAAGGAGACCCTCTCGCTTTTGAGTCCGAGATGCGTACTTCACAGCCAGGATTGGAGCGTGGAGCTGGTTGTAATTTGAAGGACTTGAGTGTGACCTGCTCTGATACGGTCGTCGACTCACTGTAGAGCAGCCAACCAGTACCCCTACACGGGAATATCACCTGATCTCACTGTATTCTGACACTGACTTTATAGTACCTATTTGATTAAACACAATCTTTATAGGATAATACACCCTGTTCGCTAGATCTAAAAATAGGGTAAGACTGTAAAACTGAGACATGGCTACTTTAAAGGAGTGCATTCCAGTTATGTTGGATGCCTTTGCGATGCATTTGATGTTCTTTGTGTTGTAAAAAGACTTCCGGGCGTCTGCAGGGGAGGGAAGAAACTGATATTCAGTACTCAAGCACGTGCAGAGTCCTCCAAGGTGCATTATCCAACTAAGATGTAGTCAAACCATCACTGAAGACGATAAAGGGAGAAATACAATAGCGCTCTTAATGTCTGAGCTGCTTCGTGACCATTTACTAGTCGGCCATGACAGACTCGGGCGTCACAAAGTCCAGTAAACGCAGATGAACACTGATATCCTCTCGGTGTTTGAAAGTGTCAACACACTAATCTCCTCCAGCCCGGCCTGTTTTAAAGAGGCCGGTTTCGGTGTTGTTTCTGGCAGACTGACTGAGCGTTCGGCTCTTTTTCCCCTCTGAAACTCATCGCACTTGAAACGCAAAGGGGCACGGTCATGTTCGCTTGCACTTCACGTCCTCCTGCAAACCGAGATTGGTTCTGTCTGGAGGCGGCGCTTCAGCCCGGAGAGCAGCGAGCCTGCTGTGCCCTGCGCACTCCCACCGCCTCCCCCATCCCTCCCACTCACCATCAGCAGGCAGGTGGATCCCTCCCCAAAGAAACTAACCACGTTTCCTCTCATTGACTTTGAAATGTTAGAGGGTGAAGACACTTTTTTTTAGTAGCTGAAAAATATGACCAATATAATGGATAACTTTTTTTTTAAGTTTCACGCTGAATAATATCAACATATCCTGACTAAATTAAAATGGTTGGATACTTGCTGAACTATTTGTTAAAACAAAACCAATAACAAATGGATTAGAGACAAAAACATGAACACTCAAAATTTAAATAATAATGTAAGGATAAAACATCACCTGATCGGAGAACTACAATAACACTGAAAGCACTGTACAAACACAATATCCTGTATTTTAGCAAATAAGTGCATGGATTTGTTTGAAATGATTTTCTTAACACGTTCCTTCGCCTATCTTTTCAGCCACGCTGCAACTCCTGTTAGACAGAACAGCATCTGGTCTCCCCACAAAGCTCACTCGCACCCTGCGGTCGAGAAGTATGGCAGCGCAACGCCACTTGCAAAACCTCCATTTCTCTCTCGGAGTAATCTCCACCCGTCTGTGTATTTGGATAATTATTTTATTGCAACAAATATGAAGGTAGTCACTGTTGCCTTTAAATTTTGATTATAGTGCCCCCACCTCTCACTACGCTGGATTCGTGCAACAAGCCCCCCCCCCCCCCCCCAATTCAGCCGACAGCATTGCATCATGTGGCCCAAGATATGGCGGCGCTGTGCTCTTTGGCCTTCATGCGCAAGGCGGCGATGCTGGAGGACTTGCGGTCAGGGTCCATGTTCAGGTCGTACGCGTTGATGCCCGTGGCCATGCCAGGAGGCCCTCCAAACAGGCTGCCCATGTGAGCCTGTCCCACGTGACCCCCGGGGCCCGACATGCCCAGAAAGTCAGACATCCCGCTGGCAGAGTGGGGGTGAGGGGTCATGCAGGGGCTCACGGTGTCGCAGGGCACGACGCAGCCCGGCACAGGAGAAGCTGCGCTGCCGCCGCCGATCCAGGAGGGGTTCTGAATCTGGAATATTGGTTGACAAGAACTGTGTTAAATACAACGATTACTGCAGGGACCTAGATTTTCTCACCTAACTCTCTGTTCTTAGGTAAGGACAGAATTTACGCACAACCAAGAGCACGCTTACACGCAGCTGAGAGCTGACAAAATAAATCGTTTTTGTCCGTTCTAATTTAAAACGGAATATTTCTCCCCTTTATGATTTTGCAACTAATTATTTGTATTATTACTTATTATTGTATTATACTTGCATTCACTGCATGGGTAATTGCATTCCATGCATCGGTTTTATTTACCGCTCTGCAGCCACTGCGCACAAAACAAAATATAACGTTGCTTTTTTTTTGCAGTCGAGGCCTCCAGTCTTTCCCACGTCTTTCTGACGTTTCTCTGAGTGTGCACACGGCTCTGCCACCTCGTGCCCTTTTATGGGAATTAGTGGGCGTTAACCTATGCTGAATGGGAGAAACGGGGCACAAGCTTTTAATTAAGGGATTCATCATTCTCGGACCGCACCTGCGAACAATTCCGCTGTATAGGAACACGTCATGAATCACACGTAGATTTTCTTTAGGAACTTTCTTAAGGACAGATTTAAAAAAATAACTTTATATTGGTAAACGAGGCCCAATGACTTTGAGGTTGGGAGACAGGAATTGAGAAAAAAGGATGTTTGCAGTAAATGGAGTAAAATATGTCAACGCGTAGTGAGGAACTCATTCTGTACCTGTGCGTAGTTCTCCGGACGCGTCAGAAGAGGCAACTCGTACGCTGTTGAGAAGTGAGTTCGGACCTGCTGCATCTGACCAAAGCGCTCCCTTTTCCTCCATTTGGCCCTTCGGTTCTGAAACCACACCTGCGGAACAAAATAACAGAATCTCATAAAACTAGCAGGTGATTGTTTGGAATTTTTTTTAAAGTGAGTGACTAAAAAAAAAGGTTTGCCCTTAACTGCACTAAATTGTTTTCTGTAAATCCTAAATTACTCTTTTAGCTCACAGCAGGAATATAGATAAGTATCTGAACTAAATCAAACAAGTGTGAATTTACAGAGCACAGATCAAAAACATTTCAATGTTCAATGCAGGTAATATAATTGAAACTTGAAAATATGAAATTAAAAAAGGGCAGAATAGCCTTTGTAAATAACGTGCTGAAACCTTCAATTCGCTGAGGTCGGCAAACAAAATGTAAACAGATCTCTTTCCTCCCACCTTTGCGTATTTGTTGTCTGACAAGAGATGTTTCGCATTACTAATGTTTCCCATAATCACTGCTGACATCTAAAAATGAGACTTGTTTATTGAAAGTTTTCCTATGTTTGAGTGTGTGGATGTGATCTAATTACTCTCTGATGGGCTTTGAACCTTCGATTGTCAAAATGTAAACGTTATACAACTGTTGACTGGACTGATTACGGCAGAAGGACTTCTCCTTCCCAACTGATTTCTATTATTCCACGTGTCCACTCTGCCCAGAACCCTAAAGAGGCAATGCAGGAAATTGAAAGGTGAGATGGGATTATAACTATACTGGGTTTGTTTGTATTTTCATTTTTAATTTCCTGAGGGTCAAAGCTCCTGGCTTTGAGACGATGTCCCCTTCTAAATGAAAGAAGCACACATTTTAGAGGACGTAATCTGTCTCTCCTTGATGATTTTGTGCATGTTCCTCTGCACTGTCCCTCAGGATCCACAAGCTAACACAAGATCACCGTGCGTCCTTCTAGGTGACTGTTGCTCTATGGTTTTATACATTAAACGTGCATGTAAGGTGTCCCCAAAGCTCTCCTCTGCTTACTGTCCGCTGTTGGTCTGTTGGCTATTATACCGGGGGAACATATTTTTGTGTTGCGCACACTGCTTGTGACAGTAATTGGTAGAGACCATGACAGCTTAAGTAGCGGTGGTGGACTTTCAATGAGGCTTTATTTATGTTACGGCCCCAGAGAGAAAGCGCAGAGAAATGCCAAACTGGCCCCAGCAGGAGAGCCGTACGGCCCGAAAGCACTTTGAAGTGAGAGAGCGGCTCAGAGGATTGATAACCCTCCTCTGCTGTCACTCATGTCAGCTTCCATACCAAAGCAGGATGAAATCCAAGGCTGAGCCTGGCTTCGCTTTTCCAACACCCACAAAGCACTAATAATATCACGGAAACGCCTCTGACCAGCGTTGTTGCTCATTAGACGCAAGTTGGTTCCATTTGGCCAAGAATCCGTAACCACATAATGTCTCATTTCCCTGGTGAATTAAAGGTAAAGTGCAGGACAACAGGGGAGTGAATGTTCTGTATGATGCCAATTTTTAACCAATGTTGGTTAAAAAATAAATATTTTCAACAAGGCGTTATTATTGCCTTTATATGGCTCGTTTTTGATAAACTGAAGAATGATCTGTTCAGTTTGAAAAATCTAATATTCTCACAATTAAGGAGCTAAAATGAGGCATTTCTGCTGCTGTTAAATGACATGTTTATTTGATAGAAATAGAATAATTCTCATAGGGAGATAGTTCTGGGATCCTGACTTATCTTCAGTTATTTGTCATGATTCCTGTCATGTCATGTTTCTTTTAAGTTGGACAAACTTAAAGAGAATTCCTTCCTAACGTGATCAAGTTTTCCTTCCGTTTTATCTTCCATTAACCGTTTATAAACTCATGTAAACTCCTGCGTTCATGGGGTAAACTCGGCATGTCAGACGCCATCTCGAGTTCCCTCAGCTAAAAGAATGGCGAGTCTGAGAAATGTGTTGTTGTTGAAACCCCGACCCTTGAACCCTGACCTCCCCGTGTATCTGTAGTGCATATGACTCTGATCTGAACGTACTTTCGCTCTTTGAAACTGAGACTGAAAAGCAAACAACTCCAGAGCCTGAAGGTTTTCAACTGAGTGTCCCTTGTTGTTTGGCGCCAGAACCAATCAGAAAACGAGCTGTAATATCAGTCCTCCCCACAAGTATAGTAATGTAATTTAGCCATTTTTTGTTTTTTTGTATTTAAAAAGAAAAAACTAGGGGCACATTTTGAAGTTAAAGTAAACTTTTCAGCAGTAAATGCTTTTCTCTCAACATTTATTTCACTCCGGACTCCGAATTCATGAGCTGTGAGATCTTTTGCGTGTGGATGACGAGAATAGAGAACAGAGCCCGGTTTTCTGGCTGACGAGACATCTTATGTCTTTCATCTTTTTTTGACTTGAGTGTTTGAAAGGGCCGCTGGGAGAGGGCCGTAAAGCTGCATCCATGTGATAGTATGAGCAGCAGAGCAGGGCGGCATACCTTCACAGCCTCGGCTTGAGTTATAACCCCGCGGCTGCGCGGACTTCCTGTGTTTCCCTGTGAAGGTTTTCTGGTCACCGTTCCAGCTCGTCATGTAAAAGATTGCTTTCAATAGAGCCTGTTTTCTCATCCCGCCTACGAACTGGCACACAACAAAAATGTTGTATATAGCCATTGTTAAAAAAAACAAAAAAAAACTTGTTGGATGCTTCAAAATATATCAAAATTCAAATATGACTTTAAATATCAGTCAACAGATTTTTTGCACCTACGCCGTACACCACAGCAGGGACACATTATTGTGTGACAGGGATGTTAATGAAAGAAAAACATGGAAAATCCGGGGGCTTTGGTAGTCTGTGGTGCCCTCGTACACGCGCACGTAAACACGCGCCATGCACCACGCACACAAACAAACGGCGGCGGTCTCTTTCTTTTTCCACCAGCGTTGGAGTGCATCACAGCAGTCGTGGCAGATTCAAACAAGTCTCCTTGTGCGATGACGAAAGTCTCCACTCCTACAGCTGCACACATGAGGCCCAGGCAGCTCCAACCTCAGCCCCGCGGACCCCCTGGCCTCTGTTAACTCCCTCCACCCTCCACCCTCCCCTCCCATGACTCCCACATAACCAGATACATCTCCCGTGTTGTGTGAGTGACGTTATCTCTGCAGATGTTGAAGGATTCGTGAGTTTGTGTTGTTAAAGCATCCTCTGCGTTGCTACCAGGGCCTCTTTATTATTCACTCCCATGACAGGTTGCCTTGACTGCCTTTTTAAATTCTGTTTAGAAATCGGATAGGTTTGTTTAGGGTTCATTGGTTTGTGTTTCTGTCTTTTTTTAGCTGGCGTACGAGATGTTGCCGAGTGTCCTGCATTACCTGCACGCGGGCTTCAGTCAGGTCAGTCCTCAGCGCCAGCTGCTCCCTGGCGTAAACGTCCGGATAGTGCGTCTTTTGGAAAACTTTCTCCAGCTCTTCCAGCTGGTAGCTGGTAAAGGTTGTGCGGTTGCGCCTTTTTTTGCCCTTGTTGCTCTCGCCGCCATCGCCCTTGTCCAGAGGGCTCGACAATTCTGTGCCTGGTTGCCTGTCGGAGGCCGACTTCCCACCCGGACCCTTCACAGCAAGGTAGCTGGAGTCCATTCCAGCTGGATCGGAGTCCTGGGCCAAGTCAGAGTCTGCCAGACCTGAACTGGCTTTACCTGCAGAGATGGGGAGGAAGAGGTTAGAAGACGCAAATGTTTTTTAGAACTTAAGCTCCACCTGCAAAGATGCAGTGGGATCCAGGTGAATGTGTAACGGCTAACTAAAGATGAACAGCAGAATAAAGACATGAAGAACTGTTTTTAGAAAAGTGGGCGGATTCTTCTGAGGCTTAAGTTAATAAAGTCAACAGGGAAAGCTGTTCGTATTTAGACTTCAAAAGTCCATCATTTTGCTGCCTTATTCGAAACATTGCAACTGTCTTTTGGTAATATGAATCATAATTCATGATGCAACTGAAAAACATCTGGTAAATTGAACCGCTTTCTTGAGGCATTTCTGTCAGATATATTTTCTTACCTGGGACAATTAATTGCAGATTTGCAGTAATATCTTCAGAAAACAAACTGATTCAAACTGTGTTTATTGAGCTTCTTATATTCGGTTGCTTGTCTCTGGCGGTATATTCATGATTTATTTGTAGGATCAGCTTAATAATTCATGGGGTGGAACCAAGGAATGTCTCGTGCAATCCGCCGCGTGGTGCTGCGTTCGTGTGTCTATCTGTTAGCGTGTAATGGATGGTCTGCTTCCGGGATCCAGTTCATGGATCATTCCGTGATGTTCTGGAGAACAGGCCTCTAGGCCCCCCTGGCCCCTAATTTGAGACTGACAAAAAGTTGCAGCCTTTTTTAAAAAAAAATTTTTACCGCTTACTTTTTTTACTCCTAGACACAAACACATGAAACACATCGAGAAGGATGTGAGAGCTGAAAGTGCTTCTTTAAAAGCTCGAAACAACATACCCCCCCCCCCCCCCTCCCCCTCAGACACCTCTCTGCTCCTTCAAAACCATCTGATGCAAAGTTATTTTCAGGACCGAGGACGTCTCTGCCCATCGCACCATTTGTCGGGTTAGAACCTGGAGGTGCGTGAATTCATGTGAGCTTCGAGTGCAATTCTCAGCACTCAGTCAGCGGAGGGGATCTCCCACGCGCACCCAGTGACCCTCCACTCATAGCCATGTTAGGCTATGTGATGCAAGGTGAGGTGAATGGATATCTTGTCAAACATCTGATCTGATCAGTCTAATGCACACAAGTGTGCGTCTCAATTGCATCTTTTTTTGTGTTTGTGGGATGAAATTTATCCACAGAGATGTTTAAAACCCCAATTACATTGGGATTGAAACTACAGCAGGGTGGGTGATATATATATATATATTACCAAAGCGTTTGTATTTCTTTGTGGCTCTTTTGGAAAGCGTGCACTTTATTTCAATTGAACAGTCACTACATCATTTTTGACCGCCTTTCCTTCAAAGTGCTTGCAGATGCCAGTGTCACATGAGGTGGCTGCACTGATGCCGTTTTATTTAAAACGGGTAAGCAAGCCGTTTTGTTTTGCAGGTTTGTTCTGCGCTCACAATCTACTATTTTGTAAAAGAATATACACATACTTTATATAAATACAGAAGAGGAGTGCAAAAGAATACCATGAATTGGAACCAGCTCTCAGTATTGTATGCAATGCTACCAAAACATTTGGCTCGGTTGTATTCATGGTTTCCCGGTTTTGATTCATTGCAACTGAAGCCTCGCTGAGGGGAGCTCTGCATGCAGAAGCCCACTGTCAAGTAAACTTGACATACTGGTTTCATTTTCTGCTACTCGGCCTTGCGTCACGAGAGGGTCTTGCTTTGCAGTCTGCGTTCTGTAATTCAGGACCGTGATGCGTTTCGGCCCCACGACATTCAACGGAGAACTGAGGGCCGTGGTTCCTGAGATGTTTGCCCCGCGGCGCTGGAAAAAAAAACAGTTGCGCCGAGGAGCCGTGTGTTTTGGAGGCTCTGTTTCTGCTCCACCCCACGCTGTCCATGAGAAACACATCCTTTTATGTGTTCAATCCCAGCATCAGTACTAGTCATTTCGGCACATTTCCCTGGCTGGCACCCACAGTCTCAGCGAAATCACGAGGCCTCTGGCTGATCAAAGGACATTTGTTTGTATCGCATGTCACTGATGTTTCCTTGGCTAGCGATGGATATTGTGACAATCTCCTGCTTGTTGTCCGTACGATCTGCTGTAGCTGTGAGGCTCTCCAACAGCGCACACGGTGACCAGCAGTTGGCCCTCCTGCGGGGAAAACCATATGTATGAAGGAGGCAGGGAAAGTCTGACTGCAAACACCGCCTGGGTAGAATCTCCGCGACTTTGAAAAGCACACGCCGCATCACAACCTCCAACCCCATGTTCATGAGCACAATTGGATTTTTCTTTCCCAAACCCCCCCCCCAAAAAAAAACCTATCACACATGCAGTTTAGCTTGTACTTTCTTCAGCACATGGACACAACATCCAGCAAACCAACTAAAACAGACTATTTTCACTGCAGCCTGTGCAGTTTAATATTTCCACCTGACTGCTCTGCAACACAGGAGCGTGCATACAAGTCACACATATCGTGTCACTGACACAAAATCAAACTAAGGACAGATTTTATATATCTATTTATGTTATATTGTGTGGACATCAGTGGAAACACAATGGCCTCGTGGGTCAGACATTCAGCGTGGACAGCTATTCGTTTCCAGTTGAACTGAAGGGGGGAAACATCAAGGTGAAATTTAACTGGCTGTAACGCGACAGGGCACCTTCACTGCCTCTTTATTGACTGGGATGACTGGGGTCAGCTCACGGTGTTAAGAGGAAACACTATAAATTACATACCACACGGCGACGGGGAGAGATTAAAAACACGTTGCTCCAACTGGGGAGAGAAATATCCGAAACAGAGGGAAACGTAAACAGAGGGAACGGAGATGGACCAATAGAAAAGGGAAAGAAAGTACAGTTTGTCCCACTAAACACAGAGGAAAGAGGAAAGGAAGCGTGAGGGCAAAGTGTTTAATTGTGTGTCTGGGATTTGTTTTTGCTGACTTAAAATGTGGATTGGGCTTGAACATTGGAGCTTTGGACAGTGGATAAATCTTAAGCTTTGCTTGGCTACGGAGACGGAGGCAGGCTGAGGCCCTGATTCCGATGATATGTGGTCTGGACCATTAAGCCAAGGCAAGAATAGGATACATATAATTTGCAATGTATTCATGATTCCTTGAAGGGACTGTAACAAATGACTGAAGATCAGTGGTGGGATATAACTAGGTTTACTCTCAATGGAATAACAAACTTCTACTTTTTTTAATGTTCTGTTGTACTTTATGCGTCTGAGGCTGGTTAAATTAAGCCAAATAAAAAGTACTTGAGCGGTTCATCTTAACCCACTACACGTTTTTTACACACGCGTGTATAATTGGAAATAATCCTACAACAATATATAATGTTATAACACTGGCAGAGTTCATTCACGTACTGGAAACAGTATTTTTACTTTTCAAAACTAAAAGCTTCTAAATATAAAAAATAAATATATCTTTTTAAAAAATGATTTTAGGCTTTAGCATTACTTTTATTTAAATCTACAAATAACAGATTTTTAAAAACAAATTAAAATCACAACACTGACTTGTTAGCAAAGTGGCTTATTTTCTCATCCACTTTGAGTACACTATTGATCATTTTCATCATTGTGTCTTTGTTCCTGAGAGTTACTGCTTTTCGAGTTTGAGTTATTGAGATTATACTTCACTACCTTCACCAGCTAGTGGCCAACGTTGAAGTTGAAAGCTCAACAATGACCTGAGACGGACTTCAAAGCTTGGTGAAGCCGAGAAGAGCTTCAGATTCAGGTGATCATTTTCATCAGGTTGATCACTACGAGCAAACTCTTCAGAATACTGGGAAATAAATCACTGTCATATTTTCAATAAATCTGGTTCTCCCTTTGAGAATCTCCCCATTGGCCAACGCCGCAGAGCGTCTACGGGCCTCTGCTGCAAAACGTTCACAGAGGAAGCAAAACATGCAGAGACTCAATCCACCGGCTGTTAGAGGCAACTCACAAATTCAAGGCAAATCAATTTTTTTAAGTGCTTTTAACTATTGATAATACAAAACCACGTGTACATGTAAGAAGTTACACTCAGAACCTTTTAAGTAAAGGATCTTACAACATATTTCCCTCCTGCTGAAGATGCAGTTTCTCTGACCCTCTGTCATTGAAATGAAACCTGGTCTCTTTTGGAGGTACAAATAACGCGACTATGAATAGCTTTGCACTTTGCACGCTTGGTGCGGTGTCAGGTGCGTTCATCAAAACATCTTGGAACAATACGCACGCACATCGGTCTCAGTCACCACTGCTGTGATTTGAAAACAGTCGACGTGACTCACCGACCGAACCTCAGCAAACATCCGCATAGTTCAACTTTTCTTTTGTGACCATGTGATCGGTAGACCTTCGCTTTGAAATTCAACGCTGCTGACCAAGAGGAGCAATGAACCATCGCAGCACGCTGCGTGAAACGGTGTCAAAGAAACTTTAAAAAGGCATAAGACCAATTAATCACACACTCTTTGTCTCCCTCGTGTCCCCCCCCAGCTGCTCTCTTCCAAAAGCAAAACAGAATTTCCTTGAGCTCTCAAATCGTTTTTTTTGTTTGCTGATTGAAGAAGAACATCCCATCCGAGTGGAGAAAACTACATTTTTGTGTGCACACAAATAAAAGCAAAAGATTATAAGAAAATAATCTGGAAAACAATAATCAAGCATTTAACCTCCGAAAGAACCAAAGACATCAATGATCCCTACAAGAGTTTTGGAATCACATTTTTAAAAATACTGTTCCAAATTCTGAAAAACAACTAAGTGATCAACAAAATAATGAAATGATAATTTGTTTAAGGTCAACATGTTTACTAAACTTCACCCGTGGAAAACCTGAGTCATTGAAACAGACAAAAATAACAACATTTTGTTGGCCTTCCAATGCAACTGACTTCAAAAACACCATGTGCTGAAAATATTAACTTCGGAAATGAGCAGAAAAACAAGAAAGATTACTGCCAGAAAACACTAAATGAATTTGTACTTATATAAATTTTTACAACATATACAGTTTTAAAGTCATGTGAGTAAATGTTCAACTTTTCAAAAGACAGAGTTAAAAATTTGCTCGATCAAAAATCTTTCGGGAATGAGGCCGTTTTTCTTGTTTGTTACTTTTTGCACAAACTAGAGAACACACAGACAACTATTCTTGCAAGTGGAAATTTAAGTTAAGTGTGCAGTGAAAGGTCCCCTAAATAAGCCGACAGGTAAAAAAAAAAGGACACCCAATTTCTGATGTGCAGTCCTGCACGGTTGGTCCTCAATAAATGTTCAGTTCACATGAGGCGGGACAGACCAGAGGACGCGCCGACCCGCATGAGCCTCTTTACCCGGCTGCTCTCACTCGGCCATGCAAACAAAGCCTAATGTAAATTGCTCTGCCCAAATCAAAGCTAAATGGTAAAATGATCCCGAGTCCTTGTCACCTCCACTCATGTCATTGACTTGCTGAAGTGTGCCACAGTTGCCCGGGCTGCTGGGCTGGTTCCTATTACCCCCTCACTCCAATCTATGCAGACGGCCATTACGAGAGGCTGAAATGGTCGTGCGTGAAGATGGTGGTGGAAGAAAAGGCAGGAGATCGAAGGGAAATCACACATGAGCGTTGATATAAATGTCATTAAAGGGCAGCAAACCAGATCGCTGCGCCCAACAAATAAATGATGGTTCAAGTTCATAAGGTCAAGCCTTTCGTATCGTCAAACGTTACCAGAAGTGTGTTAGATGCAAAGATGTTGTTACTCTGCAAAGTCTGTGGCAACAGTGACAAAAGCCACGATCCCACATTAACGCAATCCCAATGCGATGCCACTACAATTCAACACGCAACATCGTCTTTTGTCCCCTGGCTGCCATGTAGAACTAGACCCCAAATGTTGCAGTGCCTTTAACTATGACACCAGTTTCAAGTAGAGGGTTACAAATGGATTCACTCTGCTGTGTGTGTGTGTGTGTGCAGTGAAACGAGGGCAGGAAAGCCGAGCTAAAGGTCAGCGCCCCCCCCACCCCGACACAGAGGGACGGCACGGACACTTCAAAAGAAGAAGTGTGTTGTCTCTGGAGGATCACAATGTGTAGGTGGCTGCCCCGAGAGAACCTGAATGAAAATCCCAACAGTCGCGTGCTTTCAATTTGAAATCGATACAGTAAAATATACATTTTTTGGTAACTTTTTAAACACATTAGAACAGTATTCTTTTGATGCATAAAATCTTCTACTTTTTAGAGAGAAATATTGTACTTTTTACTTGTCATTTCTTTGACTGCTATATAGTGACTTTGCAGATAAAATATTTTTGGCATTTCTGAATAATCTTAACTTTGAATAAAGTTACATTTTGATTTTGATATTTTAAATATCACTGTTTAATTTGTATTTAGTCATTTTAAATGTGTTTTTGTTGCTTTGGGGATTTACCTCCAAGAACTCCTTCTTTTTTAACTGTCTCACACATTTTCTTGCACTTTCTTTCAGGTGGATGCTTTTGGCTCTTTCTGTTTCAGGTGACAACAACAATGAATGTGTTGGGTAGAATTATAACTGTGTCAGTAGGGACCCTAATGTGTGTTAATGTTTATCAGACAAACATGTTGCTTTTAATCATTAGTCATCATGTCACCTTTTACTGAACGGATGAAGCCATGAATTATAACCACAGAGTCTTTCTTTGACTCTTTAAACTATCATGACATTGGTTCAAATAAATCTAAATGTTAACTACATTTTACAGTTTGTGATATTCATAAGGAAATCGGCACAATATTGGTGTCTTAAAATAGTCTATCTTTGTATTTGCATATTCAAAATGAACATTCATCTGCAAGTATAAAAACTCGCCTGTTGAAAGTCTTGAAGAAAGAGTTGAAGGAGATTAGTCTGTGAGGTCCAAGTGAGTGAGAGCAGGAAACAAAGGCAAACAGAGAAGTTCCACATCTGAGTCGTATTAATGCCAGAGCTCCTCTTGTCTTCAAGCGCAGGGATGTTTTTTCCTGCCATGAATCCGGTGATTATATTTAAGTCTCCGTGTTGTAAAAAAGAAGATTGCCTGGTTTGCGAGTGAACCCGACAACTTGCGCTGGGCTAGATTTCCCTCTAAAAGTATTACCGGGAAAAGAATAAAAAGAAATCCCAAATAAATCCAGTAAATTGTGGGAATCGCTCCGCCGTGCGCATCTGGCATCTCCAGATGCGCAGGATGAGCGTGAGCTTATAACAATAGCAAAAATAACATTAGGAATAATAGCGATTGAAAGTATGATTTTGAGGATATGAATTCGTTTGCCAGTGTCTTTCTTCATGATTCCAACTCAAAGGGCAGTTCAGTCAAAAGCATAAAAACTGCGGTTTGTTTACAACTCAATATAACATTTTTATTTCGTCTCGTTTCCCGGATGTGTCATGGTTAATAGGTAATAAAAACCTTAACTGCCGTTATAAAGAAAAATGGCTTTTGAAAGGATTCATCTTGGAGATGTAAAAGCTATTTTCGCTGGCCGACGTCCCTAAACGCTCGAAACATCCACTAAAAACGTCCATTGTGATGGACAAGCATGCAGCTCGAGTAATGCAAACAAATAGAGAGTGGTGACTCCACTCTGGGCCTTCCCGAAGTATTATCATTTATAAAATAGTATAAAATGACCTGACATATCGTCTTTACAAATTAGAATTCATTGTTCATCAAATGCGCCATTCAAATGTTTTGTTCTAATTATATTTTGAACCGGAAAATAAACGGTTGATCCGTTACACCAGTGGATGATTTTCCAGCTCAGGACCATTTTATACACTTTCCATGCGAGGAAGAGCGTTATAAGAGAGGGACGCATCGTTTTATTCACAAATACCTCAAATAAACCCCCGTAAACTCAAAACGAAACATTCGCAACGTCTTTCTTCAACACGGTTTAAAGGAGCAATATTTCACACACTTATTTGTGTTATTTGGAATTGAATAAAAGGGTTCAGTGTTTAACCGTTGACCTCCCAAATAAACCCTCGACATGAGGATGAGGGATGCGCGTCAGTCCAACCGGCTGTGTTTGGTTCTGGTTCTGTGCCTCTTTGGTCGTCGCTTTATGCTCAAGTCCAACACTTACATCCGGATGCAAACAGAGAAGATGCGCCGTACACATGCGTGTGCGCGCGTGTCTGTGTGGTATCCTTTATGAGCAGGTATGTCGTTGTGGACCGACCAAACAAAATAGTGTGTCCACGTTTTAATCTGCCGACAGTATTAGAAGCTTGTTTTTGCTTCTTAATATTATTCTTTTAGTGTCGCGCGTGTTTCCAGTTAGGGGAAAGCGAGTGGTGAAGATAAACAGGAATTAATGGTGCTTTAAAGTAGCCGCCGGCCCAACGAGGGTCAAAGTTTTATTTAACACTCATCATTCACCCATTACAGTATAGTCCCATGCAATTAAATCTAATTGGAGCCAACCAGGCAGCGCAATGACATGCAAATATTATCAGTTTGGAGCGCACTTTGTGCCATCTGAAAACCTGTTAATTCAATTGTCCGATACATCTCCAATAATAAGGATTATAATGCCCATTATCGCATTAAAAGCGCCCTAATTTAATTGTGATGGCCGAAGAGACTACTTGATGGCCTGAACGTGTCTTCTCTTCTTGACTTTGTTCCGCGCGTAACTGCTGCGCCGCTTCTAAACGAGCCGCTGCCCCGCGTGCGGCAGCTGGACAGAGAAGTTTGCGTTTTACGCACAAAGGTGGGTTTCCCATCCCACGGGACACAGAAAGAAGAAAACAGCAGTTTTGTATACGAGAGAATCAGAAGACAATTTAGGACGAAACGCGACTCTTGGAGGGTTTTTCTTGGGGGGGGGGGGGGGAGGGGGGGCGCACTGGAGTGAATCAAACTGTTCGGATAAAACGCATGCTGACACAAAATACTAAGTCGCTGAGTGGTGCCGCAATTCTGGACCGGTGTTTTAAGTCGGGAATGGCTCACCTGGGCCAAGTGGGCTCCTGCAACCCAATCATCTGCACGCTTTGTTGTTGCACTCACCATAGCAGGAGATGAGCGCTCCGTTGTGCCCGCTCTCTTGGTGCAGTTTGCCGTCCTCGGGGGGGGTCTTGCAAGAAGACCTCTGCATGAAGAGGTGGTATTTACTGAAGGTGCCTTGCCCAGCCGAGGCGGCATCCAATGACTGGCACTCCTGCTGGAAGGGGCTCCGGGACCTGTCTCCGTAAGCCTGACCTTTGTTGGCCAGGAAGGCAGCAGGGTATTTGGTGTCAGGGGCTGGAAGTGTCCTAAAGTGGTCCGTCTGGTGATCCCTGCTTTGCGCTGCGGAGGGGCTATAATATGAATCCATGGATGTCATGTCGCTGTATGAAACGCAGGTCTCGGCGTTCATGCCTAAAAAACAGTGAAGGGGAGAAAAAGACCAAACTTTTTCTCTCTCTCTCTCTCTCTCTCTCCCTCCCTCTCTCTCTCTCTCTCTTGGAGAAGGAAGTGCAGACACCCCCACCTCTCCCTCTACAACAGACAGATGAACCGACACCCACACATACACACACACACGGGTGCAGCTGGGTTTGGTTATAAAGCGATTCAGATCTTTTCCAGGAACCACTGCCGTTGACCAAACACTCCCAACTCCCCCTCAGGTTTGAGCAGAGTTACACAAACCCGTCTTCCCTCAGAGGATGGGACCGATCTCCTGCCCTCAAGACCCCAAGTGCTGATGACATGACCGAGTTAGGTCACTTATTAACTGGGAGAGAAAAAAAATTGAAAAATAGGGGCAGGGGCTTAACACATGACCTTAACGCCATTTGGATGAGAATATACCGTGATGGTCCTTGGGCGGATGGGGCACAATTTTACGCTTCATTTGTAATGGTTCATCAGGGCGAATCATCCATACTGAGCCGATTGTGCCCCAGTCAAGTTTGGGGCTGCTGGATTAAATAGATTTTGTTTATGAAAGTTTATAATAACTTTTAAATGCCTCATTTATCACTTTGAAAGAATTAGTGTCACTGCATCGTGGTTATTTATAAAAGAAAAAATAAGGTAGCCCGTGATTAATCAAATTATATCCGGACTCATTGTATGTCCAGAATTATTTTGGACTACGATTATCAATGTCGCATATTTGTTTTATTTCTTGATTAATACAGCCATTTGCACCCATTTCAAATAATTCAGAATCCACAATTAAAACGTGCTTTTTTTATGCGCAGCCATTGAAGAAAAAAGGCCACCTGATCCATTAATCGTTTAGACTCAGACCCAAAATGGCACATCATGGTAATTCCTCAACAGATTATTTAATAACTTTAAATCAGTCGACAAGAACACTGGTAATTATTTGCCGACACACATTGTTTGTGTGCGTCCGACTTGACAATGTTGGAATGAATTAATATATTTACACGTGTACTGAAATCAGACATTTGTGTTTAATTCTTTGCTCCCCATAACGACTGACACATTTATCTCTGTAAAACATAACTTTCTGCTTGAAAGTATTACAAATGCTTTTATACAATTAATTAATTAATAAACATTAATTTAGTTGTTGTTCAATATTTTACCAGTCCTTTGTCAGGTTATTGAAATAATGAAAACGCAGTAAGAATGCCATGAATCCACTTACAACCCCAAAAGACAGTGTTTATTTACACGTTTTGTTACACAAGCTAAATATTTGAATCAATTAAAAAATATATATAATAAAATAAAATGAAAAATAATTAATTAATGTAGGCACCCTGTTATAATTAATTAAAAATTTGAATTAATTATAACATGGTGCATACATATATTCACAATCATCTTTAAGAAATCAATTTGCAACAGTGCATTGTGATCTAAGAATTTATATTCATAACTTTGATTTTCAGAAACACCATTTTCCGTTTAACTTTAAAAATAATTCACTGACAAATTAGCAGTAACAATCACTCAGTTTGGTCCATCTTCCGCTGCAGGTGCCCTTCTTCTCTCTCTTATCGTCTGCGGCTATAACTATACAAATTGTGCACATACAAAAATACAGTCATACACACATACAGTCACGCACACATGGAGGACACATGTACACAGAAAGAAATCTGCAACACCAAATAGATGAATTTCAAGTGAAGTCCGTAAGGTTGAAAGGTGTTTATATTGGAAGTAATTGCAATGAAAACCTGGATCACACTTGACGGCAAACTGCTTGTGTCAAGAGGGGAAGATATGACTTTACAACACTTTACCTTTCATCTAATGAAGTCAAACAAATATGCGATTACTTTGGGCTCTCCCTCCGTGTGTCAGCATGTGAGTCATGGCAGTGAACCAGACATAATGATTACTTTCTGTAGCTTCCTTTTCAACCTGCTGAAACAGAATACTTCTGTATGTGCTATTCTTAGCAGAGAGCTCACGTTAGGTCATTATTATGTAACGTAGTAATATTGGACAGATTTAGGGAGATGGGTATGACATCTGTACGATGGGAATCACTTGTTCTTTTGCAGCATTTTCTAGTGTGCTTCATTTTCAGCTTGAATCACAATGTGAAATGTGCCTCAATCTCGTCTAATCGGTTTTCATCTCTACCTCCTGGAAATGTGCAACCGTTGTGAATAAAGGTGTAAAATAGTTTGTTTTATTTCCTTTGGCATGCTCAATGTGGTTCATACTTTGGCCACATGATCTGATCTCTTCTTATTTCACAAGGAAAAGTGTCCAAGGTTTTACTAACTGCAATTACTTTATTATATGAATCATGCTCCAGCCTGCAGGGGGACAGTGAGAGCAAGAGGGACGGTTGCACACGACTGCAAAATAATTTTGTCTTTTCTGGCATTTTTAGTGAAAGCTTCCCCTTAACAGTAGGCCCACCTGTAGTGAATAGGGGAGTATTAAAACACACACACACACACACAAAGCCCTTTATTTCTAACAAGTTGCTACTGCTTTTATAAAACTAAAATATTTTTCACAAGTTAAATATTTGCATTTAGAGTTAATAGTAAGAAATAGAGTAAAATTATGCCATTTATTGTCCTGCAGAGACAACTTGTCTGAATTATCTTGTTTTTTATTTTTTTATAAGGATCACAAGCCATCTATTATATATAATAATTCCCTTATATAATAAAATACAAATGTACTCATTGGTATAGCACAAAGAAACCGCTTGGGATTGTTGCTTACGATATTTAGTATTTTTCCATCCCTTAATCTGGTTTATATCTGAAGTTTTACGGTTCAGTCAGAAGACGTTTAGAGGAAATAAAATGTGAATTTGTTGTATAACTGTAAAATCGATTCCTGCTGTTAATTACATACAGTGTAGATATTTTCAAAGCACACACACACACACACACATTTTATATATATAATACCTATAAGGGATGTTTAATCAAGACAAAGTACACTATTCCACTGAAAATGTCAGCAGACAGTCGAGAGCTTCTTCCTAAATATTTCTTGGTAGCCGGATACTTCGAAACTAAGAGTCCATTGACTCTCAGCCGTGACTAAATTTTTAGGAAGCCCTGTGTAATTATGTTTTATTTTCTAAACATTCCCCTCTCGGTGAAATACATGCGGACATTGTTCATGTGGCACAATGAGGAAGACTGTTGTCACGGTCAGTGACCCTGAAATGGCCCTTCAGTGTGTGCTGTTTTCAGAGGCCTTGTTCCATTAATTGGACATGCGAGATATTTGCGAACGTGGGGGTTAAAAGAAAACACAAGGATGCGGAAGCCCACATCCTTGCTGCAACTGACAACATAAACTTTAGTCTCTCCAGTTTGGCTTTAGCCTGTGGCAAAGCCACTTGATTGAGGCCTTTGATGGGCATTAACACACCGTGGAGAGACGGCTTTGTTCGGGAATGGAAATGAACATTAAACGGAAAGCGGAACAGGAAGGAGAGAGGCCCACGAGCTGATCTTATTTAATTTCACATAGAAGAGACATTTCCATCTTTGCAGAGCTAGCTTTTTTGGCATCTCACTGTGTGTGGACCCAGACTTGCTCAACATACTGGTGATCGTACGCCGGGTGTGTGCACACAGCAGAGATTTGCTGAGCGTTTCTGAAACCAAGACAGAACAGTCTGGGCCATTTCAAACACATCACATGTGGCAGCAGACTTCAAAAAAAAAAAAAGAAGCATTACTGGTACACATGCTCAGCGGCACCGGTCAAATCAGCATGGAGGGATGTTTTGGGCCACCTGGCTTAATGGGAGGCGGCCCTGCCCATGTGAAAGCGTCTGCTGTTGACCACATTCTCTGCTTTTTACAGTGAAGGAGCTCTGCTCAAGTGTTTCATCTTCAGGCAAATATCTGCAAAGTTTCTGACTGAATCAAAGATTACCCCTCCTGTCACATCCCATTAAAATGGGGAACAACAGCACTGCACTAGTGGTTTGTTGGACTCTTTGATGACTTGATTTAACCCGTTTCATGTATTTTCAAGGGTTGTAGTGCAAATATTTGGAAGGTTAATAGTTTTTATTTAACTCAATTTTTCAGTGTAATCACTGATTACTGGAAGTCTACGAGCTAGATTTGCAAACATTTTTATTTATTTGTATAATATTATTTGTTGTAGTCTGCCACCTCCAGCTTTCACGTCTTACTGTATTATCGTTTGTTCCATCTATTCCTTATTAAAAATTGGTTGTGTTCAAAGGTCCTGAAGAAGTCAGTTGTTTGGATTTGGGGATTATGAGTTAAGAACTTTGAATCCCAGATTTACTGGTCAAAGGTTTGGACATACCTTTTGGCACATCTTGATTCCTCAAACTGATTACTTTTAACAGTTTAAATTGTTCAAGTTTAGTTGACTTAACTCACATTGTAGGCTAACAATTGCACCTGTGTTTACCCCGCTATGACCTGTTAAAATGGCTTCTACAAAAGAGCCTATGGAGGCATCAGCATTGCTATAAGCTCACATTGAATCAGCTATGATGTTTTTCAATGTATGTATCATTATTTACCAAGTTCTTTAAACTGAACCTCTGTTTAGCTCAACCACAACCTGTTATAGTATAACTGGTTGTCATAAAGCAAACACATATTATATTCCCATTTTTATACATTGTACATTGAACATACTGAAGTACTGTAGTGACACCCAAGTGCCAGCCAAGTTACTTACTTCACTTCACAGCCGTGAAGCCTCCTTTCACTCCATTGTCCTGTCATCCTTTTGCCATCCACCAGATGCCCCCACACCTGCTCTCCTGGAGTCCCCTCCCACCTACACACCTGCTGCCGTCCCCTTTACCTGCACACCTTTGTGGAATGCTGTAACACTGCTCACTGATTTCGTCCTGCTGCTTCCTCATCTGTCTGCATCTGGGTCCACACCCGGTGTCCCCGCATTGACAGATGTGACACTCATATTTGCATTGTGGAATCATATCATTCAGAACTCTGAGTTCTGGGCGTTTGTTT